GTTCTTTCATGTACCTATATCATAATAATGCTTTACCTATTTCTTTTACTCAAATCTTTCAAACTGGAAACCAGATTCATCAATATTCAACAAGATACTCTGACTTTTACCGACCTCATACCTGTAGAACAAAAATTTAACAAATTTTCGATCCTGTTTCAAGGTCCCAGAATATGGAATTCATTACCGAACGACATCAAAAATGCCCCGTCTTTTAGTATATTCAAGCGTGTGATGAAACCATTTTTAAGGGTCAGACACAATGCAACCTAAATACCTGAACACCTTATATCTATATTTTTCTCTAAACACACTTATATACTTAAATAAACGACTTTTTTCTTTATTTCTTAAAATGCCGCCTAGTATTTAAATTACCCGTGGGGGAAAATCTCTATTCCTCATAAGTTCGGCTTCTCGGAGATTTCCCCACCACAGTCACTCCTCCCAAGTAATGTACAAATTTAAATTTAATGTTAATTAACCTATTTATTATCGTTTTTATTCTGCTTGTAATTCATTGTGTGTGGCAAAATAATAAAATAATAAAAAAATAAAACACACATGTGGCAGACCCTGGAAAACTCACAAAACCCTAACGCTAAAAGCATCAAAAATCATTTCTTAAGTTCCACTTTTTCTGCCGGGATTTATGGTCCCAGAGTAGGGCAACCACATGAAACAAATGACTAAGCGGACATAACAATTCTACACATCACTAATTTTGCCATCACTGAATGATGAGTTACAACTCAACAGCTTAAGATAAATGAGTAAATAATACGCGACAATATCGATTATGAATGGTTTCTTTTTCATCGTTTTAATCAAGTAGGAGAGGAACCTGAGTGTGGTATCTGTCCAGTTCATCATCGCTGTGTACGAGGCAGATGCGTCTGTATTCCCGGTTACCTTTGTTGAGGTAACAGCAAATAATAATAATAATCAATAACAGTCATCGTCATCGTCAACGTCGTCATCATCATCATCATAATCATAATAACAATAACAATAATCGCAACCTGGACTACATGTACTTGTAGTATACAAAAAAGTTTAAGAATTGTGATTTTTTTTTTGCAGTCGTTAGTATGAAGTTTTGGTTTAATTTCAGATTTGCAACATCAACAGAAGAGAAAAAGACGCTGTAATAATAGTCTTCAGACGTTTTCACCGACCTTAGTGATGTGATGTTGATATGTTTTCATTACACTTTTCTTTAGATAAAGGATACAGATTGTAAGATATTTTTTAATTTATACTATCCAGTTTAAAAGGGATCCCTTAATGTTCTTGGATTCGAGAGATTCTAAGCCGAGGCTTAACTTGTCGACATCATAAAAGTTATTGTCATTTTATATTTCTATGCAAATTTGGAAGCATGGAAAGCATGTAGCCCTTGCTCTATTAATTTTCCAGTAATTAATAGTCTAATGTCATTTTCGTTTTGCTTTTTCGGTCGCCAAATTGTCTCATGTTGCCAGGAATGCTATAACCGGGGCCAGTTTCAAGATAATGGTGACATCGAGCAACCACCCTAAGCCTATCTTATCAAGCCACTGTCAGTTGTCACCTGACTCTGTCGAAACCGAAAGCTCTGCATGGCCAGTATAGCTGCCATTTATGACTAGCATTTCAGTTAAAGTTCGATAAATAATACCATCTGGGACATTTAAGGTGACAAGCACAGTATTTATATCGATATTGAAAGTTTGAGTTTTATCTCAGGGGTAAAGAATTTTATAAAAGACAGATATAAGGTGAACTACAATAAAACCACGAAACAATAAAATATATTAAATAAAATATGATCATAACAAAATAAGGCAAACTGAGGTAAAGAGCAAATAATAGAATAAAGTCTTTTTTAAAAAATATTTTTGTGTAATCCTTGCTGTCAGCTTAATTTCCTGCTTTGTTTTGTGTTTGATCGCAGTTTTTTAGTTGGACCCGGGGGTTACTTTAAAAAGTTTCAAAAGGTAAGGCGCCACCTCGGGGTCCAATCCCTTTCTTTTCTATATGGTACCATTTTTCACACAGTTGTTTCCCTTTCGTTTACCTTCTATTGACAAATGGTACCCCTTTCACATACGTAGCGCCGGGATAGACCTTTACATCCCTTTAAACTGCTGTTAATGCACTGTTTTGAAATATGAATAAATCACAAAACCAGGTTTATTCTCGACTTTTTCACAGCCATAAATTGCATCTGTTATAAGCTCTTTAGGGCCTTTTTATAGACCGAAATTTACTTCTAACAGTGATATCCCGCCCCTTTATCACCTTGGCCGGGTTCTTCGAAGTTAGGTTAAGATAACCCGGGGTTAGTGGGAAATTTGAAATCAGATATGAGAGCTAACGCAAATTTCAGTTTAATTCTCTTTGCCTACAATTTGATGATTGGATACTCTAAAGAGAATAGAGAAAATTATCCGAGAAAGTGCTTTTCATAAAAAGATAAATCATTCCGGGTTAAAATTTAAGCCCGGGTTAGCGCTAACCGGCGTTCGAACAACTGGGCCCAGAAGCCTGAAAAAGTACCTCTTTCGGGCGGATTCTTCATGTACATGGAGAAACTGATCGGGCGTTGCATGATAGTTCCTTGAAAGGAACTGCGCACCAAAGAAAGGTGCAGGTCGACAATTATTTAGACCTGTTATAGTTAAGCTGGTGTAAACTGTTCGTTTGTTAATTCTTTAAAAAAGCAAGCAATACCTTAGACGACCGTCGCAGGACTCTCGCAGGGAAGTAAAATTTAATCTCAATGAAGCTAGACCGTAGAACAGGAACAAAACATCAACTAAAACAAAATCATTTCATCTGTAATCAGTTCATGAACTTAGAGAAAGAAAATAACCTTGATCCACCTAACCTTTTGCGTGTCACTTTCCAGACTTTTAGCCATTTATTAATTATATAATAAGCGACTTTACACGTTTTTGTTTTCCATACAGGTGACTGAATTATTGTTAGTATATTACAATGCCAAGAGACAAGAACTTAGTATGGCCATAATATGAAGAGACCATATCGTCTCTCTGCTTCATGTGGAAGATTTTTTAGCTGCGCTTAGATCCTTTATGCAGTGGTGTAAAAATTCAATGTCGAAATGATCGCTACATGTTCTCTGTTAAGGCTTGTTGCTGTGATATTTGTTATTACTGACGGTATCTCGCACGCGAGACATTTAAAGGTGCATTCTAGTAAAGGTACACATTCAAGCGGACAGAAGAAGACACAATTGGAAGGTGCTGACACAACTTCTCAATGCTCTAACCCGACTGCCCATGGAAATTCGTGTATCCCTGTCCATATTCCTGTTCCTGTGCCCGTACAAACTCCCTATGTAAACGAACTCGACGTCTACGTCCATGATGGTAGGTCATTAAAGATACGATAACTTATAACGAAAACAAGAGGTAGTGTGATAGAGTGCTTCCGACATAACAGTCCTCCTTTGTACTCTAAAATTTCTTTTCTCATGTCACCTTTAATGTGCACGTGGTGTTTTATAATGCGTTTATTTTGCCACGGAACTTAAACTGCCTGCTTCATCTGCATTCAAACGAAATGACTCATTTCTCATATGACCAGAAGATCGAAATGCAGCAGATTAACATTTTTCCTTGAAATATTATTTGCAATATGTATTATTTTCAGTCCTAAGTTATGACAAAAGATGTTTTGTCTTTAGCGTCAGACAAAGAAGGTGCTAACATCTCTTTGTCTAAATACAACTACCTATAAATTAAAGATCTTTGTTGACTTATTTAAAGAACAATGATTAGAACCGTTTACCAAAGGCCTATTATCAAGCACGTAAAGAAAAAGAATGTATTCAGAAATTTGATTTCAGATTGTTTTCTAGGTGAAAGTTATTATTTTATTATATGAAGTTTTTCCTCCTCGACTTATTTAAATGTCAGTCGTCGTCGAGGAACCAGTTTTACCACCCACTGAAATAAAACGGGTTGAATTTACAAAGCAGGTAAAAAGTTCAGAAAAAAAGGGTTCGAATGAAAAAGTGTCTTACTCAATTTAAGTATCTGATATAGAAATTGCGATTGAGAATTCACATTCACGAAATGTCTGATAAAGAAGAAAATCCAGTCGGTGTAAAAAGTAACCGAAATTTTTGCTCTGTTCACTCAGAAAGTAAGAAGAGATTTCAAGTACTATACCTGTATACCAGGGGCAATGCGGATAAGCTTGAAGCTTTAAATAAATAAAAGAATACTTAGATTTATACTTGGAGATTACTCGTCTCCATACAACACTATTCTCTCAAAAGTCTGCTCTACTTCGTTGTGTAACAAACGCATTCAAAATTTTCTCATTCTGTTATATAAGAGTTTGTTTTTCACTCATTTCCCTACTTTTATGAAGAATATGTTTTCACTCCGGTCTTCTTCGTATGATCTTCGTGGCAACTACATTCTTTCACTAAGTAAACCTAAAACAACTACCTATGGTCTTAACGCCTTTTCTTACTTTTTGGCTAAGCAGTGGAATGTACTGCCGGACTTTTTTCGTACTAGTTTTTTTGCAGACTTTAAGACCAAAATACAGGATGTTACCTTCATGTAGATTCTTTTTGCCTGACATACTTAAACTTAAAATTGTGAATTGTAGATAATATTTTCTTTTTTTTATGTGCTTATTATTATTAATATTATTTTATTATTATTACTTATAATTCATTTAATTTAAATATATATATATATATTTCTACATTATTTTCATGTAGTGTCAGCTCGAAGATATTAGCTTGTTAGCTATTCTAAAATTCGAGCATAAATAAAGTTTTATGTTACGTTATGGGGAGGGGGCGCGGAAATTCCCATACAACAAAATGACCTCTTGACACTATTGTCTATATATGGAGGTTAGAGAATTGGAAATTTCTTTTGCTTTCAGAAAAACCTTACTTCTTTTACTAAGAAAAACTTACTATCATTGCTTTTTTTGTTTAAGGTAATCACTGCAAGAACGGAGGCATCATGACAAAACCCAAAAACCACATGTTCAAGTGTTTGTGTCCTCCCAAATATGGCGGACCTCTCTGTGAAGGTGCGACAAGAATTGTAAACTGCAACAACCTTTTTTCATTTATCCTGGACAATACAAATCAATTTTTAGGTGACAATTTTCCCAGACAATGATATATTTCTTTGATAAGTATTTAATATATATTTCTCTGGTAGACAGTTCAAGGGGCCGATAAACGTTATGTTCACACCACGTTCGCTAAATAATTTTCCAAAAATGAACAACGTTTGAACAGATATAAGATCAATAACGACAAGGCAACGGCTTCAAGAGGTCACAGAGGAGCGTGCTTCCTTGCTAGCAGAAGTCTCTCCTCGTCGTTAGAGACTGCTAGCAGGGAAGAGCGTGCCCATCTGCCAACCGTGAATATATCACACATTGCCGTTTTTCAGTAATTGCATTTTTCATGTAAAATTTGCACAAATTTTTATCCTGCGTTTGATCCAACAAAAATTGTCGAAAGAAATTTTCACACCAAAATTGCTTGCGCAGTGAACGCGTCCAGAACACGTGTAAAACTCCAAATAGAATAAATGCTCAGATTAGACATCCTGGACTCTCATTTAAACATTTACAAGCCTACATAAGTTAAGCCTTACTGAAAGATGTACGTGCGCATCGTGGTTATTGCACAAGTTTGGAGTCCGTCTAGGAGGAGGGGAGTTCTCATTGTAGAGTCAAATGTAATAAATGACTGAAAAACGAAAGGGAGCAAGCCCAGGTGTTCGTTACTAAGAGATATCTGTATCTTAAAGCTTGTCAAGATTGAGCAGCAGATTGTTGACGCAATGACTGAATCCTTTACGAATTTAAGCTGGAAAATTGATAAAATGCCAATGATAATAACAAAATATATGTATGGTTTTAACATTAGTGTCCGTTGATATAATTTTAAATCATTGTGTTCTTCTTTGGTGCAATTACTTCTTTCAGATACATTATTTTGTTACTATAATCCGTGTAAAAATGGAGGCACGTGTGAGGAACACGGAATAGGTTATAAATGCAGATGTACACCAGGGTTTGAGGGACAAACTTGCGAAGGTGAGGACATCTCTTCCATTTATAGCTTTGTAAGAGTATTCACATTTCATCGAAATCATATTTATAAGTTTGTTTATTGTGAATAGGTCTTGCAACATCCATGGCTAGTGCAAGAATAATTAGATTTATTTACTTCTTAGAAATCGACCAAATTATGATTTTTCTATTTTTTTTCGGTCACAATTCTCCTTTCATCGTAGATCGCATGTCAAACAAAATTTCTCCATCAATACTATTTGAAACATGCATGTCTTTTGTCAAAATGTTGGTGTCTTGTGTAATGATGCGTTTGTTCATTCAACAGAACGGAATTTTTGCAAGCCCAACCCTTGCTCCATCCATGCTAAATGTGTAGAGACTCAAGACAGTTTTAAGTGCATCTGTGAAGAGGGTTATAAAGGAGAGAAATGTAAAGGTAATGAGATACTGTTTCATAAATAGATAACAGTTGAATCCAAGATTTCTGCTATTCTCTTCACCAAAATCACCATTGATAATCATCATCATCATCATCATCATCATCATCATCGTCGTCGTCGTAGTCGTCGTCATCGTCATTAAAATCATCTTCAACGTAATATTTAAGGAAGGGTTCTACATTCTGCTCAGTTTCTTGTATCTTAGGGATTTCTTGTAGAAATGACTTGATTTGCTTTTCAGGCGGCCATCCTTTTCTAATCATTACAAGGCTTTTATTTATGTTTGCTGCTTTCTTTTTATCCACACAATGTACATGTTTGTAATTGTCCTATCAAATTTCTTTTGCTGCAAGATGACTGTTTGCTGGACAGGCTTTACCCTTTTTTTTTTCAGTTATTATTATTTTTTAATTTGGCCTGTTGACCTTTATTCCATTACTATCCTGTAACATTAAGGGTGGCGAAAGTGTTTCGTTTCAATGTTAAATGCCTGGATATATGATAAAGGTTAAGTTACATGTAAATCCTTAAGGGCGTTTATTACGGCTTGTACAATTCTTATACTGTAGACCCTGATGAAAAATTCTGAAAAAATGTCTGTACAATTTCTTTCAGATATCGATCCATGCAACCCAAATCCCTGTCAAAACGATGGAATATGTAAAGACGTACAAGGGGAAGTTCAGTGTGAATGCAAACTTCCTCATAAGGGAACATTCTGCACAGGTCAGTTTCTCGTCACAATAGCGTGGGATGCCTCCTACGGTCTATCTAGCCTAAATACCACTAATTGAAGCCATCGTTTGTTTAAATTTTGTACAAAATCGCAAGATTTGCATAGCTTCATAGGAAAAGGGAATGACTGTATCAATTCACTTAAAGTGTACAGTTAGTGAATATAAGATTAAGTATGATTACCATATTAAAGTCTCACGAGTTATGGAAGACAGTCATGACCAACTATTTGCAAGGATTCTTAATTGAGGCAGACTTGAAAATATATGGACGTTTTCGAAATACCTCGGACTAGTAACTTAATGCTCGGGTCGGACGCATTTATGGGCAGGTGCAGCCGTAGCCTGAGTGTTTTGCTATCATGCAAACAGAAATGTGCGCCACTGCAAAGAAAGTAGTCTTAAAGTTGGTATAAAAGAGGGTCTCAATGGGGTTAACCGATAGGCGTAAAACGGCCAAAAATTTAGTCGATAGCCGTAAAAATTGAAAAATTTTAACCGTTAGCCGTAAATAGGGTAAAAAGAGTTAACCGTAAAAGAAATTGTTCCCTAGATTTGCTACTTTTAAGGAAGGTACTAAACTCACTTATGTTTGCGTTTTTTATTTCCCTGCTACTGTGGCTCCGTACGCACGTTAGGTAAAGCGTCTTTTAGGTGTTGACCAAGACCCTGGTTCCATTTCCGCCGCTCTCTCGGGGAACTAATTTTTTTTCCATAGCAAAAGTGTGGCTTCTTGCTGGGGATTAATATTTGCGATTTTCAGGAGGTCGTGCCCTCGAAACACTAGTGAAACAACACGCAGAGATGTCACTGTTGTAAAACACGTTGCCGATAAACAACATTTCCCTGTTTTTCTCTGACGCTACGGTAGACATTGCCATGCCTAGTCCCTGTACGGCGTCTTCCCACGCAATCTCGGCCAAGGCATTTCGGTGGCGAACTCGCTTGGACCATGTGACCCGAAACGCATTAGCCGCACGAAATAATGAGGCCTACGGACAAGGCAACGGCTGACAGTGGTTCCGTACAGTCCTTCGCTATCATTAAAAACACTGGACACGGGAATTTTGTTATTGGCCGTTTTCACACTGGAGCTAGAAACGGATTATCCGTCTGAGACTAGCCTGTGTACAGCCACCCCCTTCCCGACAGACCTCCTTCTCCGATTTTTTTCTGAGAGGAGAGGGCGGCTGTACACAGGCTATCTGGAACGGATAATCCCGTCTTCAAACTGTCCGTCGAAATTGATGGATAAAGTCAGGCGGATTGTTCATTCAAAATTAAAACGATTCCATTTTCAAATTAAGACGTATTACCCATCTGACGCGAATCATCAAACGGATAACCCGTCTCACACGAATAATCCGTCTCTAGTGTGAAAACGGCCCTTTCTGTTGTAATGAATGTCGCGCCCCGACCTTGAGTTGGGCGTTCACGTGTGTGCTTTGCTTTTTCACAAAGATCATTTTTAAATTGACTATTGACATTTCTATATGTAAAATAATATTGAAAATGGAATACTTCAAAAAAAGTTTGATCTATCAAATGTTAAAATTTTTCAAAAGAATAGCTTATTTCACATCCCTAGATGATCTTAAGACCTTTATTTTGCTTTAAAGGTACAAAAAATACAGGTTAATTAATATTTAACTTTTTGAAACAAAAACAAGCTAATTGTTAACTTTTTTGTTAACCGTAACTTAAAAAAATTAGCCGATAGCCGTAAAAGAGCGAAAATTTTAGCCGATAACCGTAAATGCCACCACCCCATTGAGACCCTCATAAAACGGTGTCTTAAATATTTCTCCATTATTATTGCCTCAACAATACAATATAGGGACAGTCAATCGATAATTCAAGCCTTTAATGAAGCTATAGTATATAAATTTGTCGTATTGGCTGCATTAAGACAGAATCCATTAGGAAACTGAGTAATTTTGATTTTCAATGGACGAAATCCTTGTACCGGAATAATTTTAAAGCGCATTGCATTCTTTTTTACATTTTTCAAGGGCTATAGATGTAACTAGCATGTGTAATAACACAAAAGAAAATTTCTCATGGGGACCCGAGAAAATATATGTCAAATTTAACAAAATAACAGCTTGCATATGAAATTTTCAGAATTTTACCTGTGTTTTCACAATCCTAATGAGATTTGGCATTCATTTTCTCGGGCTCCCATAAGAAATCTTCTTTGGTGTTATTACAGGTACCTAATTACATGTCTAACCCTTGAAAAATGCAACTACTCTTTAAATTATTCTGGTACAAGGTTTTTGTCCACTGAAAATTAAAATTACTCAATTTCCTGGTGGATTCTGTCTTAATTTTCTGTATCCTTTATTTTTCACAAGAGACACTTGTATGCTATCATAACCCTTGTCATCATGGTGGTACTTGCGTGGAGAATCCACTAGCACCTTGTGTCTGCCCAAATGGATATATCGGCCCTCACTGTGAAGGTAACATCTTAGGCCAAATCTTGCTTTGAAGCAACACCAAACACCCGAGGGTAAATAAAATCTTGTGTCCAATTCATTTGTGTCTCTTTACAGGTACATACGCCTATAAAGTAGCCAGGTACAGTTGAATCTCGATTATCCGGACTCGTTGGGACTTCAGTAAATACAGTGTAGTCCAGATAATCGTAAAATAAGAATCAAGTTAATGAGACAATAATGAGACGGGGTGCGGCGGTATGCGCAAGCTATATTGGTTAAAATGATTGAATATATACTGTGAAACCAAACGCTAAATGAAGTACGCGCAAGTCCTGTGCAATAACAAGGGTAGAAAGAGGAACAAATATGAATTTAGGTCAAAGAAAACTTGCCGGCTCGAAAAATATCATGTCAGTAAGGCTCACTGGCGCAGAGACAACATCATCTCACGTAGAAATCAAAATCATTTTGGTGCGAATACAAATAGACTATCATTTTTGCTAAAACAATTTTTAAAATGACAGCAATGAACCAAAGAAACCGTTCGTTTTTGTTGAATTTACAAAGGTGCTAGGTTTAATGAAGAAACGCAGTAAAATATTACTATAGTTAAAGTTATGTATTAACCGTAGGAAATGCCCTATACCCGAGACACTTAAATTTCTCAAGCATGCTAAGGCATGGCTCAAGTTTTGATCTCGATGCCCCGCGAGGATAAAGCTGTTTTTCTTTTACGGCCATGCATTTTAATTCTAGATATAACTTTCTTTGAAGGCGTTGAATTAATTAGGGTTGAAGTGATGTAGTCACGTGAAACGTGACGTCATAATGATATTCAAAAATAAATTCAAAATAGGGTAGGAATGGTTGATTACAACTAAATATGAACCATGTGTAAATGTTTGTTTTACCGTACGAATTTTTCCATGGCCGGAACGGAGAGAATTTTTAATTTCTTAAAGAGATATTAACAGGCGAAGAGTGTCACTTGTCCTACTTTGCTTAATTACTAATTATATGAAAAAAAGAGTCAACCATTCCGGCCAGATTCAAGCGAGAAATGATGATACAATAACAAAAATACTGTATGTAATATATACTGTGTGGCATCTCGTCACCCTATTTTTAGTTTTCTCTTCTTTCCTGGGCTCGACCATAAGTGGTCACGTGACACAGGTATCTGTTTTCGTACGTTACAGGAAAATTAATGTTACCGAATTTCCCGAGGTTGCCAAATTTTGGAAGGTTCCGATAAATTTTAACAAAGTTATGATCATTATAAGATTTTATGCAAATGAGCCCCAGGCCATGCCTTAACATGCGTGACAAGTTACATGACGTCACAGTAAGATTTCATTATATCATTAATGATGGCCTGCTTTGCTTTAGATCACGTGTGTCACCCGAACCCGTGCGTCAACGGAGGGAGCTGTCAGGTTGAAAGCAACACTGGGCACCAAAGATGGACTTTCAAATGCGAATGTCCACTAGGGTTTATTGGAAAACTGTGCCACAGTATGTAACATATCATGGGTATCAAGCATTTCTTAGGATTTTAGGGTTCGGTCTTCCCCTCTCTTTTCAGAAACGCTTGATCGCCGATAAGTACCAAACTGATTCTACAAGAAGACCTTTATGTTAACATAGACGTTTAAACTTTTTCAATTTTGGTGAATATTCCCCGTGAGGTTTTCTTAGATAGTATTGCTGGTTTTCAGTGTCACGTCATTAAAAATAGATCAAAATAAAAATCAAAACCATTCGACAGATAAAGTCCAGAAACCCTCGCCAAGATTTGGGTCGAAGGAATAGTTTGTATACGAGATATCCGAGGAAATGTTTTACCCAAATTTATAGAGCTTTGTACGGAGACGCCATGCTGGAGCTCATCCGGATGAGCTCCAACATGGCGGACGGAAACCAACAGAAACATCTGTCACCTAGTTTTGCTACAAAAGCGGGAATTTACTCCTAGAGGAACTCATAAACATTAAAGTAATACTTTTTCTAATACTTGAACTGTTTAGATAGCAAAATTTCCCGAAAAAAAGTCACTTTTTTAAACCTAAATGACAGCTCTCTCGGCCGTCATGTAAATCAGGTAAATGCTGTGTCACGCAAAAGCTTAGAAATTCAAGCGTACTCTATTACAAAACCAAGAACCCTTTTGAAGCGAAAATTTGTTTGAAAATTAGTTTTCAGCTGCTCTAATACACCATGAAAGTAAAATCTCAGTAGGATCGATAGTTTTGCAGTTTGAATTTTAGTGACTTCACGTGAAAACCAAGAATCATTCGTTATAACAGACATATTTATTGCAGGCAGTATAAGCAAGATTGAACTACCAGGATAAACCCATTCTTGTCCGGAAGGTTATCTACTAAGAAGAAAGAGACAGGCTATCTATCGGGATACATGTACAGTAGGTCGAGAGAATCTATTCTGTGGTGACGAGGATGCGAAGACAGGCATGCATGTTCATAAGAAGCTAAAATATTCTCATATTTCTATTCCCAGTTCCGCATCCATGTTTATTCTTTGTTTGTTTAAATGGTGGAACCTGCTTTGACGGACAAACTACACAAGATGTAGCTACAGACTTAGAACTGACTTCTCGACCCTTGATGAATGCTGTCTGCCACTGTTTGCCTGGCTTTACAGGGAAGAGATGCGAAAGTATGTAAACTGCATCTGGAATGTCTTGCTTGTATTGGAATCGTTCCTGAAATTGGGATAAGCGGGTTGTATCACTGAATGGGGCAGAAAATTTCCACAAAACGTTACGAATAACGACAGGAGCCGATTGGAGGCTGCCAATGGTAAAACAGCTGCAAACAGGAAGTGTATCGGTAAAATTTGATGGGTTGAAGAAGAGAGAAAGCATTAACAATCGAATTGATAGTTTTCCTGTGGTGCAAAGGTATTTGCTTTTTTACTTAAAGGGGCTATGTCACCCAACACGCATGCGCGAGCCAATGAAAACAAACTTGAAAAAGACAGCCCAACTTTTTCAAGTTGTGTCGGAGATTTTGGAAGGCTTTTTTTATCTGTCTAAATCTCAGCCATCGTTCGATAGTTAGCGAAGTTTTGTATTAAGAATCATTCTATGGTGATTACAGAACAATTTTTTGGCGTTATTTTAAAATTGTTTGCCTGTGGAATGTTTTTACGTGGATTTACTGTGTCCTCTTATCAGCGGCCGTTGTAATGGCAGAGTTAATGACGGCTACTCCACAATGAGTGATGGAATCTTTGATGGAATCTTCCCTATAGTTCACAGGACCTTTCTATTGAGTTATTTTAGAGGCTGCTGGCTCTTGGATTTTTCTTGTACTCAAAGTATGTGGACATATAATGAAGCGGCTATCGAGTTGGCGGCGGCCGTTTTTTGTAAACGATTACAAGAGCATCAGGCCATGAGTTTCGTGACGAAACTAAACTCCTGGCGAAGGAAACATTCTAAAATTCGGCTAGATTCCTTGTTGTATTTATCTCGATTCACGGCAAAGATAAACACGACCGTTTGCTCGTCCAGATTGTTCTCAACGGACTTAGAGAGGCACCTTAGTACGAGTTAGATCCTGTAAATGCCATGTTTTTGAACTGTTTGTGTTGGAGCATAATTTTGGAAAATAGCAGAGTTTGCTTTCCCTTTTTATCAACGGACTGCTTATAGTGGAGTAGTATACCAATGATGCTGGGTTTTTCTCGACGTCGCAGTGATTCGGCACGATCGAACAATTTTGCGCGAAAATGTATGTTTCCCTAAGATCAAAACAAAGACTTGGTCTCTTGTTCTATCAGCATCTAAATTATAAAATCAATAGCGACAGACAAGTCTAATTGTTAATGATTTGAAACAGTCTTGGTCTTTATCTTCGGTCTAGCGTCTTTTGTAGCTCGTTTGTAAAATACAACTTCCATTTATTTTGTTGAATAAGACAATATTTTGTTGTTGAATTTTTGTTTGCGCTCTATTTTATGAATGGCATGCGTTTTTACTTCAAAACTACAAGTAAAATTGTCGTCGCAATTTTATTCTTTATCTAGCATAACCAGAGAAGAAACGTTCCATACATTCTATCGAAATATCCCTTATCTAAACCCATTTCGCTAAACCTCTCTAAATTCGGAACCTTGGACGTGACAGATAACATGAAGAAAGTCACGCGTTAAAAACAATAGCATTTTGACAGTTGAAAGTAATTTGCATAACCTCACAGCGCACATGGAGAAAGTCACGCGTTAAAAACAATAGAATTTTGACAGTTGAAAGTAATTTGCATAACCTCAGAGCGCATGCTCTCCAGCTGACATAGCCCCTTTAAGGAAGATGTCCGCTTACAACAGTTTGTAACAGTATTGCATTGACGTAGAATCTTTGTTTTGTAATGGTAGTCCCTTTCAGTGGCGGTATTTTACGAGAGGTTGCCGCACACGAAAGACTGTGTTCAGGCTCCCCCTTACCTATAGTTTGAGGGGGGAAGCGGCTGTATACATGCTCGAGGGATAAGGTCGTATTGTCCACATGTAACCTGAGATCAGGTGTAGTTTTAGAGATATAGGGAGGGTATGATCGATGGCTAATCCACATGTTAGCGTAATAAATGTAGAATAATTTTTGATTATTTGGTTTCTTTTGCTTTTTTAGCTAAAATATGTGACATGTGCCACGTAAACGCTACCTGCATCAATAACCGTTGTGTATGCAACGCCTGCTTCATTGGAAATGGATTTCAATGTGAAGGTAAGCAGAGTATTATACACAGTGTGAAGAGTACAATTTTTCAAGGTAACACGGTAGACTCAAAGAATGGCCCACTGCTTTGAAGGCAAATTAGACATACTAGACAAAAGGAATTTCTTAGAATTTCGAAATTTTGTTTCTGTTACCGTAAGGTGAAGGTGTCGTCTTCTCACGAACTTTAATGTGCTAAGGTCAAAAATTAACTGAAGTTATTCGAGTAACAGTTGGCAAGACTTAATTGTGCACCCATATTCTTGCTACTGATTGATTTACTACCTCCCCTTTATCAAACAGGTGATTAACTGATTTCTTATATATTTTATGTCTTTTGTGTTTACTCATGTCAGAAATCGACAACCCGTGTAAGCCAAATCCTTGTAAGAATCTGGGAGTTTGTACTTTGGGACCTGATAGGTCTTACACATGTGAATGTAACAAGGGATATTGTGGGCCACACTGTGAATGTGAGTTAAAAATTTATTTTTAAATACATTTCATACGTTCGTTTTATACATTGTAAACTAATCGTCATTATCGGTTAATTGGATATGTGAGTCCTTTAGTATTTGTGAGAACGTTGTCCCACAATTTTTCTCACGTTCAACGATAGCGCACAACAATGTCGCTGGGTGGTAAATGCGCTGATCTAACAAATGGAAATTCACCTTGGAGGGAAAATAAGGACAGTTGTATTACATTTTATGAAATCTTTAACTACAGAATCGCACGTTTTTTCCATATAAAGTTGACATATTAACTTCTCTTTTCTTTTTGTTTGTCAATGTGGCAATTTTTAACAGCATTATGCGATCCTTGTGTGAGCAATCCCTGCCAAAACAATGGAACATGCACACCACATGGCAATTTCTATGTTTGCACGTGTTCACCAGGTTTCACAGGAGTTAACTGTGAGCGTAAGTACACCAGCATCGTTGTGGCGTGCCCATAAAACGTTTTTTTTCACCATGATAGGTTTTATGGGCCGTTACGTGTCGAAGATGTTCTAACGTACAGCTAGACAAATTTATACATATTTATAGCAGTTTGAGGCTGCATTTACACTATACTGGATATAGCTTAAAAAAATGCTCCTACCTAACTATAAATACCTGTTCACACTGCAACGAAGAGTGTCAAAGAAACCTATTCAATATGTCTTGATATAATTTCAAGACCAGTACGGCGCAACAGGAATTCTACGCTTCTTTTACAGAGACCTCTCCGAAATCACCTTTCTTACCTGTGAACAAAAGTCTTTACGAGATGGCTTTTTTCCTGGAGCACGAGCTATCCATGGTTAGACATTTTTTAGCCTCATAAATTATTGGAGAACTGAAAGTGCATAGCTACTTATATAATGTTTTTCATTATTCCTATTTTTTTTAACAGTAGTTTTAATTTGGGTAATTCAACCAGTAAAGTTTTGAAAAGTTCAGAAATAAGATTTTTGATTTTTACACACTTCAGTTTCTACGGGTTACTTAACCTGACTAATTATTGTTCTTTCAGTTACTTTAGCAAATCCGTGTGATTCACAGCCTTGTTTGAATGGAGGAACGTGTGAGAATGATATAGCCAAGAATGATTACCGCTGTTCCTGCAAAGGAAAATTCACGGGAAAAAATTGTCAAGGTATTTGACTCATTACAGTCTTTATGGTGTATATATAAGCTTGCCTTTCTTAAAAAAAAAGAACCTTCTTACTCACTTCACCAATAGTAGTATAGTCTGGACCGGTTAGTCCGTTTTTTGGGGCAGGAATTTAATTTTATTATTGACAGCAGGATCACATTAGCCCCGATAACGTCATAGCCTTTCTTTTGATTTCACAGATAAAATGCGGCGGAATGAAATAAAGTTTAAGTCTTGTTTAGGTTGGTTTGACGGTTGGGCAGGCTTCCAGATCTATGATGCCAAAGTTTATTTAAAGTTGTGAGCACTTGTCCTTACTTGGTCATCGTGTCCGTTGTGGTAAATTCACTGAATCGTAACATCATTAGGCATGTAAAGTTCTCCAGCTGCCTTTTTCGCCGTTTCGTTGTCCATACTGATTCTTCGCGCCAAAATCGGGGATATTAATTTCGGCGAGGGCAAACTATTGTAGTTCATTCTAGTGACTTAACTTTCACTCACGTAATGAGTTACAATAGACTGGGGATGAGAAACGTCACTGTTTAGAAATAAAAAACATATTGATTTAAAATGTTGTTTTTAGAGTGCAGCTGTCTTCAAGCTACTGCTCCTACCGGAGAACCTTTGGTTGCAAAATGTGACCTCGAAGGAGGTTGTTACTGTCCATCTTTTCAAGGTCAACTTCACACCTACTCGGCAGATGAAGGTTGTCAGCCTGGTAAGATTTGTAAGCGTCTAGTCACTCGACAACGATCCACTACATGGCAATCCTTTTTTATCAAACCGTTGAGATGGTATTTTAATGAACTTTATGAAAATTCGCTTGATCTAGCTCGTAACGTCGAGACCTGCTATATCGAGAGACTGTAGAACAGGTTTGGTGCCCTACGTAGACCAAAGGACTCCACACTATACGCAATGGCGAGCGAATACAGTCAGCTCTTTCTTAGACGTGTTCTTGTAATGAGGGCATCCAGATCGAGTTGTTCTTTTCTTCATGTTGCTCTTAAGAACGGATGAATGAACTGCAATGTCAGTTTAAGCAAGGTGTCTCTCAAGAGAGATTTGACTCTATCACCAAATCAACTGCAGTAGTAATACCATGAAGGTATCAATAATGGCAACCTAAGAATCTAACCATAATAACCAATATTAACTTAAGTATACACCAGGCCTTCAAATACCGACTTTTAAATTTAATGTTACTGCGTGCTAACCACACCACCCTCTCAAGTGTAACGCACTACACTACCATATCAGCTGTTAAAAAAATCGCGGGAAATGGTAGTAAGAACAATTTTAGGCCAGGTTAGATATCATTAATACATGAAAATATTATTATATTCAACTCTATTAACTTCATAATTTCACTAGAAAACACGGTTATTTCCTCTTACCTGTTGGAGACCTAGCGACATCTTCACCTCAAATACCATTTGCGCGACTAGATGTCGGGAAAAAACTGCAGGAAGGTCAAGACCATGGCTCTCATATGAGTTTGGGCCTGATTTTAATGCCCTACCTTATAATCTGCTTCTTCGAACTCTCGGTTTTCTCTTGCCTTGCCAGATTCTTTTGTTTATGATTACGTTTTTCTTTAACGAGCTGTTTAAGCCTTATAACCAAACATCTTAAATTTATGTTTAAATCCAGACTGAACATTATTCCTTCAGCTTTTGAGGTACGAGGATCGGAGCTGCGAATCGCTATAAAATTTACTTTTCTATGTTTTAACAATTAAAGATAATAAATTAACATTGTTTCCTCTCTGTTTAAGATAAGGGAAATCCATGCAAATCTCATCCTTGCAAAAATAATGGTTCATGCTTACCACAGAACGGTGGCTTATCTTTTGTGTGTCTTTGCCCAGACAAATATTACGGGAAAACCTGTGAATGTAAGTCATTGTTTGATACACTAAACAATAACCATACAAACGTATACTTACACTTCAATCGACCTTCAATTTTAAATTTTGTCTTACAATTTTGTTTAACATCGTCAAAGTGAATTCAAAGATTCAAGACAATTCTCTAGCCTGATATTGTTAATGAAAAATCATATCCGGCGAACTTCAGTAAAACCACGCTTTACATATTATTTTGAGGTCTTCTTTTTTAATGACTATTGTCTCAGTCAGACGGTAATCTTTAAACGGTAGCTCAATATATTTTCATATTGTTGTTCTTTGTTTTTGAAAATTTTAGGCACCCAATGTCTGTGCAACAATCCATGTTTAAATAAAGGAGTCTGCGTGGATATTTCCACCCACCTTGTTAAATGCACTTGTCCTAGTGGTTTCACTGGGTACTTTTGCGAAGGTCAGTAAAATCGGTTTACTCTTTAAATCATGCTGACGACCACAATATTTTTTGTATGAAGTACAGCTAAGTCTATGTAATAATCTCTATCATCAGCTATGTATGGCCACAGTTATTACTTCAGTGATGACATGTGTTTCACTGTGGACTAGCAAAGCCTTTACTTTCCATATTGACTTGCAAATGCATTTTGTCGGCCTGCCAACAGCTGTCATTCCTACTGTTGGTCCAGGAGCATGTCACTCGAATCCCTGTGTGAATGGAGGAACTTGTGTTGATAGAGCGTTTGGGTCTTATGACTGCATCTGCACCCCACAATTTACCGGACCTCATTGTGAAGGTAAATACAATCGCGGCAAACGTAACTGCCTTTGTTGCTATGTTAATCTGCTATTTGGGTCATGATCATCTGCAAAAATAATCTTTATTCAGATAAAAGGATCGATTAACATAAATAGAAATGCCTTTAAATCTGCCACCAATTTCAATTTCTTATTCACCTTCCCTCGTAACTCATCGCTTTAGCATCAAAACTATTCTTTATCTTTAACTATCTAGTTTAGGATTTTCTAACGAATATTTGTTTTGGTACGCAAAAATTAACTCAGCATTGCCCACATATATTTTGTGTCAACGACTCAATTCTTCCCGGAGATTACGAGCCACTTGTATTGTACATTTAACTTACCTCCTCTCATTCCCTTCAGTTGATAAATGTGCTGACTGTGACACCAATGCGGACTGTGTAAATGGAAAATGCCGATGCAAGATAGGTTATGTTGGAACAGGATACGCATGCGTTAAAGGTAATCTAGCTGCTAAGAACTGAAGATGATAGACAAGAGAGTTGTCTATCATCGTGCAGGCGGGACATGTCTCAGTACAAACTCTCTTATAGGCTAAGGCCTAACTTTTAACTTTTAATGAGAAGAACTAAACTGGGTGGGTTACGTTCATGAGAAGTTCGATTTCTGTATCAGTTAAGTTTGTCTCAATGAGTTTGGGGGGGACCAACACGTTCTATCCATCTGCTTCAGTTGGTAATGTTTTGTGGTTGATTTGATACTCAATTAATTCGATGAAAGATCCAACAGACATTTAGGTCTACCCAAATCAAAATTTGTTTCGTCTCATGAAAAGTTTGAAGTTTAATTTTGGTTTTATAGTGAGCAGTTATTAGTTATCATTACTTCGTTCACTGCCAACTTTAGTCATATTTCTCCTGGACATGTCCCATGAAATTAAACCTCATGGGGGAAGTATTGGGTATATATAGCGCCATGAATGTTCCACTGTTGCTTCGGACCTTCGTATGTAAAGTTTTTTTGTGCACGTGCGTTGGCAACCCCAAATAACAAAGACTGGCGGCCCTTTCTACGTCCCTGCTATGCGTATCTCTAGCGTTTATTACAGAGGCTTTGTTGCTGTTACCAATATTTCTGCAGCATTTCTATGCCGCATGACCTTCGTGTTTCAGTCCACGTTTGCATCATCGGGCAGTTGATCCAAAATTGATGCACCAGTGCTCATGGCGTGCCTCAAAAACTTCAGGAAAGGCCGTGTAATGCTATACAAAGGTGTTCTTACATTAAGAAATTTAAAATAGAAACTCTGAAACTACCATTGCTAGTTTGCCGTCCATTCCTTGGGCGCTCAGTTTTGAGGGAGAGAAAAAAACAAACAAATATGCAAACAACAACACTTTGAATAACCGTGGACTTTTAATTTCAGATGAAAAAGAGAAAGAATGCGAGGAGGTTGTGTGTCCCATTACTCAATACTGCGTCCGAGGTGTTTGTGTATGTCTACCAGGAAAGTTTTGTTAACTGAGTACAACTATCCTGTCTTGGGCAGTTATTTGTTATCATTTTCAGTAACGTTTCGTTTAAACCCAAAGGCCTCCTAAAACGTTCTGTCGGACGTACAATGAAAGAGAGAGCCTGACGGATAAGTTGTAGCATTAATTGTAAAGGTTACGCTAATACAATACTTGTCTTTATTATATACATACTGAGAAATACTCACCAAAAAGCTATGTCGTAAATTTTCGTACGCAAATTAGTTATAGCCAATCAGAGGAGCGAACGATGGTTTTCACACGTGAAAAAAACGATACGTCCAATCAGAATCGCGAACGATGTTTTTTCACGTGTGAGAAAAATGATACGTCCAATCAGAAGCCACAGAGGTGTGCGAGTTTCGCGCCAAAATTCCCGCCTTTTATTGCAGCTTGCAGCGCCGCTTCGCACACATTTATCAACGAGAAAAGTTTTACTCAAGGAGTTTTTCTCGCTAAAAAAGTGAAAAACATTTCGGAAATGGAGTGGAATAGTTTCGTTTGTTTCACTGTCGATAAAAAAATACGGTAGAGAGCCGGCGAAACAACAGCGGAAAGGGATAAACAGAACGAGACGTAAGCTTTTGTTGTGCTTTTTGTCGGAGCTACTTTGCCTTTCATTTAAGCTTAAGCTTATATTGAAACCGGCCAGTTTACTTAAATTCACTCATTTTCAATTGTGCATTGAGAACAAACAGTTAAGATTAATTATAGTTCTTGGATTAAACCTCATATCCTCACCGTCATTTATGTTTTTAACAAACGTTTTTACTAAAAAGCTGATACTTCGTTTTCGTTGTCATTTTGCGGTAAGTGTGTAGCGGCAAATTTTAGCATTTTTGAAAGATTTAAAATAAAAAGGCCTGCAAAATGATGAATGACTCAGTATGTATATAATAAACACAATACCACATGGAAAGTGCTTTGTACGGTATTTACGCACTCGTTGTTTTTGTATCAGAAATCTTACTCGTTCGCTGCGCTCACTCGTTCGATTTCTGATACGTCAACAACTCGTGCGTAAATACCGTACGCCAGCACTTTCCATGAAGTATTCTCTATATATTAAATAGATCAGGAGACATTATTGGATCAGCGACATCAAACGAGATTGCCGCCATTTTAGATTTCACTGATCGCTCGAACAACGTTTTTTCTTTCAACCTGTATAAAAAATCACAATTAAACGTTTCTCTATACAAGCGTTTGAAGAAATCGTTTGTTTGCCTTTTTTATGTTAAAAGTTAGAATATCGATTTATTCCTCTCCCTCTTTGTGCTGTGTGGAAAATGTTGTTTAACTTATCTTAACTTAACGGGCTAAGTGACTTTTATGTTCACATAAAAGATATATCTAAAAATAGAGAATGCTAAGAGATATAGCCTACGTAGCCTAGGGGTTTTTATTACTGAGCATTACTGAGCGGCGAAGCCGCAAAAACGCGCGCCAAGCGCGCGACAACGCTCCCACCTCAATTTCCTCGAGGTTTCTCTGCCCTCGCCCGCCTTTATTACTTTGCCCGCCCAACCAAAACCGCCATGCTACGCAGGCTATGAGAGATATTAAGTAAAGGACTAAATACTTTTGGATATATATTTGTACCCAAAATTGAATATCAGTAGGCAACGCAACACAAAGAAGAACTAAAATACTGTATACACATATTAAAACTGGCGGATTTGCCTATTTCTTTTCAAATATAGAACGTTTTCTCGACTTTATAAGGCCATAAAAATTCATCTGTTGGCCTTTTTTGGGCCCTTTAAAGACCCAAAGGACATATTTCGCTATTTTCGGATTTCGGTTTGTCGATTGCCGTGTATTCTAGGAAGACTCTGCATGAATTTAGTAAGATCTTTGTTGAGCATGCGCTGGATGTTGTTGATATACAGGGTCCAACCCAGGCCTGATAGCCATACATACACACATATATAACCTTTATTTTAACTCGAATTTTAGAGTAGCTACAATGTGTAGCTAATGCTTTCGAGAAACAAATTAAGATCTCTGAAAATTGAAAAAAAAAAATACACACACAAAATAAGACAAAAATTAGTGAAAACTAATTAAACGTATTGAGACTTTGCACACGTCACTTAAAATCATTAAAAGTGTATGCACAGTTCCTTAATTCGTCGGGAAGATCGTTCCATTGCTGGGCAGTTGGTACTGCGGGCTACGTTATATCCGGACGATTAATGCTGGAAAGGCAGTTTCAATATATTATTAAAAAGAAAGCAAAATAATTAACGGACACAATGTTCCTTTTCCTGTAAACTAGGGGCATTATAGTTCAGTGTTTGTCTAAGTGTCTCAATACACGTAAACTTCCAGAATTTTGGTTTCTCCGTTGTTGTAATTTTCACAAATGTGCATAACAAGTTGAAATCCTTAGCTGCAGCTAGCGATACTATGATGGACCTTTCAGCGTTCCGGTATATTAAGTCAGTGAATTCACCTCATGGAATGGAATCCATGACAGATACAAAAACGTGCAAGTGTTGCAAGTAACAACGACAACGTGTACAAGTTCATAAATACAGCCAAGAAAACCAGCTGCATTAGGTTTTTTGTGAATTTTGAATTTTAGTCTTCATTTAGTTTAAAAAAGCAGGAGCTCATGGAGAATGGGCTCCTGAAAAAAGTTAATTTCTATTTTATTTTCTCGGAAAAATTAATTTTCCGGGGAAAATGCCACTAAAATGCTCGAATAATGCTCAATGCTTTTGCCTCACTAAAATGCTCGAAAAAATGCCAGCATAATGTACAAAAGCCTATCGTGGATTCTTAATTTCACTCCGGTCATTCACTCCGGATTCCAGGTACTGGATTCTGGATTCTTTGTCAGTGGAACTTGCTTAATTGGATTCTGAATTCCAACGGTTAGTGGGATCCAGATTCCTTGAGTTTTATTCCAGATTCCAAAGCCCAGGATTCCATATTTTACGAGATAACTTTTCTGGATTCCAAAAATACGGATTCACGTAAATGGGGCGACACAATGGAACGAGGCTTGGGTAGAAAATGTCGCACAAAGTGTATATTGCATACCCCAAGCCATGAGATGGTTCTGGAATGGAGGAACGAACTATATATCGGTAAAATTCATTATTTTTTTTAAACTTGATATAGTTAAACCAAAACTTAATGACAAATTCCCTACTTATCTAACGCAAGCCAGGAGATGGTTCTGGAATGTAGAAACGAAATATATATCGGCAAAATTTATTTATTTTTTTAAACTTGGTATAGTTCAACCTAAACTTAATAACAAATTTCCTACTTATCTAACGCAGGCAGCGCTTGAACATGTCACGATTTTGATTTATTTCACTTCTTTCCTGCACAAAACGTTCGGTAATAATGGACACCCAAGCAGTCTTGAACTGAAACTCGGCCCATAGTCTAGTTTAAGTTTGATGTTGTATGTGTGTGTGTGAGAGAGAGATCAAAAAATAACTCAGGTCAGGAGTTACTGTTTATATTCTTCTTTCAATATTCTACTTGGATTTCGAAAGTTCTTTCAGCCTCCATCTAAAAGGAAAACGGAAAAGGGAAAAAAGATTCTCATAAATATAAAACAGACCGGACAAAGGTTAAAGTAGGCAATTTTTCCATACCAAGTAATAACAAAATTATTTAAGTACTGGAAATAGAGAGAGTAACAAAATTGGAGGAAATAAACACTTTTACAAAACTTCTTTATCTTCTGAGCACACGTTTGATTTTCCTTTTGGTCGGGGGAGGAGGGCGGGCTTAGGGTTACTTCTAAGATTCTTTTGAGACGCCCTTTTGGATACCATATCGTTGGAAACATCATAACAGGAAGGAATTTCTTTGAAATACGTTATCTTGTATTCCATTAAAATTGATCCAAAATGCGGTGTCAAAGTTTTTCATTGCTCATTTTCTTGCTCATATCATTACTCTACGTCATTTTCTTGCTTTAAAATATCGGTTGTTCAGACGCAACGTCTTAAGGTTGTAACAACCATTTCATTTTACAGCGGACTGACCTTCTATCTTGCAAGTGTTGTCGATAAAGTAGAAACCTTTGATACAAGAACATTCACCGTCAACACAAACAGCATTTAAAGGACATGTATGGCACACTAGCTCTGAAAAGAAAAAGGTATGCCGATAACCATTTTAATTTATAAGCATAATTTAAACAAGCGTTGGTCGCCTTTCGTCAATATCAAAAGTCCATGTTCATGAGAACTTAGTCACAGAAAACAATAAAAACAGAAATGAAACGTAAGTAAAGAAAACTAAGGAATTACATTATGCAGCAGTTGACTGAATGATCGAAGTCAGTATCTACAAGTGAGTGCTTATTATGAAATGGAGGATTGATCGTATGTGCAACCAGCTTAGTAGTATAATCGCCTTTTTATATTACCAAGCTTCGGATTCAGAGTAGCTGTTAATAAGCATCCACGCTAACAAATGCTGCTGACCTTGTTTACAATCTCCTTTTAGTCCAGTTCCTTTGTAGCCGCGCCTGCATCTGCAGCGGCCATTGTGACAATTGGCGTGTACATCACAATCCATACATTTGTCTCCTTTAAGATTAACCACAAATACAATTAGATTTTATGTCGCGATGCGTTAATTTACATCATCACAATAAAATCATCATCACCATATGATAGTCGTGTCGACGATCGTCGTCGTCCGTCGTGTCATTGTGGTAGCAGATAGTAGTAACTTTACCACCACCACCACCACCATCATTATCGTCGTCGTCGTCTTTGTCGTCGTCATCGTCATCATCATAACATCTTCATGACATCATCATCATCATCATCATCATCATCATCATCATTATCATCATCATCACCAACCTCGCTATTTTTGATTTACCGCATAAAAGTGGTCATGTATTTAAGTATTTTTACTATCCATGTGATAATTATCGTCATCATCAGTACTAGCAATGTCAAATTAGGCCAAATTATGGTCATAAATGTTAACCCCAAACTGCGACAGTCTTGGGATTAAAGTGTCCTATTTCCTAACGTAACAGCAAGAGAAACAATAACTACTGATTAAATAATTTATATAAAATAAAATGTTTGGTTATGTCCCGCTGGTAGCTTAGGCCGAAAGAAGCAAGCAAAACAAGAAACTGTTCATTTCCAAACAAAGTAAAGATAAAATACAAGCCTTTAGAAGCAATTAGTATAGGTAATAGCATGATTTGTAGTGATATTTGGCATAAATACCACGAGTGATATTTCGAAATTGTTATACGTAATTTCAGGAGCCGTTAGGCGAGTGAAATTTGAGACAATTTTGAAATATCACGAGTGGTATTTATGCCAAATATCACGTACAAATCATGCTATTATTTGTTTATACTACTACCCGCAAAAGGTTTGTAATTTTCGCATGTAGGTATTTCAAATTAAGCTGAAATACCACTGCTCTAAGCCAATCAGATTGCAGTAATTTCTCATGTAGTAGTATAAATCTTATTATTACTTTCATATAAGACAATAATTTACTTACGTTCACAGTGTTTACCATGGAACTGCACAAGGCAGCTACATTCATATGCGTCAGCTCGTACTTTTCTACAGGTACCCCCGTTCTGACAAGGGTTAGGGTGACAAACGCGGCGGTTTTCTAAGAATAAAACAAATCTTGATTAAGGGTGAGTTCGATTGGAAATCATCTGGAGATATCTGTTCTTGGATTCCCTTTCTTTCCTTTTGTTTTGGGGGGGGGGGGATGTGAAACAGGATTTAATAGACATTTCTTAAGAACAACAGTCTTGCACGCGCACTCACAATTACCAAAAAGACCACTGTTCATGAGAATAGTTTTGCAAAGCCATTTTCGGATTTTCCAATCGAACGGTAAAAAGGAAAATCTATGAAATTTGGATCTGAATTTGTTTATTGAAATCCACCATGAGGACGGATTTCTCGGAGGTGAAATCAGTTTTAGGATTCGCGTTCGATTGCAAAATCCGAAATCCGAATTTCTCAATCGCGGAACGCAACCTGAGATATGATCACCACAGTTGCAACACGTTACAAACAACTCAGAGCCTCAACTGCATTCGAACTCATGACCTTTGCATTAGCGCTCCACCATCGATCACATATACATTTTCAGACGGAGAACTCGAAGGTCATGAGATGTCAGTACGTACGCTTCTAGTTAGGTTACTGAACTGGTCCTACAATGTTCTCAACATATCACTATGATTTGGTTACTAGACAGTTAAATGTCATGATAAACATGATAAACGGCTTCTATGATTCGTCAATGGTACGCTAGTTTGATAAAGAACATGGCACAGTTTTTCCTAAACGAAACCTTTTGGCCGGTGAGAGTGCCTCGCTGAGCCAAAAAAAAGAAAAGAAAAAAAGAACAAGAAAAGAAAAGTGTACGAATAGATTTTACTAAAACTGTTGGCTTTCAAGGGACTTAAACATACCCTGCCAACAATGAGAGACTATATACTCTATATACGGCCAAAAAGTTAAATTAAAACCCGAGAGCGCATGTCTACGTTAGTACAGCCGAGAAAAATGTAATTATAGCAAAAGGATTACATTACCTGGCGCTATTTTCGCGCATTCCGGGGGTAAATAGCCTGATGGACACTTACAGAAAGGCTTTATTCCCACGATTATACACGTGCCCCCATTTTTACAATATCCTGAAGGGCAAATCTTGACAGCTGAAAAAATTATAATGAAGTAAATAATCAGTAATAATAGTAATATTAATAATCATGATGATGGTCATAATATAAATCATTTAAAGGCAGAAACTCATTTTGAAAATGTGATAGCAAAGTGTCCACTTTTTAACGGCTGCAGAGATTTCTGGAGCATGTTTACAGTAAACTCGCTCCAATAAAGGACACCTGTCTACGACAATTACACGTTGTGTTGCTCCCTCATTACAGCAGGTTTACACTGTACTAACGGTAGTCTAAGAAGACGGTTATGCGAATTAATCGAGGGATGACTGCAAAATCGGTACCATTAATGTATTTAAGTTAGTGCTAAAAACAATTGTGCTGCTATAGAGCGGTTTTCACTTGACTGTCGAAAGTAATTGAGGAATTGGTTTGGTTTTGGTTTTACTACGCCCTTTGGTTGGCTAGCGTATTTACTTTGGTTTTGGTTTTACGACAGTCAAGTGAAAAACGCTCTAAAAGGCTTCAACTTTGTTTAAAGTTGGGTCACCAATACTTACGATCACAATTTTGACACAGATCTCCAGTACACTCCTCTGGACACTGGCAGGTAAACGAAAGCCCATCTTGACTGTTAAAGCACTTGCCGCCATTTTTACAAGGGTTACTTTCGCAAGGGTTTCTTTTTGCTAGTAACAAAGATGGATCCTTAATGATACGTTTCTGGGAAACTGCGCGCCTACCCCTCCCCTAAGCCAACATTAACACTTAATTACTTCACACTAAGGGCAAAATGTTGGCTTAGGGGACGGGTAGGTGGGCAGTTTCCCAGAACCTACAACGATAGAAGAGGAAGAACAAGAAAAAGAAGAAGAAGTATGAAAGCCACAATTGATGCAGGATTGTTTGTAATTTCACTTTCAATCACATTTGGCGAGAGTCACAAGTTTGATCTGTTTCTCAGTGGTATAGATTCGATTTTTTTAGCACTGATTGCCTTGAAATAGCCCACTGCATGGTTTTTTGCCTGGAAGTTTAAGAAAGGATCTTAATTTAAATATGTTTGATATGTATTAATTGTTGTAGAAAACTAAGTATACATGCGCACTGTACCGCCTGTATGTAGATTGTAGTAACGATTAAACAAAATTGACGTTTTTTTCACATCCTTTAAAATTTAAGTCCAACAATCTTATAATTTTTTCTCTGGGGAAGCAGTGGCAGAGAGCAATGGTCAAACATCAAGCTTAATTGGAGAATTTAAAATTGATTAGAAATGCGATTTTTCATACTTGCTTCCTCACAGCCCTGCTCTGTCATACTATACGTCTTGCCGCTATACTCTGGGCAGTAACAGTCTCCGCTTTCTGTGCACTTTTGTGGAAGAATTGGAGGAATCCTTGCCGGATTACCCTTGGGACAGTCACATGCTAAAGTGGTATAATAAAGTGGCAGTCAGTCAAGACAAATCAATTGCAGGAGACTTATTATTCAGGCTAACAACATGAGCTATGGGGCTTCCGGCAACGCCCGAAATGTGATGGTCGAATTAATTGGCAGGTCTCTTGGATTTTCTGATTGTGGTGATCATGATGATGATACGAGGTGATAAGATGGTGATGAGGATGATTTTAAAATAGGAATGCCCTGCAAAAAACTTTAAAATATTTTTGTTGTGCGATAAATAATTTCATTGCATTATGGTGCAATAAGAATACCAGAGAAAGTGAAAAATTTGCTTACCACAAAGAGGAGGCTTGAAGTTTCCTTTACAGTTGCAAGTAAAACTTTTCTTGTCGTCACTCGGCTGACATGTTGCTTTGTTTTGACAAGGATTAGGAATGCACGGATTCACAGTCTCTGTGAAAATAAATTAATAGAGGATATAACACGGTGGCGCGAAGATATGAATTTTATTTTCGAGTGGCAAAACAAAACCATTTTGCATCAGGCTGGTTGGACAGGTATATAATGATATGAAGAATTATGCAGATCTTGGACGCTGGTATCCACCTCGGCCTGGTCATCCTCCTGCCCAACCTCCATTTACAATGTAACAATTAATTGCTAACTGTCATTAAAACAGAAGTATCAAGCAATTCGACTTACTGTTTGCACAGTCAGGGAGTAGATAATCCACTGGACAGATACAATGAAAGGAATCCCCGTCTTTGACGCATGTGCCACCATTCTTGCAAGGATTGGGTATGCAGTGATCAAATGGTTCTGCAGTTAGACAGGGTACGTAAGCGGCGGGAAAAATAAAGTAAAAACAAGTAAAATGAAACTGCAAATTTACAGATTGGGAGTTGAGCACTCGTTAAGCTTTAATTTTACGAATTGGGGTTAAGCACTCATTTTAGGGCTAGGGTTAAGTTCTATTTAGGGTTAAACAACGGCTAGCTTTCAGTTAATGTTCAAGTCTGTATTACTGTTTTTGATTTTTTTGTGGCTCGAATGACTCCCTTTTGGGAGCCTTTTTTCTGACTGAAATTTTCGAAAAGGTAAGTTTTGGTCGGTAGACCTTCAGCAAGGAAATCCGAACAGACGAAAAATTTTAAAAATATGCTTATATCTACGGTTTTGTAGGCTCCCTACTTGAGAGAAACGTTACGTGACGAGAAACCGCTCAATGCGAGGGGGACTAAGAACCGGGCGGCACCCCCCACCAATAATTCCCAGTGACCACCCCCCCGGGTCAGCGTCCCTGATCCGTTTCTTCGAAATTAAGGTTAATTAAGTGGTAAAATTAGGGTTCTTTCTTGCTGTCACAATTCGTGGGTGAGTAGCTGCTAAAGCGCGTTATTAATGATTCGGATAGGCGAATTTCACACGTTAATTGGTCTTTATTATTCAGTTCGTTTAACAATCAATTCACCCATGCAATACACGACTTTCATAATGGCCGACGGCGCGCGGGACTGGTAACTATTTTTTCATCAAAACGAGGCCAGAAAGGCCACGCTTGCTTGAGTTGCAAACAAAACAAAGGTCAAAACATTTCGATCGCTTTATTGCCGGCTTTATTCTCGAACAATATATCAGTTCAATTGGGGCCAATTACTGCTACAAATAGCGTATTTAATCCAGAGGAATATGCCAACTCACTGCTGTGTTCCAGAATGTAAAAAGAAAGGCTACCGCGATGAGAATGGAGTGAAAGTTTCGTTCTTTAAATTTCCGACCGAGAACCCTGAAAAGAAGAAGTGGCTGCACGCGATACGAAGAGAAGAAGGAAAATTTTTCAAGGTAACTAAGTTTACCAAAATATGCTCTAGACATTTCAGGGAAGGGGAAATAAAAAAAACCCTCGCTGGCAAAAGTGACGTGAAACCTGGAGTGGTTCCTTCAGTGTTCCCGTGGATTCGCACATCGCCACGAAAGAGAAAGGCGCCGACTGAAAGAAACTTTGTCACATCACCTTCAAGCAGTGCTGCCCGTAAATTGGACACTTCATCTGTCATTGTAACGGAGGAGCCTCATAGTTTCGAAAACGACGACGAAAACTTCGCCGAAAACCACGCCGAAAACACACAGTGTGCAAGCGCTGCTAAAAGAGATGCCGAGACGCAAACTGAGGTAGAAGAACTAAGACAGCAAATACTTGATCTAAAAGCTAAGCTGGAAAACGCTTATCGACGTATTGAGGCCCTCCAAAAGCAACTTTTTACCGTCGACAGATTTAAAGACGACGATTCTTCAGTCAGATTTTATACAGGTTTTCCTAACTGGGATACAATGTCTGCTGTTTATAACTTTTTAAATCCAGGTGTTGAAGGAGAAAATGTAACATACTGGCTTTCTCAGTCGAACCTAACTGTTCCAGCAGACTTTTATGAGGATGAGGAAAAGGAAGAAACTTCAAGGAAACGTGGAAGATCTAGATCCTTGAGGCCAATCGACGAATTTTTTATTGTTTTGTGCAGACTAAGGCAAGGCCTTCCCGAAGAACACCTAGCACACCTTTCTCGGGTTTCAGTATCAACAATAAGTCGGATTTTTATCACATGGATAAATTTCATGTTCCTAAGGCTAGGTCAAATAAATATTTGGCCCTCTAGAGCAGCGATTGACAAGGCTATGCCTGAGGATTTTAAGAAAAATTATTCATCGACCAGAGTTGTCATCGATTGCACAGAAGTTAGATGTCAGATGCCAAGCAGTCTACATTTAAATGGTGAATTATTCAGTAATTACAAACACCACACAACACTTAAAGGTTTGATTGGCATCAGTCCTGGAGGTGCAATAACTTTTATTAGCCAACTGTACACTGGCAGTGTCTCAGACAGGGAGATAGTTGTGAGAAGTGGCTTCCTTGATTTGCCTTTTAAAGACAATGATTCAGTAATGGCAGACAAAGGGTTTACCATCCAAGATCTGTTACCCTTGGGAGTTTCCTTAAATATCCCCCCTTTCCTTGGAAGTTCCAGTCAAATGCCTGCTGAGGATGTTGTCAAGACCCAGGAAATTGCCAGCTTGCGGATACATGTGGAACGTGCGATCAACAAAATAAAAAATTTCCACATTTGGGATGGGGTCATACCTCTCCATCAGCTTGGGATTGTTAATCAAATGTGGGCTGTCTGTGCAATCTTATGTAATGCCCAGCCCAATATTATTTCTATTTAACTGTACTTTTACCCAAATAAACCATGTTTTATTAGCATAAATGCAGCAGTCCAGTCCAATAAATTGATTTTATTTTGCCACCACCAAATGTAATGACTACTGTGAAACCTGCATTTAGCGGACACCCTCGGAACCCTCACTAGTGTCCGCTTAATAGAGGGGTCCGCTGAATACAGGTTCGTTTTACAGTAAATATGGGAAGAAAATTAAGGGATCCAAGCAGCTAGTGTCTGCTTAATAGAGGGTGTCCGCTTAATATGGGGTTCGCTTAATACATGTTTCACTGTAGTATGCAACAGAAACCTTTGCCAATACCTCATGATTGGTCAAACTATACATGAGCAGAATTATCTAAAAACAACATTAGCATCAGGTCACAGCCTATTATAAAGCTCAAAATAATGTAGCATGTATCTTTTTTCTGCCTGGATAAAAAAAACCATGGAAACCAATGTATTTTGAGCCAGAAGAAAAATTGACACATACAAGCTTTTGGTGAATATTTGATAAAATACCTAGTGACCTACAGCTGAACTGTGAAAATCTGCTGCTGCAAACTTTAAAAAGTGCTCAAAGTAATATTGAAGAAGTTCAGTTCTAAGATTCTGCCAAAAAGTAGCATCAAATGGTATCCTCTCAATGTAGAGGCCCTTTCCGGTGTACACAATAAAATCACACCATTTAGCCCCGGTCACACCCATTTGTCCTTGAACTTGGGCATAATATGCATGATTCCTCTTAAGTCTACATTGAGTGTCACTGATTTTTTCCATGAAAAAATTAGCATCAGAACATGCTTCCAGTGGTGTCACATTAAACTTGGTGTGAGGGCATTTTACCTCGGCTAGCCCAAAGCAAATAGAACATCCAAAGTCTACAACTTTAGCATCCGGTGTAGCACCAAGAACAGGACAGCTTTTGGAAATAACAAGACCACTTCTTAGAACAGCAACTGGAGATTTCCTGTTAAACATGAACTTTTCATATTGCTGGAGTGCAATGGGTTCATACTTTAAACCATGGGCCACATACTTTGATGAGAAGGGCTTTGGGTGCATTTGTGATTGTGCGAAATTTTCATGATTCCTTTGTCGCCTTGCAATGAGCTGAAAACTGGATGCTGTGAAGCGATAAGTGCGGTGTTTCTTCCAGTCATCACATCCTGCTTGATCCCTAGTGTCACTCTCAATTGAATTTATTTTGTCTTCCTCAACAGTTAAATGCCTGAGTAATGCCTTCTCAGTGTCACTCAGCACACGAGGTACCACCATGTCATCTTCATTACTCAAAGGAAATCTTGGGTAGTGATCAAGTCCTTGGGTAACAAAGTTATTTCTTGGTACTGAAGTTAGATCAGCTTCAGCGGTAAAGTTTGACTCTGTGAATGCTGTCTGATAACTCAACATGGAGCCAACAGGGCATTTTCCAAATTTGGAGTTTGTCAATTGATTACTGTCATTACTGGAATCAGCTCCTTCACTCATCTGAGCAAAACCCATATTAGGGTCAATTTGGGCAATTGCACCTTTGAAAGCATTCTCACTGACAGGATCATAGTGTGGCTGTTTCCGGGCTTCGTACAGCAAACATTTCACACATCCATTGCCTCGTGGGCTGCTAGGCTCATCGAGCTTGGTTTTTCTAACAATTACCTCCATCACTGGCTGAGGAAATATGTTTTCTCCACCACCTTTCTTGTGCCACTTTTGCAGCTGTGATGTGCAGGCTAGTTCTGGATTTTCATCCTTCTCTTGGCACAGATCCTTTGTTGTTTTTGCCTCGAACAGGGAGAATTTACATAGCTTTAACATCAAGGCAGAAATGTGGTTGCAAAATCCAGCCTTGCCAGCCACACAAGTACACCTGCTGTCCATAACGTTCCCACTAATAATGCACAAGGCAAGTTTCAGTTCATGCGGAGGGTCATTTTTTCTAAAGCTATGGCAACATTTAGCTTGGAAATAAAAACAGTGCTGGTCACTGGATGCCATTATTTCCTTAAGATATTCATCTTCAAGGAATGTTTTCGCTTTCCGCAACGATGTCGGAACGGAATGATGATCTATATTGGCGATCCTCTTGCCTGAACTTGCTACGTGCTCGTTCATTTCCGCTTTGGTAAACATTGGCATTTTGGCCAGAGAGGTGCTCCATCCATTATCAGGATATTTGACAGAGTTGGGATCTGTGAGACAGAAAGAAACAGTATTTTATTTTGAACTCACACATACTCATTTTCAAAAACCGATACGCAAACATTTAGCTAAATTACAGGTAAAACAATCTGACAGTTATTACCTTGTGACGGGCGCTCGTCGCTCGCACCCGACGATGCACCGCTTCGTTGTTGTTTCCTCTTCGTATAGAGCTGATTTGGATCAGGGTCAACAATATTTTTATCTTTTCCACGCGTGATGTACTCTTCCACTCTGAGAAATGAATAAAAACGCTTTAGCATGGCGAATATTTGCTACTGAAAAGATCAAAGTGACGCGCATGGAAACAAAGCTGAAAAAAGCGATTTCTCACCTCTTAACAAGTTCTGCTTTCGTTTTAAGGCCTTTCGCTGGATCACCTCTACACTTTAACCAAAACTTTAACTCGTCATTTTTCAGTTCGGATGGTTTTCGGCCACATAGAGAAGCGCCAGGAATATCATTTTCTTCGAGAAGCGAAGCACTCAACGAAGTTGTTGACAACGCGGCCATGTTTGATTTTCTAGTGGCCTTTCTGGCCTCGCTCTGGTGCTATAGTTACCATTTCTCCCGAGCGGTCCGCCATTATGAAAGTCGTGTATAAAATAGTGAAATTAAATGGTTTTGTAATGCTGAAGAGGGTTTAACAATAGCAGCTTCAATTTACTTGCTACCCACTCGTTACCAATGATCGGCACGTTACTTGTCTTCATGGTGTGCCAAAAAGGTCAAACTTTGCAATTGTTAGAGCGTCTTGGAATCGAACAGCTGTCAGCCGGTTCCATTTCATGCGTGAAATGTTGTTTATTTACTGCTCTGTTTTTTGACCTCTATAAATTGAATTCGTCATAATTAGCATAATTTTACAGTTACTTACTGTAGCGGACGGAATGGCGGTTTACAAACAAGTTTATCTTTTCCGCTTCGGTGGATTCTTTATGTAAACTAACATTTCAAACATCTGACATATGCTTTGCTTTGCAGCGACTATTGCTCAATATTATTAAAAACAGAAAATATTGCGAACTCATACCAAAACATTCATTTGACTGCCAAAGTAAATTATTTTAGCTGATTTATTTCGCGGGCGCCAAGCAACAAGCGGGAAAATGAAAATTATTCATATCAACAATTCTAGCCGGATAAACCGTTACACGTACTGCCTGCTTACCTACCAATAAGCTGTCTAATAGCTTAATTACAGGTTAACGAACCAAGGAACCGACCGCTAGGGTGCTATATATAAGCTGACTTGTAACGACAGACGATCAGAATCAACCGTGATTTTGAAAAATCAAGACAAGTTGCTCTGTGCTGTCCGAGTGTGAGGAATTTATAAAGTTACAGTGCAAGGTACAGGGCGTCTCTGCTGCAATGCTTCGACGACACTGTGTAATTATTTTTCTCCTTCTGAGCTATTGCTTTGCAAGACCGGGAAATATCTTAAACGAAATAGACGATCTTTACGCAGGTATGTGTAGAATACCTTGAATACCTTCTCAGTCAAGTCGCAATTACTGTGACGGGCAAAAGGTGAACGACAGGCTTAATAATCTCTCGGAAGAGAGGAATCCCTTGGCAATTTTATATCCTCCGAGAAAATTCAAAAACAATTGAAAGGTTGATTTGCATTATAGGCTTTGATTATAACTGTCTTTCAAAGTAGAGCGGTCAGACAAGTTAACGGCCCGACAATGGACTCGTGCTTACTATCATTCTAGCAATATAAGCACTATTCTTAGTATTCTATCAATTTTATTTAGGCCTGAGGAGCAAACGTCTAACTTTAAGTCACAGGGGAAAAACCTAATGCCGTATGAACAAGAACGATAGAGTTTTGCTCATTAGCATTGAAAATCCTAAGTTAAACATTAGCCTGAGTATCAGGTTTTCCTCTTTAGGGGTTACTGGAGAAAAGACCAGATGGGGCAGGGTGGAAGAAAGACAGGGGTACCAGAGAGAGGAGATTCTCCCTCCGCTGTCTTCCTAGTCTCCTATAAACCTTCGCAGCAGTTTTTTGGGGTGTCACGCAACGTTGAGGCGAGCGTTGGGTACCTTTTCACAGGCTCTTTTCATTTGTCTTTCCCCTCTTTCCCCAAGAAACGCCTGATACTCAGGCTAGTTGGAAATCGAGTTGTAGTTGGTCATCCTATGTTGGCATTGAGCTCGATGGCACGCATTGCCCTAACGGCTTTTGTATTGCTGACTGCCGTTATGGTTTTTAGGGTCTTGAATCTCAAACAGGGTCAGATACAATTTCACTATTTATAAACGTCTCTGAGCAGGAAGTCTTTTTGGAAAGAAAGTCTTTAAAAAAGAGTGAAGGCTGGTGATGAGCGGTCTACATGTGTGGTAGAAACAAAAAAAAATTAATGTCATGATTCTAATCAAGTAAAAAATAACTAAATTGGAACGTGAAACGAAATGAACGATTTTTGGCTTAAACAGGGTCAATGCCAGTTTGCGTGTTGTATTCCCCTGATCTGAGTGTGCCCCCGCGCCGCCTCCCTGCGGCACTGAATTAATAATCATTATAACACTATCACTATTAACAAGGGAGAATGATGCCGCCCAGAGTTCATTAAAATGTAAATTTTGTGTAACTTAGGAGCGTGTTTGTCATGTTTCAGAAATGAATGACCTTGTCAGTGACGATTATGCACCGTCAAAACAGGACGGTTTTGGAACAGAAGGTAATTAAATTAACTAAACTGTTTTAAAAAACAGTTCTTCAGTACTTACTTGTACAAAGGGGCGGGAAATATCCTTCCGGGCATGTGCAGTCGAAACTTTCGTCTGGGCCATTACTACACGTGCCATTGTTGAGACATGGATTGGGAATGCATGGATCTTCAGTGGCTGTAAGTCATTAAAGGTTAGAATTCAATCTCAGCTAATCGGCCGCCTCTTGTCCTTAAGGGTAGGAAGCGCCTTGCAAAGTTGGAGTTAATTGATCTTTTTTATACCAAGCGACCAAAACGTATTTCGCCTTTTGGCCTCGGGTTGAAGTAACAACCTTTTAAATACTACACAAAACATCCACGCCCAGGTACTGAGCAATAACGCAAATGGGACTAGAACCGGCTCTATTTTCAAAGTGCCAAGGACTCAGTTTATGTGACGGTATGTTAACAAAGGCGACATAATTAGGACTTGTCTTATATCTGGACTCATGAAGGCCACTAGTTATTCAGTTGAGGTACTGTCTCTTGTTACCCTCGTTAAATAAAGTTGATTATTATTATTATTATTATTATTATTATTATTATTATTATTATAAATGGCTGTTAAGAAGAAGAAGAAGAAGAAAATAAAGAATGAATTCAAGACGAAAAAACATGCGAAAAAAATCATTTCGAGTCGTATATCGTATTATTGTTTGGACATGTTGATTGTCTCGAGTCCTGACATATCATATGATAAGCAGGCAGTATGATGTAAGGGACGGACCATTAGAAAAGTGATGTGGGGGGTGGGGAAAAAACCATGCAAAGAAGAAGGTAAGGAAAAAAAATTCATGCAGAAGGGAGGTCCAATTGTCACTTTTTCAGAAAGTCTGAATTTTTGGCATGAGGTATTCAAAGAATCCGACTTAAAAATGTCCGGGTGACACTCATCCGTTGCGTCTGTTGGGTTTAGCTTAGAAGTTAGTCTATTCATTTAAATTTGGTCAAACGTGAAGGCCAGTTTGTTACTCGTTGTTTTATAAGAATTAAAAATTAACCTCACTTTTGGCAGTTTTAGATCCATTTCTAGCCATTTCAGAAGACTTCAATTTCAAGTTTTCCCGGGGGAGCATGCCCCCTTACTCCCCTAGTTGGCTCACACTAACGCGTTCGCATTACCCCCCCCCCACTTGAAAATCCGCTCCGCGGGCCCTGGGTAAAAGTCGTGTGTTGCCTACCGACCCCCTTTTTTACACTAAAAATGCACAGGGAAGCCGTCCACTCCAAGTGGCTTGGTCCTCTCTCACTGTGTGTACATTTTCGAAAAGATTTTGCATTAAAGTGGCCTGTATCCTTTGATATGTTGTGAGTGTAGAATAATTTATAAAGCACAAAAACATAGATAATGAATCAAGATTTCACTGTTCAAAAAAAAGCAATATTTGTCTGAAAAAAAATTCGTGCAGATGGGTTCACCTAAAAAAAAATTCCTGCACAAGCAGTGAGCGAAAAAAAAAAATTCGTGCAAGCTGAAAATTCCCCCCCCCCCATCACTTTTCTAATGGTCCGTCCCTGACGACTTGAGCGTGTGTTGGTATATTAGGGTGGATAGCCTCAGAACAGGACCGAGGTGTTTCTTGGGAATGTTTTGAGTCTCGTTCATTTTATTTCCTTTTATTGCCTTCAAAAATTTCCACAATGCTTTTCAGCAAGTTATGTACACTCCTTAGTGTATTCTAACACTTCCGTTTCTTCTTGCTACCGATAATAAATAAAAAAATTTTCGTTTGATAATGACTGCATGCTTTCGTCATAACGTACTCGTGCTATTTTCTTTTTTTCTTTTTTTAATCTGTTTTCCTCTTCCCAAAGTGTATGCTTACTTACCATTGCACTTAAAGCCGTCTCCTCTGAATCCTTCATTACAAACACAGCGGCCATGATTACAAAACGCATTCACATCACACTTGAGACACAAATTATCTGTTGGATTGCATTCAAGTGGGTCAAAAAATTCATAAGCAAAAAGGACCTGGGACCGATGGAATAAACCTTAACTTCGGACTTTGTACGTCTGACGTTTAGCCCTACCAAACTCTTTATTCTAACCTCAAAAGTTAGCAGTTTTTTCAAGCTATTTGCTATCTTTTTCAGAAGCGATGTCTTCGCATCTAGCTAAAGCAATTATGGCCCAGTTCTGTTATTCAAGACTAAAAAACTGTGCCCTGTTGTCTGTTGCTACGGATGGCAACGGGACAGACAATTGAAAAATTGGATTGAAAATAGAAAAATTTTAATGCTTCGCTAAACAAAATCACCAAACAACTATGGTTATTCTTCGTAACTCTACAGGACCTTACCGGAATAAGAAATAACGTCATCACTTAGAATTGATCTAAAACGGCAATATTCCCTTGAAATAACTCCTTGAAGTCTGAAGTTCTGTTTTATTCAACTGGGATCCCTGTGGCTATCAATTCTAGCATAACAAAAGCCACCAAAAGATCCTATCGTCATCGAAAAATTAGAGAGGAAAAGACTCCAAAATTATTAATGCTAATAACTTATACTTGTCACCTTTGCAAGTGTAACAATAAACACATTTATTAATCTACTCCTTCTTCGTAACCATAAGAAGCTTTGAATTCCTTATTGTATATTAAAAAGTGTGTTTGTTCATTCTAACTCACCAAGTTCTATCCGAATTTATACAATAACATACCTTCGCATTTTTGTCCTGAATATTCCGGAGGACATAAGCAGTAGTAGTGCAGATAGCCAATGTTCCAGTCTTTAGGAAATCCAGTGTACTTGCTGTAAGAGTCGATACAGGACCCTCCATGTAAACATGGGTTTGTTACACACGGGTTTGGAACTGTCCAGAGAGAAGACAAAATTATTAATTCATAAAGCTCTTAGAGTTGAATGCATGAATGGATGAATGACTTAATGGATGGATGAATTTATGAGTGAATGAATGAATGAACAAATCAATGAATGAACAAACGAACGAACAAACTTTAATTGTCAATGAGTGTCTAATATTTCAAGCTGTTTAAAAACTTATCGGGGAGACTAAAATAAAATTAAAAATTCGCCCTGAAATAGTACTACAAATTATACTAAGATAAATTTTAAGATTGACATCAACCACAGGATATTTTCAGGACACCAAAATAGCCGCCATTTCATTGTTTTAAGACACCAAAATGGTGGACGCGACGTCATGTGTAAACATTGTATGTAATGAACTCATAAAATATACATGAATTTGAATATGATGGCACGGAGTCATCAAAACATCATTTAACATTACTTATCGCTGATTTTTAATATTTTAAATTGTCTTTCTAAAACCTCTGTTATGAAAGCAACGAAAAAAATAAACAAAAACAAAAACAAAATAAAACAACAAACAACAAACAACATCAACAAGCGCTGAAAACTGACACGTTGCCGAGAAGTAGGGCGCTTATGTTTTACTGTGTAGTTCTTAAATATCCTTCCCATGACTTTCGGATGTCTATAAAATGTTTTTCGATGAGTCCTTGGTTGTTCCCTTGTCAACGTTATGTGCTGAGTTTCAACTGAAGAATTTAAACAACAAGAGGGAGTCAGAATTAAAGCATGATACTGTACATACTTTCACACTTGTCTCCTTTAAAAAGCAATGAGCAAATGCAATGATAAGTCCAGCGATATCCATCTTCTTTCCTTGAAACACATTTCCCACCGTTTAGACAAGGGTTAGACTCACACACGTGCACTGAAAGGAAGAACGAGGTTAACGTATGGCAAATGTTCTTCTCTGGGAGCATGGTCAAAGCCACTTGTGGATGGCTAAGCAATGAATATGTAGTCCAAAGAGCGACTATTTGCTGTGTCAGACTTCACTATACCTCGCTGACTATCATATGATTACAGTATGCAGTTGGTGGGTGTAATTATCATATTGATATTTTTTGGCGAACCTGCAGAAGGACAGTGCGTAGAGCGTCCGATCTAGAGCCTAGAGGTTCGTGAGTTCCATTCTCACATGGAGCTCGGTGTTTTTTTGGTTTGTTCGTTTACTAGCTTTCTTGTGATAGATTTCTCTTTCATTTAAAGTACACAGTTGCAGTGGAAATTAAAATTTCAGGGTTTACTGTTTAAGCCGGCTATATTAATGCCCTGTGCGTCGAAAGAAAACCGTAATCTAAACTAACCTTTGCAGTGCGGAAGCATGTATCCATGTGGGCAAAGGCAGTTAAACCTCGGATCATCCTCCACGCATTTCCCGCCATTTTTGCAAGGATTTGAGTAGCACACTCTCTTTTCTACGTAAAAAAATATAATAATAAAAAAATGAATTTCAGTTTTCGAGAGCTACTGGCTTATGCCTTCGTCCCATACCTCTGTCTACATGATATGATAGTATTTACTATAATTTTCACTTTGTTAAAGGAGCTATTCATTTTGCTTTCTTGTCAGAAAGCTAAAGCGTGTCGTCGCATCTTTTGAGTGGCAAAAATACTGATCCAGTTGTGGTTTTCAAGATTACATTAGGCATTCTGTCAGGTATTGATACTGTTTATGGCCTTCGTCTGTTGCTAAAGAAGGCAATGATGCAAGTGGGTTAAAATATTTAGGATATTTTTTCAAGTTTCATTGCATGTCTCCATAAATCACCAAAAGTTTTTAATTGATGTTTTATTTTCTCCATACACTACATGAGCATTTTCATTTGTATGGATAAAGGCAGTGAGTGATGAAAGAATTGATTTAAAAGCTCGATATCCTGGCGTAGCCCCTTTCAGGACGACCTCGTTATAGTAACTTACGTTCACAAAGTTTCCCCTTATATTGCTCGTGACAGATGCATTCGTGAAATCCCATTCGCTGTTGGCAGGAGCCCCCGTTTTGACATGGGTTTGGATCGCAGTAGTCAAGATCTATTGCGTAAAACGTAAATAAGTATTTAGACACGTATTTGCAATTTGAGGGTGGACAACATGACATAAAAGGTAAGAGACAAACAATAATTTTATGCGAATTTCTACGGTGCCGTGGATTTCGGATTCCAGCACTGTATTGCAGATTCTTTGACAGTGGAACTTGGATTTCGGATTCCAAGATTCGGATTCCACGAGCAAAAATTTATCGGATTCCGGAAATCTGGATTCTTTTATATGAGGTGAAATGACACTAAGTTGACAGAGTAAGGATGCAAGGATAGAGAAAAAATATCTGAGTGATCTAACTTTCACAAGCTTTTCCAATGAATCCTGGTCGACAATAACACCTGTAACTGGTCGAGGTTTCCACACATTGGCCATCATTCTTGCATGGGTTTGGTCTGCAAAGGTTCTTGTCTAGAACAAAAAAGCGAGAAAGATTTACGTATTGATAACTGTAAATTTACTATAAAATTTAGCTATTTGAATCGCAGAATCGTTGTACATTTCAACCAGGCTTAGAAATGTACGCCTCAGTTAACAGGAATCCCTTTTTAACTCCCTTAATCTCTCTGTGTACTCCTTTCCACTGCTTCAAATGAGACTCGAAGCTCTCCTCTGTCCTCTGCACAGATTCCATCAGATAGATGTCCTTAACCAGATAAGGATTCCATACGGGGCAAGCATACTCTAAAAACGGTCTTACTTGAACCTTAAAAGCTGTGGCTATACCGACCGGATTCCGAGACCCAAAGGTTCTCCTTATCAGACCTAGCACCTTGTTGGTTTAGGCACAAATGGTACTGATATGGTAAGACCAGGATAAGGATGACTCGAGCCAAACCCCCAGATGTTTGTGATGGCCAACTAATGGTAGCAATGTGTTATCCAGAAAATACTGATGGTGCATGAGATCTTTCTTCATGGATACATGAAACGCTTTACATTTCTCAGCCTTAAGAGTTAAAAACCATGTGTTACTCCAATCTGAGGCCGATCTTAAATCCTCTTTAGACTGTTCGCAGCTCCTTATCGATGTTATATGTCTATAAAGGACAGTTTCACCGCAAATATTTCTGAATTACAGGTAAAGGGAAGCGGGTAGCTCATTAATGTAAATGTGTACATTATTTCGGTTTCTGTTACCTTCGCAATTGTAGCCCAGATATCCATCTTTACATTGACATTGATAATTATTTTCCTTCTCTTCGCATACGCCTCCATTTTGACATGGACTTGATGAGCAGTATAATTTGGCTGCAAACGGATGAGAAAGGATAAACGCGGCAAACAAAGTTGAAGATTCATGTGGTCCTTTCCAAATTAGTAACATCAGTTTAGGAAGGGGAGGAGTCGCTTTGCTGACTGTACTTTCATTTGACTGCAATTTTAATTACATAAGAAACTGTCCTACGTTAACTTAACGTATAAAACGTTCTTGAACTATGTTTCAGTATACTGAAAATAAGGAGGAATTAATTTCATGTTCAGTGTAGGTCTTGTTGGCTTTGCGCTTGACGATTGAACTTCGTCACCTGACGCTATGCAAATTTACGATTAAAGTCTTTGATTGGTTTGAAGCCACACACATGTAAGAAAATTTCCAGAATGTACATTTTCAAGTACTTACCATCGCAAAACCGTCCATGATAGTCCTTCGAACATAGACAATGGTAACCAAATTGACTGGCCAATGGGAGACCACCGTTCAAGCATGGATTTACTGTAAATATACAATACAATTTAATTGCAAGTGTAGTCGAAATTGGCAAATTAAACTGCAGCTGTTGCTATGGGGATAATCATACAGCATTTATTTACACCTTGGCTTGTTCCTTTCTCGTTTCGTTGTACTTGTTATAAGACTAGAAGATAGTCTTCGCTTCAGTTCTTTGATTTTAAGTGCGTAGTAAGCGCTAAGAAAATTAAACTAAAAGCACCGAGTGACGGTGAAATATTGCATGCTCATAAGTCTATACTCTAAGCTTATTTTTGATGTCACCATTTTTTGTACTCACCTGGATCATACACCTGAACATCCGTAACAGTGTAATCCGGCTTTGGCTTGTAAGGAACATAATATGGTTGGGGAATATGCTGATATTTTGGGACTTCAACAGGTACAGGCACTCTTCTATAATGATGAATATGCAGTGGACTAGGTATAAACCTTACAGGATCTATGACAGGGTCAAGAAGGCGCACCGGATGAAAAGGGTATGGGTGAGGAATCCTTAAGGCATCGACAGTATTTGGTATTATGATAACCCTTCTATATGCTGGCCCCGCGTTGTCTTTGTTCGTAATAAATTCTTCCTTAATTGGCTTGTCGTGAAAAATGTCGAAGAGTGATTCTTCAGGATTATCAACATCCGCTGACTGTGTCTGTCGCTTCGTCGGAAGATTATCTACAACAACCGCGCTCTCCTCATGAGTCCAGGATGAGGTGTTGCTCTTAAGCGATTGTGAAGTGTTAAAAGTGGGTTGACCAATTAACTCCATTTGTGAAGTTGATTGTTCATTGATCTTTCTTGGCTTGAATCGCAGTCCAATCACCGTTACAGCTACGTAGCATATTACCACCAAAGCCAAAACATCCTTCGAATGTAGACGCAACATTCTAGGAAATATTATAATAATCCACGCATTTTTTAAAGATTTGAAATCGGATTGGTCACCGATGTGAATAAAATATTCACTTAGTAAAAGAAAAAGATTTATGGTGTCAATAATTTATTGCATGACTTTTCCGGGTTGCTAACTTGGCTTAGTTTTTCTTCCCTGACAAGACAGGGATCGCATTGAGAAAATATTGGCGCGTGATAAATAGAATGTTAATCTATTACGTCAATTACAAAATTGATTGTACCATCACCTTTGATTATGAAAACTCTGTGGACACTTCCAGAGACTTATCCACTTCTTTTATCTCGAAACTGAGCCCATAAATCTACGCTCCTAACTATATTTCCACCTGCTTGTACTGAAGACACCAGTTAGATAAGAAAGTGCAATTTTAGAGTAATTTTAAAAACCTGATATTTTATTTGACTGAAGAGTGGCCTTATTTCACCGTGCCTAATTATAACAAACATAAAGAATTTACAGTAGATGGTCAGTATTGCCTTTGAAACTAATGTTGTCCGCCGCCGTGTCGTTATAGGGAACTCAAGCAACGACGACGGTGACGGCATCGAGAACGGCAAAAAATCAACAGGTTTAGATTGGCAAAACAACAACTTTGCACGTGCATCACGATTTTTTGTACATTCTCTTGCCGTCATTACACGACTACGACGTGAAACTGCCTAATTTCACGTTTTGTGGAGGACGCGAACACAAGACAACGATTTTCTTTTTGTTTTTCCTGAACTTCGATGAGTCCTTTAAAATGAAACTCCAGAAAAATACGCCAACATTCTTCGAATCGACGTAAAAGGAATAAATGCGATGAAGTTTGAAGCAGCGCTAATTCACTTTTTAAGTGACGTTTTTGTAATCGTCGCCGTCTTTGTTGCTTAAGCTCTCTATTGGCAAGGCAACGCAGTACTTCACCTTGTGATGCGTTTTGTATGCGCGCACCTGTCATGTGTAATATGGCCTGCCTCTGTGCACAAAATTTAAAGGGGCTAGGTCAGGCTATTTGCTATCTTTATAAAAAGCTGAAACGTGTCTTCGCATCAATTGACTTCCTTAAATAATGGTCAGGTTTTGTTAATTCTTCTGAGCTATCGCACAAGAAACCATTGACTACAAACTGTGAAATCCGGCTTCTCGAAGTCATTTCTTAGGATGAATTAATCAAATTACTTCCTACAAAAGTTGCTACGGGTTACCATGGAATAAGTGCTAATAAGCTCAGCTCTCCGGCTGTTCTTCAGTCTTAATTGTAGTATTCATTCTGGTGACTGCCTCTCTTCCCTCATGAACCTAGCACAAGTTTACTTAGAGACCAGCCTCTGATCCGAACAAGTTTCGTTCAATTTCTGTTTTTCCAATTATTTGTAAGCTACTTGAAAAAAAAGTATATACCCATTTAACGCTGGATCTTCGCTCGTTTAATCTTGTTTTTCTTTTTCTTTTTCTACGCACTCTGCAATTTTACCACACTAATCTACTTAGTCGAGAAAAATCACCTGTTTAGTTTACTTTTTTGTCAAGATATGTTCTCTAAATTTTATATATTGCAATTTTAGTACATACTGGTACTTTTTAATCCAATTTTAGCTTTTATATTGTCTAAAACATATCAATTTTAATCATTTTAATTCTTAATCATGTAAAGTTAGTTCTTTTAATTTTACACACTACCACATCAGCGTAGCTGTAATTTTATCGTGTTTAAATAAATGCTGTTAATTATTTATTTTACTCACTTAGTAAAAGCGACTGATAACTGGCCTGAGACAAGGCCTTAAGGCTTATACACTAGCGCAATTTTTTTTTTAATCTACGTAAGGCCTTTGGTGTTGTAAATCATGACCTGTTAATCTTCAGACTACAAATGTATGGTTGCTCTTCTTCAGCACCACTTTTGTTCAAAAGCTATCTAGCAGACCGTTGGTAGGGTGTGAACCTTGCAGGTACTTTATCTGATACCGACGTTTTGTGTTCTGGTGGTGTTCCTCAGGACTTATTTTGATCGCTGTCCTCTTCCTCTTATTAATAATCAACGACCTGCTCTCAACCTGAAAAAATACAAGTGCCCTATTTGCTGATAATGCTTCTTGGCATGCTATTCTAGGACCACAATTCTGACTGATTTTCAGTGTAAATCATTGTATGACTGGGTGGTGCATCTGATTGGTTCAACTAATCAGGAGCACCACCCGCCCAGTACTGGGTAGTGATGCGTCATCAAAGTGGAATTTCTGTGCTCGATCCTCAGACGTCATTTCGGGGAAAACCAGTGGTGGAGTCAAGAAATGTCGGCTGTTTTTACATGCTAGAATTTCTTTATTTTCCCTTTATTTTGGTTTAAATGGTAAACGCTCGAGCTTACTAATCATCTTCTGACATAAACGTATAAACGTATTTATTTTTTAAATCTGAGTGCATATCAACAACAAGGGCAACAACATTTTGAGCATCAATTTTCATATATATATATATTTTCCTTTAGAAGGCTGGAAAAGAGACAGTATCATTGAAAATGATCCTGAAATACAAGAAATTGCAGACAGAGGTGAGTTTCACACTCTGTGTATTTTAAAGAGATGGATGAACAGATAATCATCCTAAAGAGATTTTAAATTCTAATAATACTTTTAGACAACACCCAGACTCTTCAAAATAGATGTGATTTAATTAGGTTTAACAATTCTTACCTAATAATTAGGCCGTGCAGGGTACCAAATTTTGTTCTCTTTGTAAAAATTATTATTATGGCTAGTTTTTCTTATCTTTTATTTCAGTTTTTCTTCTAGTCCACTTCACCTCCCGCCTCGATTAGCTTTCTTTTTCTATTTCAGTGTACTTTAATTTATTACTTGAAATCTTTTCAAGTGAAATAAAATAGTAGTAGTAGTAGTTGTTGTAGTAGTAGTAGTAATAGTAGTAGTAGTAGTAGTAGTAGTAGTAGTAGTAGTAGTAGTAGTAGTAGTAGTAGTAGTAGTAGTAGTAGTAGTAGTAGTAGTAGTAGTAGTAGTAGTAGTAGTAGTAGTAGTAGTAGTAGTAGTAGTAGTAGTAGTAGTAGTAGTAGTAGTAGTAGTAGTAGTAGTAGTAGTAGTAGTAGTAGTAGTGAGAACATCTTCAGCAATAAGCGGTTTTAGTTACATAGTTACCTGGTGAATACATGGAAGGAGAGTAGGGGTAGTATAAGAATTATCTGCTCTTTCCCTCCTCAAAAGAGTTTCAACTTATACCAATTAATTATCTCGTCAACAGATTACGATTCTACAATGGGACGCATTATCGCCGTAAACCTTGCTCACTGGCGGAAGCGTCAGCAAAAAAGAACGCAACAACGTGCCCAGAATGACAACCTAGAGTACCCAGGAAACGTGGAGGAGAACATAGAAATGGCCAATGAAGGTTACACCAGTTAGATTAATAATAATAATGAAAATGATGATAATTATGATGATGATGATGATGATGATGATGATAGCGATAAATTAAATAATTTACCTACTACAGAGTCAGTGAATCCCTAGATGTCATCAAGACACTTGAGAGGAATACTGTCTGCTCCCCCACTTATTCATAGAGGAAACCCCCATTAGTATACCACCGTATCATTATACCACCGTAATACTGCTTTAGGGTAGTTTTTACAATTTCAATAACTACAGGAATGCTCTTGTTAACCATTATGAAGAGTATTTGACAGTTCATGACTTAAGTCAAAGATTTTGTGATAAGTGACACAAATGAACTATGACCAAAAGCACGCTGACCAAACAATCTTGTATCAGATACTTCATGTATTAAGCTGATCTGTAAAAAATGGTTGGATATGTTTAGCGAAGCATGCATGCAACACAAAAACTAATTTCGACACCATCACACTTTCTAGTAAAGCACTGAAGTCTCGCCACTGTTTTTTTTTTCCTCAGAAAATGGCTTCTTATTTTATCAAGGGGACATGATACTCGATTGTGAGCTCTATGAAACACTTAACCCTGGAAAACGATGCAAGCAAGGAGATGGAGCGATGACAAGAACAAAGAGAAACGCTGTTAAAGAGCGAAAGCTACTGTGGACGTCAAGGGTCATTCCATACTATGTCCCCCCTCATATGTGTGAGTGAAGTATAAATTTAAATTTGTTTAGTTTGTCAATTAATTGCTTTCAAACTGTTAGAGTTACTTGTAAATAAGAAAATCACATCTTCATATCAACAGACACTGCGAAATTATTTCAAGTGCGTTATAACTTCAAATTACAAACTTGACAGAGATTTTCAATAACTCCCCAATTTCAAACCGTTTTTAATTTAAGTGCAAACGAACTCAACGACTCCCGAAATTGTCGGGTCAACAATTTTGGGAGTTGTTGCGTCCGTTTGCACGTACCTTAAAAGCCTGATTCTTACTAGTGACGCAAGCACAAGAACAATGTTCTCACTTGCGATAATCATGTGCAGCAGGTGACGGAATGCGCAAGCTGCAAAATGTAATGTGTTGGTGTAAAGATATCATGAACAAGATACTTTATATGTGACGAGATAAACGGATAGGGGAACACAACTTTTTGATACCGAGTGTGACAAGATGGCGGGCACCAAAGACTAAAAACATGGACCCAGTCCCTTCGCATAAAGCTAGGCATACTATGATAGTTCGCGCCGCTAATACTAGGTTAGGGTATTCGGAGAATAGATTAGCAAGCACAATGAATGTCTTTTTGTGTTTTAGCTCATATTAATAGCAACCTCATGGAAACCATAAATAACATCGAGAAGGTTTCATGTCTACGATTTATACGTTTACCGCATGCTGGACAAAGGAATTACATCGAATTTGACAACACTGATGGGTATGTCATTTCTTTCGCAAGTCATTTGTGTACAATAAAATTCCTGTGCACAAATGGTGGTAATATGGGTAATATGGGTAATGTATGGGTAGTAGCATGGTTAGTAGTGATATTTGGCATAAATACCACGAGTGATATTTCAAACTTGTTATACGCAATTTCACGAACCGTTAGGTGAGTGAAATTTGAGACAATTTTGAAATATCACGAGTGGTATTTATGCCAAATATCATGTACGAATCATGCTATTATTTGTTTGTACTACTTCTGGCAAACGTTTTGTAATTTTCACATGTAGATATTTCAAATTAAGCTGACATACCACTGCTCTAAGCCAATCAAATTGCAAAAATTTCTCATGTAGTACAAGAATATAAATGGCCTGCTTTATCGTTGTCTCATGATCGTCTGTTTGACATTGATCGCGACGCTTTGTCGGGTTTGTCCTTCATCAAGCGATGGAGTCGAATCTGCTTGACATGATTTGAAATTACAAGCTATCCTTTATTAATAACAGCCACCGCAGAGCCAATCAACACTTCTGCTAGACTATTAGACCAGCGGTCCGGTACGGGTTCAAAACGCGGCCGCTATAGATTGAGAGAAATTTAAAAGCACGCTAAAGTAAAAGACAAAACGCCTTAAAATTTTGATCACCCGGTACTAAATTCTAGTACCAGGTGATCAAAATTTTCCTCCACTTCTCGTTTGAGAAGGTTTCTCCGGAGCTCCGCTTACCGTATTTATTCGATTAACCGCCCTGGGCGCTTATCAAATTTTTGGACCTTGAGAGTGAGCGCTTATTCGAGGTGGGCCCTTTTACGAGGCTGGGCGCTTATTAAATTTTCACCATTTTCAGCAAATGAAGTACGTTTATTTTGCAACAAAACAATAAATTCTAATAACAAAACGCGAAGGAGTAACAAAGTAAGGTTTCTGCAAAATACTCTGAAGAAAACTCCGTCCTCGGGGAAGTCTCTTATTAGAATATATTCACTCAAGTGGGTGGGGTGGGGGTGAGCGCTTATTTCAGTTTGATTGGGAAGAGGAGGGGTGGGCGCTTATTCAAGGCTGGGCGCTTATTAACTTTTTCTGCCTTTAGGATGGGCGCTTATTCGAGGTGGGCGCTAATTCGAGTTTGGGCAACTATTCGAATAAATACGGTATTCAAAGAAATATGGTTTGGGTATTTTTTTCTTCATGTTATTCCTAATTTAAGATTTCGTCAATTTAAATATATGTCGTTTGCCTTAGGTCAGTGTGGCTGAATGTCTCTGTTATCAAAGTGATTAATTTTGCGATAAACAAGCAAAGTAACCATGCATTTGTACACTTTACCACAAAAATCTTATCTGGTAATGTGGATAACAGAACAAACAAACTTTTATTTCTTTATATAAAGATGCTCCTCTAGGGTTGGCATACGATACGCCAAAGCTGCTCGTCAGATAGTTTCTATCGGCCAAGGATGTAACCATGTGGGAACCATTACACACGAACTCATGCATGCTTTAGGTAAGAAACTCACTCTTTGAGTGACATCACGGAATGAAAGTTCAGCGTTTGGAAGTATGAATACCTAAAGTGCGACAACCGAATTGTACGGTGATATTGGCCATGTTCAAAACGAGCGGGAACTGGTACGACTTATGACCGCAAAGGCGATGAGGATCGTTCGGAGGAACAGTAAAGACATGTCGCACAACAGTGAGACACCTGTTGAATACCTACTCAGGTTTATTCTGAAGAGACATACCTGGTGCATCAGGGTAGTGAAGATTAGTCTCATTTCCGAAACACAACACTTACCAGGCTTTTTCTCCGAACGACCCCAGGGACCCCAGGTTTTCACTCGGTTAGAACATGACGAGTTTCAGCAGTATTTATCTACTGCACGTTTGCTGTAATGCTGTGCAATTGGATTTAAGCTTGCGTCCACATATGCCAATACCCTGCCGTTTGATCTTTTTTTATGGATGTAATACAAAGTTCTGCTTCAAATTCAAAAACTTATGAAATAAGCAGCCTCTGTTTCGTTTATAATATATGGGTGTTGTGTAAAAAATATTAATATCTTATTAAAGATTATAAGTTTTTAATTTCGGAAGATTCTAACAGGGCGAGTCGAGATTACTCTTTAAAATCTCCACTTTTGCAAAGATCTGACAATGCGTTGCTGCCTTCAGGATTTTTTCATGAGCAATCTCGAGACGATAGAGACCGTTTTGTGGAGGTCAAGTGGGAGAATATTCTCGACGGTAAGTACTGTTCTACGTCCTATATTCAGCGTGCGCTGGACAGTGAGCAGGGGCATCCAACGAGAATATAGTTCAAAACCACATAAACATAGCATTGTTGAACGTACTTTAGTATTTAAACGGTAGATAAAGGATTATTTTATCCCCTAAAAATTTTTCATCTGTTCGGATTTCGTAGCTGAAAGTATAGTGATCCGAAAATTATAGGGATCAAAATTTACCTTTTCAAAAATTTCAGCAGAAAAAAGGCTGCCGAAAATTATAGGTGAACTTTTTAGGGTAAAATCCGTTAAAAATGGGCAATTATACGATTTTTTTGAAGTTCGAAAATCCTAGGAGAGGCAGGCAAGCAAAAAATTTTTCAGAAAATGATCCGAAAATTCTAGACCTCAAATCGTTTCCCGAACAGATAATTTTCCGAAAATTGTCTTTGGGTGCCCCTGAGTGAGTAAAAAGGTAAAACAGATTTTACATGGGCCAAAACAGGTCCAACGACTGTCTTATGACAAAAAAAAAAATGGCAGAAGACTCCTACAGTAGTACTTCTGACTATTTTAAACTATTAGCCTACTTAGGCGAATGATTGAGCCTCGCAAGGGGGGTCTAACGTTTGAGTCTGTGGATGAAAATCCTGTGGTTTGATCATTCAAATGAAACCTCTCTGGTACTGAGTACTTTTACATAATGCTATAGGTTTTGCAGCATTTAACAAAATAAAAAATTGGGAATTTTTTGGGCTCCTGCTTATGTCTACTGACCCCCAAGTAGATACTGTTAATATCAATGACAATGTACTAAATCTTTCTCAACCCACCCTCTATTTAACAATTATTCCTCAATAGCCCATTCGGCCTTCGGCCTCATGGGCTATTGACTCAGAGGCCATGAGGGCGAGAGGAATAGTTGTTTTAGTAAAATCCAACTAGTTGGTCAAAAATATCGAGAAGAAAAAGATTTTAGCTAGTTAAAGCTAGACTTAAATCCTCAATAGTATACTATGTTGAAACTTAACCGTTTTGGTGCGTTCCCTTTGCGTTCCGTGTGCGTTCCCTTAATTAATAGGCATATGGGTCGTTGGTGGATTCCCTTTGGATTCCCGCGCAGATAGTGGATTCCCTTTATTAATATGTATGAGTGTCTTCCCGCATACTAATTTTGATTTCCTGCATACTAATTAGGTGCCTTCCTCGCGAAAAAAGAGGACACCTTTAGGGCACCTACTTAATGAAACTCAGTTCCCTTTTTCATCGTCAACTAACTTCTTAGAGAGAAAAGAGGGGATTTTCCCCTTTTTATGGACAAAACTGAGTTGCTATGGCGCAAGAACCTTACAGACGTGATTATACCGATTACTTGCAAAGAATGAGTAAGAATGCGACAAAATGGCCATTTTTCAAGCAGTAATTGATTTCCATCCGAGCAATCGACAGCCAAAGTAGTAGCTTACAACTGTATGCATGTCTCCATTAAAAAAACGAAGTCTCTCTTTCGCTTGGCCGTGAGAGATCTGGATACGAGGTAAGACGCGTCGTACGGCTTGTCGTGAGCCTACAGCGGAAGTTGCAATGTTGAAGATCTTTAGAGACGAACACATATACTCGTTGGCATTCCAAAAGATTTTACAAATAAGCAAGGTCATTCGCTGTGCGCTAGTCCACTCAGAAAAACCGTCGCAAGTCTACATTTGAGACAAATCTCAAAGAAAGACGAAGGAAGACGAAAACAGTCCATAACGTCCATTTATAGAAACATCACCTGCTTGAAAGACTAAAAAGCCTCGCTGACTGGACGTCACCTTATTAACTACTACTGAAACAGGTGCTAAACGTTTTAAAACTGAAGCATTGCGTCAAAATGCTTAAAATTTTAAATAAAAAAAAATAGAATTAAACAAAATCCATCTGTATTTTATTATATTTCAAAAATTTCGCTGGACCGTTAAATTGAGAGGAAAAACTCGCCCTTTCAACGTTTTAGAATGACTTAAAGTTCTATTTTCTATACTGAGCATTTTGAATTAAACAAACGGTTCTTCTCAGCAGGCAACAGCTTTTATGTCAAGTATGGAAAGAGAGGTAATTGGAACTTTATGGAAAGGACTATATATTGCGGTATTGAATTGTTTTGTCTTCAATACAGGTGTCGCAAAACCTTCCCCTTGCATTGTTTTCTGGGTTGGCCTTGTTTTAAACAAATTTGATGCGGTGTTTCAACCCTCAAAAATCTATACCAACAATAACACTGAATTTCTGTTTGAACTCTACATATAACATTAAGTCTAAGGCTTTAGTTAATGAACCGGCTTTATTACGCGCTACAGCAGATGGCCGATGTGGAAAGTAGCTAATAAACGGATGGGTAATTACTGTAGCTATCAGTTTTAACCACGACAAATACATGCATGTTGTGAAAAGTAACACTATGGCTGAACAGAAGTGCACTCTATTTCTGGATTTTTGTATTACACTGGTTTCCCACAGGAGAAGTTTCTTCCTTGGTTTCTGTGTTTTAAACTTTGTATTTTCCCTCGTGGCGACTCTAGAAAATCTTTTAGTCATCCGTGCCTTAATGAAGGCTTCAACGATACCAGCCACCGTCAAGAAGCTGTTCCTAAGTATGGCTTTCTCTGATCTTGCAGTTGGATTGTGTTCGCAGCTAATGACTGCTATTATCAGTGCCGTGATGTTGAAGATGCCATCAAGTGAAGACGACTTAGCCTTCTTTTGTCCAACAGTTTTGGTTGTGTATTCATATTTTACGTATCTTCTCGCCTTTGCATCTTTCCTGAATGTTACTGTCATTGCATTTGATAGACTTCTCGCTGTTTCGCTCCATTTGCGATATCAGGAGCTTGTCACGCCCATACGTGTTACAATAGTGTTGGTATCTTTATCGTTAACAAGTTGCGTCGCTGCCTCCCTATGTACTTTCCTTCCGAAAGGCATCGAAATGGCACTTGCCGTTATTATCGTTATAGGATGTGTTCTGACAACCTTGGCGTATGTTCGTATTTACAAAGTTGCCAAATATCATCAGAATCAGATATACAGCCAAAATCAGCTTCAAAATGCCCAAACAAGAGAGGCACACCGACAAAGGAAGTCCGCCTATAATAGCTTATTTGTTTCTGTAGTTTTTTTAGCTTGTTATTTTCCTTTTATGCCTTGTGAAATACTGTATATGACAAACACCTCTGAAATTTCATTTTTCATGGCTCTATTTCCCTCGATATTCTTGATTTACTTGAATTCATCATTAAACCCTATTGTTTATTGCTGGCGGTACCGAGAGATTCGCCAAATTGTAAAAAAGACAGTAAAGAAAATAATTCGCATGAATGAGAATATGATACGGGAATCAACCTTAATCTCAGGACAGTTTGAACTAAAAAATATATAATGCGAAGTTTTACGAAACGAAATTAAGTCAGAAAATATAACCGACGGCTTTCTTCGCCCAAAAACCAAGGAAAAGGTAAAAAGGGAAACGTTTGGCCTCTTCGACATCGGAATTGATCTCTCTGGAAGGAGAAACAAAAACACACTTTTGATCTTAATTCCTTCTACAACTTCTTCGAAATAGAATTTAGCTCGAAAACCAATGGACTGGAGGCGCAAAAAGACCAAGAGAACGACATCTAAAACTGAATTTCAATTAAGCATTTGAAGCATTGGGTTGCAAGGCGATTTTTCATAATAACTGCCCAACTAAGATTGGTCTCTTCGCTATTCGATCTGCTCTCTCTGAATTGTGAAACAACAAGAAACCTTTAGGGCACTTACTTAAAAAACTGTATATGTACCGATTACTACCAAAGAAGAAGTAAAAATGTCACAAAATGGCGAATTTTCAAGATGGAAACGATTTCCATCTGAGCAATCGCCAGACAAAAAAGTTGCTTACAACTGTACGTATGTCTCGATTTAAAATACGAAGTCTCTCTTTCGCTTGACCGTGGAAAATCTTGGTACGAGATAAGACGCGTCCTACGGCGTAAGCCTAAAGCGAAAGTTGCCACGTTGAGGCTCTTTAGACTGAAGAACACAAATACTCGTTGGCATTTGAGAATAATTTCAGATTACATTGTCGTGAGTCCCCCATTGAGGCTTATCTCAAAGAAAGAAGAAGGAGGACGAGAAGAGCCCGAAATATTAGGTTTCGGTCCTTTTTCAGAAACCTTTTCAACTTTGAAGACTCAAACGCCTCGTCGACAACACCTTGAAACAAAAAGATGCTAACTGAAAACGTACGTCAGATTCCTTATAAGTTTAAATAAAAGTATAGAATTAAATAAAATCCATCATTATTTTATGTGTGCATCATTTGCTGGTAGGATGAATTATTCAAGAGAAAATAACTCGCCCTATCAAGTTTACACCGAGCGTTGTCATTTAAAGAAGAAGTTCTACTTAGCAGGGAACAGCCCACATGTCAATTAAGGACAGAGAGGTAATTGGAACTTGATGAAAACGGACTATATATGGCGGTGTTTAATTGTTTTGTGTTTAATACTAATGTCGCAAAACCGGCGTTCCCGTTGTTTTCTGAATTGACCTTGTTTTCTACAATTTAACTCAGTATTTCAACCCTTAAAGTTTATATCAACGATCAGACTGAATTTCTGTTTTCACTCTACCTATAAACATTGCTTCTAAGGCTTTAGTTAAAGAACCGGCTATATGACGTTTCACAGCATATGGCTTATTTGAAAGGTAGCTAATAAACGGAGGTGTAATCAATATAGATATTTCATCGAAAAGAAAAACTTCATGTATATAATCTAGCAAGTTAAACCATGGCTCAACAGTATTGCACTCGAATCCTGGATTTTTTGCTACCAATTCTCTCATTGTTCGCCTCAGAAGAAGTTTCTTCTATGTTTTCTGTCTTTTAAACTTTGTATTTTCTCTCGTGGCGACTCTAGCAAATCTTTTAATTATCCGCGCGTTAATGAAGGCCTCTACGCTACCAGCCAACGTCAAGAAGATGTTGAATTGCAAAAAAGAGGAGAACTAGGGCGAGGCAAAGGGAAAGGGAAATGATACTTTTTTTCGCCTCTCCCTCTCCCCTTTTTTCCTTATTTCGCCCTAGGGTTAACCACCACCACCAGCACCACCGCCACCACATTTCTATTGTTTTCCCTCCACCACCACCACCACCAGATTTGTATTGTTTTCTTTCCACCATCACCACCACCACATTTCTATTGTTTTTCCTCCACTACCAACACAGCACCACCACCATCACCACCGCCACATTTCTATTGTGTTCCCTCCACCACCACCATACTTCTATTGTTTTTTTCCTCCACCACCACCACCGAGTCCTTGTACAAGAGGATAGTGGTTTTATTGAAGATGTATTAGCCCCTGTTGTTTCTAGCTTAGGATTTCTAATGCTATAAAAGAGGTGACGCAACAGCAAGTTGATCATTCGAGGCTAAGTCTGTCACGGGTACTCGTCAAAATGAAGAGAAAGATAGATTTGGTTGAAGAAGAACACGAGAGTGAACATGAAGAAAGCGAAAGTTCTGGTGATGAAAGCGAGGATGAAGAACCGAGAGTAACAGAAGAACCAAGAAAAAAAGATGTTTTGAGTCATCTTTCCCGCCCAGTGCCGGAAAAGCGAGCTTCTGATTTGCTGCATAGTAAGGCCACGTCCAAAGATATTCTTTTTCAGACTCCCAGCGCGGACAATTACTTCGAAATAAACGCACTATTCCTGTCACAAACATCGCTGAGCTAGTTGAGTATGTGTCACTCCCTCATAACAATGAGGCTACTAAGCCTCGTGCGCTGAATACGTTTCTAGATGGACTTGCAGAGTTAGGAATCGATACAGATTTAATCAAGAACAAAAAGTTGTTAAGTGATTTAAAAGAAAAGGAAAAAGGCTACCGAAATGTAGAAAATACTTCCGATAACGAGAGTAATAATGAGGAGAGTTCATCGGATATTGAAAATCAGGAGGAGGAGGAGGAAGTGGCTTCTGAGAATGGCGTTGAAGCTGAAGGCACCCACACTGTAATTTTCAGGGAGTTATAATAACCCCTCTAGTGGGGCTAATTTAACTCCTGACAGTGGAGTTATTTTTCGTGGAGTTATTTTAACTCCAAAAAGGAGTTTAAAGAACTCTTTTTCAGGAGTAAAAGTGACCCCAGATATTGAGGAGTTAAAATAACCCCAAAAAAGGAGTTATCCTGTACCTAAACTTTTTACTCCACTTTCAGAGTTAAATTAACTCCAAAAAGAGTAAAAACAACCCATGTAAGGAGTACAAGTAACCCCATTTCGGAGTAATTTTAACTCCAGACTGGGAGTAAAAAGAACTCTTTTTCAGGAGTAAAAATGACCCCAAATTCGGAGTTAAATTAGGAGTTAAAATAACCCCAAAAATGGGGTTATCCTGTACCTAAAATTTTTACTCCATTTTTGGAGTTATAATAACTCCCTAAAAATTACGGTACAAGAGAGCGACAACGACACTGAAAATGACAGTTAGGAAACAGAAAGTAGTAGCCCTGAAACGTCCACCGCCTTTCACTCTAAAAGTCCCTGTGAACATTGTGAGAACTCTAATGTGTACTGGACATTGATCATGAAATGTCCTAAATGCTTTTGGTACGATTACTACAAGATTTGTCCTATATGCGGTCACCAGATTGCCGAGGGGACAAATTACATGAAAGAGGGCTTTCGTCGGTTTCACGATTGTGGAGCAGTTACACACAAAAGACGCGAAGACGTTGGAAACCAATTTCTATTCCCCTTCTAAAGAGGAGAACGAAGATGAAGATTAATTAATTTCCATTCCTTACAAATCGCTGTGTATTTGACTGTTTTTGTCATTGTTTTTAATAAAGTTTTTAAAACGGTATCTCTCTTGTGGTTTTATTGCTAGCAATTATTAGTCGCGTGTTTTAATTGATCCTTATTTAAAATTGTTTATATAATAATACGTCCAGGTGCTCCCTTGGGTTTTTCCTGTATAGCTAATTTGTATTCAACTTTAAGCTTGCAAACTCGCATAATTAACTGACTAACGGCGTGAAACGCTGAGACTTTTTCCTCGAGATAGAAAGCAGAAAACGGTTCTGTATTGGTCGGACAAAATTGAAATAGAGAGTGTTCAGCTCCACATTGTGTATATGTGTGTTTGTTTTGTTTATATGTCCGAGTTTTAGAGCTATGCATATTAGTAAAGGGAAGGCATACAGAAGTCAGGGGAAGGCACCAACGGGGATAATTTTCAACATAGAAGACTACTATCCTCTTTTGCCGCCAAAAAGCCCGCGCTTTTCGCTACTAGTGGTAGCTTAACCAATCAGAACGCAGCATTGATATTAGACCACTAGTTGGATTTCACTACTAAGGTAAACTCTTTTAAAGGATCGTAACCCCCTTCCTCAGATTTTACTACTCATTACTGGGTTCTGGGTTCGTATTTGAGAGTGGGAGATCCCCAGACATTTATAAGGTCAACCGTTAAACTCTCTGAGAGAAAGGTCCACCTTAAAAACAAGAATGAGTTTTGTCCTTCAATTGTAATGAAGTTGCTACAGGAATAGGAGGAAAAATTGAGGTAAAGAAACTTGTATGGGTAGATGATTTCATTGTCATCGCCCTATTTCATTTTTGAGTTGGCTGCTTGAAGTTTGACAGAACATTTTAACTACTTCAGGGTGTCTGTAAATTGCAAAACTTAGTCCCTTTTCCAAGATCCCTCTTCTCTCTTCCACGTTAATTTCTTCCACCTCTAGGCAACCGTAATCTTTAAAACAAATATTACCTCTTTGGCGTTAGTTCTACTTTACCCAGGTGATGTGTTGAGGTTTCTTCAATTTCAAAATGTTTTAATACCTCGGAAAATTCAAGACTAAAATTATTAATTTTTTGTGCAATTATTTGCATGTCTTCAAATGATTTATCGGCTATCCCTTTACTTATCTTTAATGCATATTTCAACAGGTTTTGCCGACCAATTTGACAAGTACTCCTATAAAACAATTGACATGAACGTTGGCAAAAATTATGATTTTCTGTCCATCATGCACTACGACCGAAGAGCCTTCACAAAGAATGGAAAGGAAACCATCGTACGCATAGACAACCAAGCCCAGGAATTTGGAATGCCTGATCTTAAGTCATTGAGCCCAATGGATATCTTGGAACTCAATGCCTTGTATGATTGCAAAAGTATGTGCCTTTTATTTTTACCTATTTTCGGTGACTGTAATTCGGTGAAACGCGCGTGTGTAACTGGCGGAATAATTTTTGCGCGTCTGGGAGCGGAGTGTTGGCGGCGAAGCCGCTGCCATTGTCGCGGCTTTGCTCTGAGAAGCGAACGCCGTTTAGAGTCTCCCCCCATTTTCCGCACTGCTTCGCAGCTCCTCTGCCAAGACTTTGCTTCCGCTAACGATCCCGCCGGCTACATACGCAGCTATGTTAAACCAACGAGTGTGATTAACAGAAACGTCCCCATGTTAAATACCTTGAATTGACAAAACAAAGTGGAACAAATTTGAAAGAAAAGAGGACTGCTGTTTTTTTTTTCTTTTTTTAACTCCCCAGTACATCCTCCTCTTAACTTTTGTGCACGTACAACTTTTTGTCAAATTAGGGAAGCAAGGGTGGCATTAGTATTCACCTCCCACCAATGTGGCCCGGGTTCATATGTGGGTTGTCTCTTGCGTCAAGATTTTTTTTTGTTTGTTTGTTTGTTTTTTTTTTGTTGTTGTTGTGATTCTCCAGTTTTCCTCTCTCCTTAAGACACGGCCTGAGAGGCAGAAGGAAAATCACATAAGAATAAATAACACAAAAAAAGTCTTGGAGGTGTAATTTAAAAGAGAGTTTTTATTGTTAGCTGTATAGAATCGAATTGAACAAATAAATTATTACTACTGATAGATAGGTCCGCAATGAACTGCTGCCTTTCAGCAACGAGGTGACACCATTCAAAATATTAATTATTTTTGAATGGAAGACATAGCTTAAGACTCCCGGCCACAACCACTTAGTCTATCTTTGTCCCATTGAAGTGACACAAACCAATGTTTCATACGCAGCGAAGTATAAAGGGTGGACTCAGTGGTCAGTCTTTAGTCCTTGTAACGAAGTTTGCAAAAAAGAAAGGCAACGATACTGCTACAACTCAGGAAATCGTAAGGCATGTGGTGGTAAAGTCAATGCCTATGGCGTCGAGACGCAAGTCGTAAAATGTGGCAAGTCTGAATGTCCAGGTGAGCGGTAATTCCTCGTCAGTTGAGCTGTTGTTATTAACAGTGGCCGATCTAGGAAAGGGGCTGAGGCCTGAAGGGCCGACAAAAAGTTTTTGGAGACTGCCCCCCCCCCCTCCCCCCTTCATCTCAGGGTCTGGATGACCGCCCTCCCCCCACCTTATCTCAAGGTCTAGATCCGGCACTGATTCTTAAATGTTTCTCTTTGTCACTCCACGTAAGATGACCCCAAAACTGTCTGGGATTCTGGATTCAACGCTGTGGGATATGGGCTCCAGGCACTGGATTCCGGATTCCTTTTCAGTGGAACTTGGGGTCCTGTTTCCAATAGTTATCGGGATTCCGGGTTCATTGAGCTGAACCACAGATTCCAAAGCCAGGAATGTTGGATTCCACTAGCAGAAGTTTCTCGGATTCCGGAGAAACTCTTATAACCTTACATGGGGCATACTCACGAAGTGGTGATGAAAATGGTTGCTGGTCACCATACGGTGCGCTTTATGCGTTTGAAAAATGTTAAAGGATGCAAACAGCACCACATTATATGTTGTTGCTGTTTGTTTGTTTGTTTATTTATTTTTTTTTGTCATTAACAGCTAAAGTGGATGGTCACTGGGGTCGTTGGTCGGAATGGTCTAAGTGTGACGCATCTTGTGATGACGGCATTAAAAAAAGAACCCGGATGTGTAATAATCCTGAACGAAAGCATGGCGGGAAGTATTGTCCAGGGATTGGTAGTGAAGAAGTGGTATGCACAACTAGAAGATGTAATCTTGGTGAGGTTTTGATTAGTCTCTCTATATATTTTTCAAATTTGAATAAAAAAAATGTATGTATACATTCGAAAGTGACAGAGTATATATAATTACTGCTCCATCCGATGTATTTAATTTATTACTATAAATATTACGAATATTGAATGGGAATATATGAAAAGGATCATATTTTGAACTGCTGATAAAGGTTTGAAAGTGAACATGATCCTCGCAAGCGGTTGAAAAAGAACCTGAAAAATTTCAGGCTTGACCGGGAATCGAACCCTTACCGGACGCAACGTTCTATTTATAATCAAGCCAACTGGAGAGCAGGCCAGGTTCAAGTTCTATTGTCTTAATAATATCCAGTACATTTTTATAATTATTGTCAGTATGGCTTTCTACTCCATATTTGTTATCGTGATCGTTATCACTACAGTTATCTTTTTTGTTTCTGTTAATTGATTTCCTGATTATCGATAGCCTTGTTATATTCGTCCCAGTTATTATATAAACTGTTGTGATCGACTGGCCCGATTAATTCTCCCTGAATTGTACTCTACGCAGTCCTATGACCATTATTGATCATGAGCTTTATGTCAGTTGTTATTATTATCATCATAACTGTTATCTTTGCATTATCCTCGCCATTGTCGTTAAGGGAAAGTTTTATCATAATTGTTAGTGTTATCGTTGTCGTTATCATTATCGCTATATTTATTACTTACCATAACAGGATACAAAGACACTGACTTTGAAACAGGTATGGGTATGTGGAAAAACATTGGACAAATACAATGGCTGCGACACAAAGGACCAACCAAGACAATAAACACTGGGCCATTTAGAGATCACACAACCAACAAAGGTTTGGTACTTTTCATATAAATAGTCGACATCTAAATGTTGCTGTTTATCAAAGAAAATATTAATGTTGAATACGGCTTAAGCAAACAATAAATTAATAATTATAGAATACTAAATTATTATTTTATTGCTCCTCTTGAAATGAAACTGTTAAGTAAAATTTACGGGAAAAAGTTTCTTTTTGTTTTTTTTTTCGGGCCATTCTCCAGCTTCGATATTTGTAAGTTACGTAAGGAAAGGCAGCTAGTTAAAGCGGTCTCTTAAATGCCAATGAGGCAGGATTATGAAAGTCTCAAGAAGTATTCAACTTTTAGTGACATCACAACCGAGTTACCTACAATCTTGGACAAAATAAATGGAAAACCCAGACCCTCCCTTCCCCCAAAATCAAAAATGGGAAATTGCTCGTTTTTGCCCTTTTCGCGGTTTCATCCTTGATTTGGGGGGAACGGAGTTTGCTATTCCATTTTATTCTGTCCAAGATTGTAGCTACGAGACGTTTTTCGCCTATTGAAAAATTAACGAACTAGTTATTGGCCGCCACGTCAGCCCTTGTGCCTTTAACTGACTTTTGGCAGTGACTTTTAAGAGGTCGTGATTTGTGTAACTCTAGCAGACTGGCAGTGCACATAGGTATATTTTGTACACGCTGCTACTTCTTTCCACTTTTTTTTTCTTTTGATTGAAGAAAAAACAAACAAACAAAATAAAAACTGACCTATTGACATTCTCCAAAGACCATAGACATGTTTGTATATTTCGTGAAAGAGTGGAACACTGCCACATTGAAATGTAGGATTCAAATTCCGTCTCTTTAGTTTACAGTAGCCTCATGATGTTTGTATAGTGTTCCCTATTTGTAGCTAGGTCCTGTTGGTCAGCTAGAAGGTCAGAAATCGGGCATACACTGCATACAATAAAACCTTTTGTATGAATGATTGATTGATTACTTGGTCGGTTGATCGATTGATAGACTGAATAATTGAATAGTGGCTCGCTTACAGGTATTTATATGCTGTGCTCTGTGTCGTGTCCTTTACAAAAAACCTTTAACTTGATTATGCCAGACTTAAGCACGAAAAAAAAGCCTTGCAAATAGGAAAAATTACAAGATGGCGACTTTTGACTACAACTACCAGAATTCATTTCGTTCTTGCTTTCTTATTTAAATTTGTCAATCTCTCTGAGGTTTAGTTAACTATCGCTCGAATTTGCACAAGGAAACAACAAACTGAAGGATTTTGGTAGTTGTAAAATAACGTCATCGTGCAATTGTCCTATTGGATTCCCATTTGAGTCGTGCTTCCTAGCCAGCAGTTAAGAGGGATGCAAAGTTCTGACCTGACCATTTGCCCATAGAAGGTATACGAACTTAGGAGCTTCTTTTCTATCAAGAATGGTACATAAAAAGGGTAAGGGGTTGGACTTCGGGGCGGAGCCTTTCCGTATATAAAACTTTGTTAACTACACTAATGAAGATTTTCGTTCTCGGACAGGCTACTATCTGTATATGGAGTCATCAAACCCTTCACGTGCTGTGGCTGTTATTGAAAGCCAGCCGTGGTTAACAGCTCCTGAAGGAGGACAATGCATGAAGTTCTTTTACAACATGTATGGGAAAACAATGGGCTCACTAAAAGTGGCCATACAGAAACAAGGGGAATATGCTAAAGTAGTTTTTGCCAAATATGGTAATCAAGGAATGAAGTGGATTGCAGCCAGAGTGGATTTAGACATTCCTCAAGGAAAGAAGTACAAGGTAACTATTTGAAATGAGACTTATAAAAACTGGGGTTTCAATAAAAATTAAAGTAACCAGCAGGTTTGAAAAGAGTAACCGACTGTATCAACAAGGGTCGTTTATATCCTCTTTTTCTATGGGGATTGGGGACGTGCTTCCCCAGACAATTTTACCATAAAAAGTCTTTAAAAGCGATTTCCAGAGTTCTTGGGAGTATCGAGAGTACAAAAGACCGACTTTTTCCATTCTAGAAAATGTAGCTTTCATTCATAGAATTGTCATTATATTTTTTTTTAAAGATTAAAATTATTGCCCAGATTGGGAAGAAAGGCTACTCCGACATCGCTATTGATGATGTATACATCGACTCAGGACTTTGTTGTAAGTATAACACAGATAGACTTTCAAGGCTCTTCTTAGTTGGTGGTTGACGTGTGTGGTTGATAACGTCACAACGTTGTCGGTTGTTGATCAATTAACTCTGTCACACAGATGGGAATTTATCCCCAACGGTAAGCACTCTCACTGGTTACTTTGAGGTCACATGTCACCAAACAATGAAACTGTTTCCCGCCATAATCTCTGAGTGGGCAACATTGCAGAATTCTATGACGTCAGGGGGAAACAATGCGCTGTTTCCCGCGAACGTTGACCGACGACCGCCGTTACAGGGAATTTAAATGAATTTCCAGCTTCAAAATTTCCAGCTATATGAAAAAATCAACGAAACTTCGCCTCGGAAAACACTGAGATTCTCGGGAAACAAAATTAACTGTTTCCCTCGGGACCAGTCATTAAGTGTTTAATGTTATTGGTTGTCAAAAACTATTTAATGCGACTATCTGTCACTGTATAGAGAGGAGAAGTCGTTACGTCACGTTGCAATGGTAGCATAATTTCTGAAAAACGTCACTTAAAAAGTGAGTTTGCACTATTAACTTCATCGATCTTATTCAATTTCATTTAATTTGTAAAATTTAGGAAAAAATGTCTGGGGTTGAATCCGAAAGGACCGTATATGAAAAAAAAGAAAATTATTGTGCAGTGTTCACCAAGTCCATAAAGCGGGCGCGTGAAATTAGGAAGTTTCAAGTCGCAGACTTGAAACTTACTAAAGGACGGCTAAAACAAATTGCTAACAAACAGCTAAGAAATGTACAAAAAAACGTGATGCGCGTGCAAAGTTGTTGTTTTGCTATTTTGCGGTTCTCCTTGCCGTCGCCGTCGTTGTTGCTTAAGCTCCCCATTGTTGTGATCCGGAAATGTTGCTACCATGGTAACGTGACGTCACACTTCTCCTCTCTATTGTTAGCTGACAAGTCTGTCTGCCTGTCTGGTTTTTTTTGTTTTGTTTTTGTTTTTGTTTTTTTTTTCAGTCCCTTGCTGTTAGTTCGCTCATACGGCTTATTGTCGTCGATAAGGTGTTCGCAATGTCCAGTAACTGCTTGCTTCAATACATTGGCTTACTTTCCTGACATTATTTTCAACTGAAAATTCATTTCGTTTTTGGGCCAGATTGAGCGAGATAGCAAGTGTTTTAGTTATATTCATCAAGCTCAGAATACTTTTTTGTTGTTTATTTAGTTGTTTGTTTTCGTGTTAAGTTTGTCAGGACGACTACGTATCCTGCTCCAAATGGAAGGCTGCAGGGCATTGCAAGACAAACCCCAAGTTCATGCGTCAACATTGTGCAAGAAGCTGTGAAACATGTGGTAAGATGAACCAGCAGATACCGGGCCTCGTCGCATAAATCTTAAATTCAAACGTAAATGCTAATATCTGACGTTCCTACCCCAGGCTAAGTTAGACTAAGCTTAGCCTATGGTCGAACCTAATCTGCCCATTATTTACATATCATTCTTTCCCGATCGAGAGGGGATACAACATTTATTTGCAAGGTCGCATAAACATGAAAAAATGCCCTTTACTTATTGGCCTAGAATAACCGTGAAAATTCCCTCTCTTCTCAAAAAGAAGCAAGGAGCGTGATGGCAGCTTAAGTTGAACTTTGTATTTAACGCCAAACATTAAGAAGTTATGTTTTATGTAACTCAATTCCGGTCGGTAGCTAAAAACCAACGTGAAAACTTCAACAAGTTCTGATCATGATCGTTTGAGTAAATGTTCTTTTCTTTGGAAGAATCTTGCTTCAGTAGAATGAAAAAGTTCTCATATACCATATTTATTCGATTAACCGCGCGCCCTGGTCGCTTGTTAAATTTTTGGACCTTGACGGTGGGCGGTTATTTAATAGAGGTGGGCGCTTATTCGAGACTTGGCGCTTATTAAATATTCACCATTATCAGCAAGTGTAGTAAATGGTTTATTTTGCAACAAAACAGTAAATGCAACGCGAAGAAGCAAAAAAGCAAGGTTTCTGTAAATACTCTGAAGAAAACTCCGTCTTCGGAGAAGTCTCTTTTTGGTACTAATATTCACTTCAATCTCAATCTCATTGTCACTCAAGTGGGTGGGGTGGGGTTGGACGCTAATTAACTTTTTCCGCCTTTGGGATGGGCGCTAATTCGAGACTGGGCACTAATTCGAGGTTGTGCGCTTATTCGAATAAATACGGCAGTCCATTCGTTTCTTTTCAGTTTCGTGACTGTTGTTTTCCCCAAATATTTTTGACATTGAAAAAAGATCAGTTGATGGCAGTAGACCATATAGAGACGAGAACTTTAAGTTTTCAGAGTCAGCTAGTTTCAATTTAAACTTATTCTTTTTATTTATGCCTTAACAACAGAATGTAAAGACAACAATCAAAACTGTCCAGCTTGGGCTGCTCAGCCAAATGGATGTAAAAAAAATCTTGACTACATGCGTACTTCGTGCAAGAAGAGCTGTAACGTTTGTCGTAAGTACCATTCTTCTCCTTCTTTTCCTCTCCAGTGTGCTCTGTTGTCGTTGTTGTTGTTGTTGTTGTTTTTTTTCACTTTCTTCTTCTCTGTTTTGCAATTTTTTTTTTCGTATGTCTGCCCAGGTGTTAAAAAATACCCTCAATTAACGGATGAATTAACGGATTATAATATTATTGTTTTTCTTTTCAAAACCACCCAAAGGGTCCAGAGGTGAGTGAATAAGCCACGGTATTTTCACTTTCCTAATCCCTACCAAAAATCAGCTGTCGACTAACTGTGGGTTCTTTCTTATATACTTCTCCGGCAGTAACAATAAGATACCATTGACATAAGCTATAACATGTTAACTGAGAACAACAACAACAACAACAACAACAAATTTTATTGTACCCAAAGCAGAATATTATAGTTATTTACAAGTTGTTAAATTAATCAATTAACTAAAAAGGGTACTGACTTCTTGAAAAAAAACTAATAAGTTAAAAATGCCAAGAAGCCAGATTCAGTAAGATAATTTAGATAAGTTTATTGTGCGGGATACAATATGGCAGCATATCATACTGTATACACACAAACACACGGATATACACTCGTCACATACTCATATACAACATAAACATACAGCACCGTAGTTGTCAACTTTGATGATGTTGCCGGCTTTCATAACCAGTCTCCTCCACTGGCTATTTTCTGACAAAATCGTCCGTACGTACCTCCGCCCCTTCATGTTAGCGGATGTAAAATGTCTTAAGTACTAGCAATGTTGGGCTTCCATGTAATGATCAATGGACAACTGTCAAAAAAAGTATCCGCAGACCAGTGCCACGTTACTGTATCGCAGACTAGGGTGTACAACTCATTGAGGTGACATGTTTTTTTAAAGTTCTCCACTGACCAGTTATGGTATTGGCTCAGAAAACTTTACTTCAGAAAGATATTTCTTAAAAGTTCCCACGAGAGCGTCGCTTTTGGCCATGGATAAATCTGAACATAAGGCATGTGTGAAGTTCAAGGCTGAAGGAACTGGATTGACCTAGCGGGCTAACACGGCGTGTTTCATGGACAGCCCAAATTAGCTAAAAATAAATTTGAAAAACAGTAAAAGCCCAAACAACATTCAACTTTACCCGTCATCTATGATCTGTCAATCGTTGCTAACATTATTGAATAAGCCGGAACAAGTATGAATCAGTGGTAACAAAGCTTTGCAGGAAAAGAACGAATGAGTCACTAATCTAGCACTATTTTCGCACAGGTGAGAGTATAAGGAATTCATTTAACTTTCTAATTAGAATCGTTCTTTACAAGGTAACACCGCACCAACCATATGTAAGGATAACGACGAGACTCAATGTCCAGCTTGGGCTAAGCTGGGATACTGTTCAAAGAATCCATTGTATATGGCCAAAAACTGTGCTTTGAGCTGTGGCAAATGTGGTAAGACTCCCTTTGTAATGAAAGCTTTATTTTTTAAAAATGTAACGAAATAAAAGAAATGCGAAGCAATTCATTCGTTGATTTTCAAATTTGAAAATATACTAGTCGCTCAGCTTTGCAGTAGTCTATGGACATCTCATATTTTAGAATTAAAAACTATCTCATTATTTTTCTTTTAAAATCATCGTGTTTGTCTTTTAGGTCTCATCGATCGAAATTGTTGTAAAAGCAAATACATACAGGGTAGCTCTTTAGGTAGCTTTCTTGCGATAATATTTTTTTAGGGAAGTAAGAATTAAAGATGAATAATAGGATAAATTCAACAATCGTGAGTTACGGTTACCTTTGTCTACGCCTGCCCAGTAAATTCTAAACCAAACTATTTTATCTTAAAAGTCTGCCAGGATAAGAATCCAAGATGCCCAGAGTGGGCTCAGAAGCAAGAGTGCTTAAAAAACAAGAAGTGGATGTTCGACCACTGCGTCAGAAGTTGCCATGTCTGTGGTGAGTAGTAGAGACCCAGTAGCGTATCTAGGGTAGGGACTCGGGCGAGGCTTGAGGCCCTAACCTTATTTTTAGGCCAAACTGAAGCCCAAAAGGCCGAACAAAATATTTGAGGTCGGGCCTTTCTCTTATCTAAGAAACTGTTCATTAAACCTCCCAATGAATGAATGTGTTGTTTTAGTTGTCAATTTCCTTTACTTGTTTTTCTTTGCTGACTTAATACTATTTTGTTTGATCAAAAAGTAACGAAAAATTGATCAATTTTTTTCTTGAGTTGAACTGCAGATAAATGATAGTGAAACAGACTTTACTCTCTCCGTCGTTTTGTTGCCTATATATTTTGATCATTTGCACATGCACTATCACTATGTATTCTTCCAACAAAACTAAGAATCAAATCCCTTTAAAGGTTTACACGATCTACCATTGGTAATTAGCACTTTTGAGCGGATAAGGTCCATTTGATATTCTTCTAAACCTCCAATGGTAAAAATACTTTTAGAGCACAGATCTCAAGGGCAAATTTCTACAATTTTTATTTTTATTTTTTATTTATACACTTTTTGTTTCACTTTTTAAGCCTGTGGAGATAACCATTTCAAATGTGGAGTGTGGGCAAAGTTAGGGGAATGCGACAAGAACAAACAATTTATGGAGGAACAGTGCAAAAAGAGTTGTAAAAAGTGCTAACTATCTAGCTTATGCTTGCCTCATTGAACCTCTTAGAATATTCAAGTGCAATTTGATGGAAGTATTTAGGATATGACGTGAATGATCCGTTGTGATAAACCTACAGAAGAGTATAGATAAGAAATGAAAACCAGAAGTAGTTATAAAACAACAGAATGATGTATTAAAGCACCCTTCTTTTCCATAATAGGTTGTTAAAAAGTGTATTTTCAGAGTTAAACTTTAAATTAGTTTGGGGGTAACATTATGGAACAATATAGTGGACTCCCTGCAACCTCATCTGTATATCAATCACACAGCACTAACTACATCTTGTAGACGAGATAACGGGCTATCTTTACAGCAATAGAAAACGTATTGGGAGAATTAGAGAGACAGTTTTTTTGGTGAGGTGAAGGAGTAAAGTCAATTGCGCATGTCAAATCTATTTGTCAAGCTTTTGGTTGTACAAAGGAAATAAGACGTTGCTTAGCATTTTGACTGTTTCCTGTGGACATTTTATTTAATTTCCATAAAATAATACTTAAGGTAAAGAAAAAAAGGTAATGCCCCTTAACAAAGGCCACAGCTTCTTCTGCAGAAAGCTTTCATGTAATCTTTATTCCTTTCACATCCTCCATCCTTTGCCCATTCAGGACATTGACGAACTTCGTAGTCGCTACATTCTAATAAAGAACACACAAAAAAAACAAGAAGTCATATGATAAAAACATATTTGTCATTGTTTGAACGTGATGGCATACTAATTTTATCGTTTGCATCCCTGACCGAGTATTCAGTCACTTTTTTATTGATAACGACTCTTTTCGACCGCTTGACGCCTGACAATGACGTGGTTCGGCCATGAGGGGCTATTAGACATTTTGTTTAATCATAGTTTTTTCTCTGAATTAATGAGGGTAGTGTCGCTCCTTAATAGATTCCCTTTCAAGTTTTGATAAAGAACAGATACCCAATATTCATTTACACTGCTGGAAAGAGCACCTTATTAAAAATTATTTATTATAAATGGAATTTAGCCAGTGTTTAGCAAAACCGCGTTCTAAGCCATATTCACTCTAACTTCCCAACCACGCTTTTATCTTAACACCAGTCCATTTATCGTGAATAGTTTCATGACAGCACATGGTGCAAACTAGAAAAGCATTTATCTTCTTAAAATAACCCACTGAAGAAGATATCGGGAGGTCCAAAGATTTGTTTACCTCCGACTGACCAAGCTTAAAGCGTGCGAATGTATTGCTCCATGCCACAAATTCGCGAAATTTTACATGAGGAGGGGGGCACAAACGTCTCCTCCGCCATAAGTCAGAACGTCTGTAAATTGCGGCGACTTTATGGAGATTTATCTTCGTTAGTTTTTAAGATCTCTACTAGTTTTAATTGGAATCTATACTAATTTTAAGGCGTTTTGTTGGAGGGGTCTATTTAGCAGGAGCGTAGTGTCCATATAAGCTCATGCCCCCCGTTTTCTGAGGACATATTTTTACCATTAAATAGGGATGACCGATAAATTTTCGGATTATATTGTTGTCTTCCTTTATCCTGTTATTATAATTCTATAACACTAGACAGAGATGTGTAAAATAAACAACTTGCTGCTGCATTTTCCTTCGTTTACTTATTACTGAAAATGTCCCGTGGAAAACGCTGGAAGTGGCATTTTCGAGACCCTGAATTTAAAAACTTTCTGAGGGAGCATTCCTTCAAAATCTCACGCTACACCCCTGTTTAGGAGACAACAAATGCAGTCTTTTTTCAGATGAAGAGTAGTATAGGTAATAGCATGATTTGCAGTGATATTTGGCATAAATACCACGAGTGATATTTCAAATTTGTTATTCGTAATTTCACGAGCCGTTAGGCGAGTAAAATTTGAGACAATTTTGAAATATCACGAGTGGCATTTATGCCAAATTTCACGTACAAGTCATGCTATTATTTGTTTATACTACTACCCGCAAAAGGTTTGTAATTTTCACATGTAGGTATTTCAAATTAAGCTGAAATACCACTGCTCTAAACCAATCAAATTGCAGAAATTTCTCATGTAGTAGTATAAGCAGGAGAAAAGAGGTGGCTTAAATGCTAGAATTTAAATTAAAAGTCGCTCACCGCATAGGCAACTTTTTGTGCAGTTTGAATTCATGTACTTCGGATTTTTCTTGCACTCGTTCATTGCCGCCCACAAACGACACTGTTTAGGTTTTGAATCAATGCATTCTGAAAAACCAGCAAATATATTTGTAACTGACAAAGCAAAGATGATGATGATTACTTAAGCCCTACGTTGCAAGGTAACTTACTGAACTGACAGTTTTTTCCAACAAATCCTTCAAGGCATTGACAGCTGTAATCTTCACCATCGTAGAAACATTTCCCGCCATTCTTACATAAACGAGAAAAGCTGCATGGGTCATCTAGAAGTTGCATAAAATAGTTTCATTTGTTACCACTTTAGAACTGAGTTTCATGGCACGTGGATTTGTGAGTAAGTGAAAATGAAGGGGAAAATAACGTTTGCGTCCTGGGGCGAAAGCGGCCACGGTAAACAGAATAATCGATAACTTTTTCTTACCTTGAGGATGACTTTTACACATCAGTCCAAGGAATGCCCCAGCTATGAAAAGTATAGTAAGTCTGTACATGTTGCTTTGTCACAATCGATAGGCAAAAGTTCAATATCTAAAATGAAATATATAAAACCAACAACGTGCTCTGCTAGCTAGAAATGATAAGCCTGTTTGACTCCTTCCCCTCTCCTTGATTCTTTAGCAAAGTCATTGTTCGCTCTCTGATTTATGATGTATTAAGTATTTAAGTCAAACATATTAATGCAAAAGTTTCGTGGCAATCTAAACATACAACGATGCCATTGACACGCCGTTATTTAGTTATACAAGTAAGATAACAGCTATAATAATTATCACTTTGCTGGCATAAAGCTTGGTTGATCCAAGTTCTTCAAATGTTTCATCTGCTTAGCAGGTTCTCGTCTGAGGCGTTTTTTTACTTAACATGGGGGTACATCATTCAGTGGGGCTTAAACATTACTAATCAGCATTAAACCGGCTGAGAGAAAATTGAGGTCTTAATTACGGTGAAGTTCACATGCATTTGTGATATTTGGAAATTTTCTATAAAGCGTGACCTTTCTCTTGTGTTAAGATCTAGACATTTAAACATACCTTTGTTAATGTCTTTTTCCTCATTACCTGTTTTACTTTGAAGGCTTTTAAGTAAACTGACATCAAATATATTGTTAAATGTGTAATATGTCGGTTTTTGAGCACCGTCACACTATGAGGTTACCCCGACAACTGAAAGTTATCTAGTTATCTTCAGTGGGCTGATTATTCTTCTCCTTCAGGGCTAATTAAAAACGTGACCTGGGAGAGATGCTCTTTTCAAACCGTCGTAAATTAATTTCCGGTAATGACCGTATTTTAAATCGCCGTTATTTGTTAATTCTAGAAAAAATTAGTATGTGTAATCAAATGGTGACGAGTGAAATTAGGGAATAATTTCACGCGCGTTTTGTCCAAATCCTTATAATTTATTAGGATTTGGACAAAACGCAAGTGAAATTATTCCCTAATTTCACGAGTATACCATTTGATTACCTATTAATATCATGGGTGACGAATTACCTTAGCAATCTTGGATTTTTGACCTGTTTATCCTGGATCGTATCGATCGATCGTGAACTCTACTCTCTCAAACGTTCAGAGCAGAAATTTGGCTTAAGTTTTCAGAATTTTTCGACAACATACCTCTAAGAATCCTTCTTGATGTGCTCTTTCGTGTGTTCAGGTTTTCTAAAGCATCCTTTTATGCCCTGACATCTTCATTCATGACATTTTAAAACTTCCTCGCCATCTTGAAACGGAGACGTACGGCAGGTTGCCATGGCAATTTAGTAATTTCACATGTGAAATTACAAATTAACGCTGAAATTTCGCGCCAAAATTAAGGAGTAATTCGTCACCTATGATATTAACGGAGAAATATATGTTGTTGTTCAGTTTAAATTTTATTTCCTTTTGTTTCAAACTCTTTTTCGAACATTATTATACCCCCGGCCGCATCCGCGAAAAAAAAAAAATAAAATAATGAATGAATATATTTTTAACTCAAAATTAGCGTAAAAAAATGATTACTTTAAATAAAAAGACCATCGATAAAGTCAGGCGTGATTTTTTTTTATGTCTTTTATTCATTTCATAATTTCTCATACATATAACTAAACACTTATTGAAACCCACAACAAAGAACAGTAATTCCTGTCGCTTAACATTTAAAGCTATTCTGGGAAAAGATTATGAGCCTATCAATAAAGCAAGCTACGTGCGTGCGCATGCTATAGAGCTGGTCTAGCAGAAACCGCAGCCTTTCTTGCAGTTCACGTACATATAGTCAAAATACACAGAATTCGTTGAGCAGTAACCCGATGACGCCCATGTATTGCAGTCTTCGTTCTTGCCTTTGTTCTTACAGCCTGTAAAGTATTTAGAAAACTAAGTCAACATGAGCGATTTTCACGTGATGAGTTCTTTTAGTGTCTCTTCTTCATTTTTCATTCAAATCGTTATATTGCTTGTTGAATTGCCAGTGCAGTGGGCTTGTTTTATTGTTTTGAGGAAGATATTTCGTCATATCATGATCAGTTAAACACACTTGTAAGTAGTTTGTGAGTTAAAATTTTTAGAATATTAAATTATTGGACAATATCTTATCGATCAAACCCAAATTCGCCATTTTCATACTAGAGACGGATTAACCGTCTGCGGGTTATCCGTTGGATAATTCGCGTCAGTACAGATAATACGTCTAAAATTTGAAAATGGAACGCTCTTAATTTCGGATAAACAATCTGCATGACTTTATCCATTTGTTTTTCCGTCAATTTTCAGTGATGGATTTTGAAGATGAATTATCCGTCTCGGATAGAAAAAGATAATCCGTCTTTAGTGTTAAAACTTGAATACTCAGCTATTGACTAGCTATTGTAGGGCTGAGAAACACAGTAGAACTTACAAGATCGGCAGCAATTCTCCAGCATATAAGCAGGATTTTTTTCACACTCGCCATTCAGTACCCATATGGCGCACGAGGAATGGAGATCCCTGCAACCTGATTAATTAAGTAAAATAATACCATTCTATTGCATAGTTTCAAACGGAAAGGGGGCTGGGCACGTGTCGGTTTATACAGAGCCGAGCCGCCCTGTAATGTTCTTTTTATTATATAAACAAAATGAAATCGATAGAATAATAGAGGGAAATTACCAAAATTACGTCATCGATAAACTCGGTAAACCACTCGGGTCCCGGATGTAGTTTTTATGAATTTTACCAGTGGTATATTTTCCAGTAAAACACTCGTGTCTATATAATAAAATGGGATAAACAACACGAGACCCACAAAGTCAGAAAGCCCACTGAAGTTACGAAAAATCTGAAGGTTGGTGCCGATCGGACTAATATGGAAAAATATTGAAAAAGTTGCAGCTATTTATAAACTTGTAAATTTATAAAAGATGATGGATTGCTGGACACAACGTGCAAACGTCTATATATATATATATTTCTTAGTAAATTCTGTAGTTTTTGAATGGTGTATCTCCTTCAATGTAGGTCCGATAAACACCGCCAAATTTGAGAATGCTCCTGATCTCAGTATGCTCTTTCTGACTATATGGAAACTAGGCATTACAGTGGAAGCTGTCGTAACTTGTGTACACCCTCAGGACGCGAAATGGGTGTCCGTTACTTGAGCTGACAGCTTACGGTAACGTAAAAATACACAGTTTGTGTGGAAGTTGAGAAAAACGGGGTTTTGTGAAGGTGGCCGTAAGTAGAGCCGTCCACCTTTGAGAGTGTCCGGGAGGAGAGCTTCCACTGTATTAGAAACAAACAAAAACCGATTCAAAGTTAGGGGCGCCCAACGACAAATTTTAGAAAATATCTGTTCGGAAGACGATTTGAGATATTCCGGAACATATATTTGCTGTAAAATTTTTTGCTTGCCTGCGTCTCCTAGGATTTTCGAACATCTTAAAAAATGGTATAATTGCCCATCGTTTTTAACGGATTTTTACCCTAAAAAGATCACCTAAAATTTCTGGGAGCCTTTTTTCCGGGTGAAATTTTCGAAAAGGTAAGCTTTGATCCCTACAATTTTCGCACAAGAGAGTTTCGCATCACTAGAAACATTTTTAGGGGATAAAAATATGCCTTTATATGCCTCTTAAATACTAAAATCCGTTCAACAATGCTATGTTTAAGTGGTTTTGAACTATATTGTCGTTGGGTGCCCCTGCAAAGTGAGTCATATATGATAAACGACCTTATAAAAGTGTCATTTGTTTATTTATTTTTTTATAATGGGACCTCATCATTTAGAAGCGCGCTTAAGGCCCGGTTCAGACGCCGAACGTTTCATGAGCCGAACCTAATTCAAATTAAGGCCGCAACAAGTTATTTAGACCAGCAGCTGAATTGATTCAGAAGCCGAACTCAAATAGAGTCGAACTATTAAATTCAGAAGGAGAAAAATGCTCATTTCGGTCAAACTGCTTACAAAGTACGTTAAAAGAATCTATGCATTTTAGGTTCAGTGCGTGAAAAATTCGGCGTCTAAATCAAGGCGTTGCAAAGTCGCTCGAAAGGCGAAATTCCCGGCTGGGATACTGGCGAAAAGAACGGCTGAGCCGTTCCAAATTAAAACAGGCGTTATTAATTGATTCAGACACCGACCTCCTCGTGTACTTAATTCAATGTATTAGGTTCGATTTCGGCTCATGGAAAATTCGTCGTTTGAACCGCGCCTAAAAGCGCTCTCAGGAGTCAAGGGGTTAAAGGGCGAACAGGGAACAGAGAGTAGACAACTAGCATTGGGAAATCTTTCAAAGTAAACAAAGCAGACCACTTTTTCATAGAAAATTTTTCCGCTGGACTATTGTCAATGAGTTCCAGTTATCACTTTCCACAAAACGTTTTCTGGAACTTTTGGCGGCATGATTGAAAGAACCTATATCACTGTGTTGCAAGTAGGCGGTGAGTTTATCAAGGGGTGTATAAAGAAGTAACGGCGATAGAAAAGAGAGGTGAAAGCCAACCTATCCAGCTGAAATTATCTCTCTTAGATGGTTGTATCGGTTCTCCATAAAGACTTAGATTACAAAGTGAAGAAAGCTTATAAGTAAAAGCTAGAAGTTTGAGGTCATGCCGAAGGATCAAAAACAAATCCGACCTTCCAACACGTAAATAAACCATTCTGGATCAGTCCAATGAAGTTTTACAATCGTGATTGATCCATCAGTCTATCATTTATTAGTGAAGAATAATAAAGTAAGGGGAGGGGAGGCAGGGCTTTCTTTTTAAAGAGGGGACTTTATGGAGGATTTAGGGCACTCATCTAAGAAATAAAAACAATCAGTAGCATTATGATAGGGTGTAGCAACTTACGACAAGACTGGCAGCAATTCTCCAGCATATAAGCAGGATTTTTGTCGCACTCTCCATCCTGGGCCCATATGGGACAAGAGGAATGGATGTCCTTGCATTCTAATCAATCAGTAAACAAACAGAAATGTATTTACATGAAGGCATAACTCGTAATTTGGAACGGATAACGAAAACCGCCACGGGAGCTTTGGAGGTGGACCATTTTTCCGGAAACTTTTCAGCTGGACTATTAGAATTCCATTTATCTTTATGGACAAATTCTTTAAGAACTTTTGACGTGATAGAAAGATTCCAAAATGTTCAAGCAGGTTACTGGTTTCCGTGTTTAGACTGTTGTAATTAACATGGTAATTCACTTACCGCAAACTTTGCAACTTAGTTTGCAGCTAGCTAACATGAACTCTGAGTTTTTATCACAATCTCCGCTCTGCTGCCATTTTGTACATCTCGAATCATCGTCTTTGCAACCTATTTTTTCACACAAAAGTAAAAATACGGAAATGTTTGTATACTTTACCACCAGGTTTAATAGTCTTTTACGGCTTTAAAACGAGTAAGGGATGATGACGATGACGACGAAAAGGAAGAGAATAAAAAATAGAGGGAAGGGGAAAACTAAAATAAATTTATGATAATCAACAAATGATGTTGTATACCCTTTATTACTTATCGATCTGAAATTGACTTCATTGAATTAATAAAAATAAATATTTAAGCAGAAAATGTCTCTCAGACAATAGAGTTGTGGAAAAACAAATTAAATGAACCAGGCATCAATTTGCTTTATTTTGACAAAATTTGATTACCAACTTGAAGTAGTAAATTAAAAATTAAACAAATAAATTTTACGAGCCACAGATCATTCATTGTAATTCTGGTCCTATACTCAGGAAGGCTTAATTTTCATAGCTAAAAATTTGGCTGCAATTATGTCTGTCAACGATTGCCCAGTGCCAGCACAGCATCCAGTCACTTTTTGTTGTTTGTTTGTTTGTTTTTAAAGAATCATAGTTGAAAAAGATACGTTAGATAACTAAAGAGTAATGGGAAAAAATTGACCAGCAAAGCAGTCATCTAAAAATACCTCGAAAATACGTCTTTTCTTCGAACCCCTTCGTTTCTTAAGCTACCCTATAATTCAAACCAAAAAACCCAGCCATCTGCCGGTCAAACAAATGATGCAATAATTTACATGCATATTCTTCTTCCGTTTTGTCAAACCTTCCGATTTTTCGTTCTGATTTTCTTGTTTTTCTTAAGACTACTGAAAGATAAGGGCTTCATTTTAAAGGCTATTATGTACATCTGCATCTTATAAATAAACATGCATGATATGCTTACTGCAAAGTCCAGGATCTATATAGACATCGTCAATAGCGATGTCGGAGTAACCGTTACTCGCAATGGAGGCTTCAAATGTGAGCTGCAAAAAATGGATGCATTCTTTTTAGTTCAAGCAAATTTTGCGAGCAAATCTGAAAGAAAAGAGGTTCGACATTTTTCGCATCCATTGTATTCTTGACTTTTTAAACTGAAGATTATCTACGTCATATAGCTGAAAGAGCCCCTCTAATAACCAGTGTACTATTTAGCCGTTGATGGCAATTAAACAAAGAGGTTTTTTGACAGGTGAACGTCTTAGCCGTTCTACCCTATGATTCCAGTTTCGGCCCATGCAAGGGATTCCAATACAGTCCTTTAAAATTTTGGACACCACACCGCTGATTCTGGAATCCAGGCACTAGATTCTAGTCTTTGTCAGTGGAACTTGGATTCTGGATTCCAAGCGTTTAAGTACGATTCCGAATTCAATTGAGCTACAAGGCAAGACTTCCGGATTCAACAAGTAAATCTTCCCGTTTTTTGGGTCCTAATCGCACTTGCCCCTGATCAGATGAAAGACGGAGCATAACATACCCTGTACTGAAGAGCGGTGTTAATACTTTTGGAAAATTTCTTCCAGCCCATGCCCTGGTTTCCTTCTTTGTAAAACAGGAGATATTTCGCTCCACCATTTTCTGTGAAGTGAACCATGAGTTTACCCGTAGTTTTTCCGTACATGTTGTAATGAAACTGAAGACACTGTCCCCCAATCATTGGATTCAGCCATGGACTCTCAAGCAGGGCGTTGTCGCCCGCTTGTGCAGGACTCGACGATTCGACATACATATAGTAACCAGTACTATTCCCTTCAAAAGGCAACAGAGAAAATATATTTGATGATAACGATACTTAGTTATCTCACGTGGATACCGTTTTAGACGCCTGGTACTCCGCCCAATACGAAAGATACCTTCTGCGTCATTATCCTTAAAATAAAATCAAATTTAGTTTAAATTATTATTTCCAGAAACTTCCAATGTTTAAATAAATGTTTTTGATGGCCATTACAAATTTAAGTGTCCTCATGAATATAATTTCGCCAGAATAAGTATACCTCTACATATATTTTTTCATAGATGAAGTCCTAATTTGAGATTCCTAGCACCCTAGTCAATCATGAAACAATTACAAAATGTGATCCTTCGTATTATTTGGATGCTTAACGGTCTGGGATTCACCCTCAAAACACACTGGGCGTGTTTAAAGTCACGGACATGCGCATATCTCATAGGTAAAACAAGGCAAGAATCAACTGAGAATATTTTCACAAATTATAGTCGAGAGTACAAATTTACCCAAAGTATGATCAGCGTTTGGCCCAGTATCCACAGTCTTTGTGAAGCCTTGGTGTCTTTGCCAGTTCAATTTGTCGTTGTTACTATTGTACCACATTCCAAAGCCATTTTCAAATTCCGTGTCATCAGGATCTGCAAATGTGAAGGAAATAAAGGGTTTTAAAAATAATAAACAGCAAGTCAGCTTTACTTTATAATTTATTCATTCAAGAGACAGTTGTCAAGATGATTGTAGGTATGAATTGGGTACAAAGACCGAGTTTGATCGATATTTGATGAAAATGAAACAAGAAAAAATTACGGTCTCAACTCCCTATAAGACAGACACCTAAGTGTGTGCCTCCGCTTCCGGTTTTAGGCGCAATTTGATTGACTGACATTTGAATGAGTACGTGACAATGAGTCATTCGCTTTGAGAACAGCTGAGTTAATGGTTCTGTGTTTTATCGTGTCGACTCCTCGACAAAGTGTTCATCTAAAAGTAATATCCGTCTTATACAGCGAGTCAAATAGGTATTAGGTATTTAGGTATTTTATTTATTTGCAACACAATTACAATAATTACTTAAAGATGCCAAAAGGAAAAAAAATGTAGGAAGAGATGGCGAGGAGGCCTAAAAGAAACTATAGAGCTTATGTTAATTAGGCCTCCTCAATTACAATTTTTCGAAGATGGCATAAAAATTACGGCGACGGGTACAATATAATATCAGGTGAAAAATTAAACTAATCAATATTACGGAAGTTTACATGTACAAATGTTGAATATTAAAAGGCTTTTTCCCAAGATTTTTGTTGAAGTAAACTAATAATTATTACAAATAAATGCCTTAAGTGCTCTTTTAAAGGAGAAAGGTGAGGAAGCGTTGATGATGTTGGTGTTTAAGGTGTTGTAAAATTTAGGTCCTTGATAAAAAACGGAAAATTGCTTGGTTCGAGTACGACAGAAAGGCAGACGAAATAAAGAGAGTAAAGAAAGGCAAAGAGTGTATTAGAGCCTTTTTACATGGAGGTGGGGGACCCTAGGTAGGTGATGTAAACGTGATCAAATTAAAATGAGAGATTATATGGACAGGCGGGTTACCCCACCTAAGTGGGTTACCTCACCTACCTGGGGTACCCCACCTGCATGTAAACAGGCCCTTGGAGGAGTCCTTTAAGGGAGAGTTGACTGTAAAAGAAACTTACTCACAGAAAATTGTCTCCGAGACGGACAACTTTAAAAAATGAACTGTAGAAATTAAGGTGATGATCAATTCTAGGTGTTGTTTTAAGATTTAACCATTTTTAAGTCTTAAGAGTGACAGACGTCTCTCTATTATTCTCCTAAGGTTATCACAAATTATCACAAGGTGATAGCATTTTGTTTTTGGCGGGCGATAAAAGGAGCCCGCAGCCTATTATTGGTCAGCGGCACTCTATTCACTGTATCGCGAGATTTTTCCCGAGCCTGTTCACATTCTTGGAATGCCCGTGTTGTACCCACTAATATGCAGGGTATGAGGCCGCGAAGGCCGTGGTGTTTAGTTTAAGGTCCTTTTAAATTCAGTTATTACGTGAATGCACCCTGTGCAAGTGACGCAACAATCATTACATTCGATACGCAAGCACACGTAATTCAGGTACCCAAGAACTGTACTAAATGGGAGACTTTTCGATTCGCCTTTTCGGCCTGGAATCTATTTACCCAGGGAAATGAAAGTAGGTCCTGATCTCAGCTTAGTGCTGGACAAGTTTTCGGTAAGACACAAGTGCTAGCAAAGTCTAGAAATCGATGTAAATTAAGTTTATTCAGGTTTTACTAGAGTGTATAGTTTTTATATTTTTATACGTTTCTAAGCATGACACGTCGCATGTCATCCGAAAGCTTTAAGAAGCTTTAAGTTCCATTGGTAATTTTTCTATTTCATATCAACGGCCTTTGGTTATTAAAAGCGTGTTGAATATTCGATTGAATAATATAAAGACTTTGTGCATGACTGTACTTGTGTCATCCATTACTGTTTGAATGTATATCTAAGCAACTTCGAATAAAATCGTTCAATTAAATATGAGTCTTCTTTATTGTGTTGTTCAATCCAGTTTTCATGATCGGCAGTGAAATCCTTTGGTTGCTCACACAATTATGAAAGTGGTTTTCATAAATCACATCTTCGCCCGCATTTCCTGGCCCGGGTTACTGCTAGTTATGGTTGCTGCTTGTAGAATTGTGATATCCGGCTACGAGATTCTAAGGCTAGGAGCTGGTTAAGCTAAGGAAAAACCATTATGTGAAACGGCATTTATTACTCAGTTTAACCAGCTAAGTAAAAAACAATTCATCCAGAACCCAAGAAAATGTTTTGGACAAAGTGATAGTATTTCTCTTTTAGGGAACTAAATTTTACAACCGCAGCAGTTTTGATAGCCTGAGTTACGGCAGCGGGACTTGTCACTTAACACCCATAGGGATTTCGACTGTGTGCGACGCAGGCTACAGTCTTGACTAGTCTGTCCACATTACACTTACCAAGGAAACATCTCTTCATAACACAGACTCCTGTCTCGGTTGAGGCTCCTTCACAAGTCTTCCCGCCATGCAAAGGTGCTGGATTGTCACACTGTCTAGATCTTGTTCTTTGTCCCTGAAAGCACGTGACACTACAGCCCGACCAGTACGACCAATGACCCCAGTTCCCGTCCACAGCTGAATTCCAATAAACATTTAGTTGAAATAACGGTTAGGGAGTGTGAGGGAATTACAGGCTTCTAATCGAAGGTCAAAAAGCGGTTGCTTATATTAGACGCTGGTGCGTTGCGTAAGTTCACCGGATAGAAGGTCAAAACGCACATGCCATTAGATTGCGCTCTATACATTCTATTCTTTCTTAGTAGAAGTCCAAGTGAATGCTGGCTATCCAATACGTGTCAAGCATGCATGCGTAACAGCAACCTGGAGATAAGGATTTTCAGTTGCCCGCAATTAGAAATGAGCTATGAAGACTTCGAGGAGAATTGAGAAGATCATCGCAGGTACTTTTTGGAAGCAACTTAACAACAGCAAAAATATGAAGCCAAGTTGTTGTTGTTGTTGTTGTTTTTTTTTTTTTTTCAGGCAAGTACGGGAATGGACAACTGAGGACAATGCTTATGCAAAATTTTGGGGTGACAAAAAAAAGAGCATTATGGTATGTTATGGTATTTTCTGTAGTGGTCAACTGAACCCTTGACCTTTGTGGTACTTGTGCAGCGTGCTACCAATTGACCACTCTAGAAACTACCATTATATACCATAATGCTCTTTGTTTGTCATCCCAAAATTTTGCATAAGCATTAACTTTAGTTTCTCTTGGGAGTTAAAATGGCCCCAAGAGAAACTGAAAACGTTGCATGCTTATTCCAAATTTTGAGGTTATAAACAAAGAACATTATGATGTGTTATGGTATTTTCTGGAGTGGTCAATTGGGTAAGTTCAGTTCGAACCCTGCACAAGCCTACATTCTTAGCTTGCAAGGCTTTTTTGCAGCTGCAAAAGTTGCACTTTTAACTGCGATGATCCTCTTTGCATTTAAAATCATCAGAGATTAATATTGATTATTAGTGAATTTACCATGTTTTATGTCTAGTTGCTATTGGTTAAAAAATGAAGAATTCACAGCCTGCATTTGTAAATGCAACTATAAGTCCTTTCTGTGGCGTTAAATTGCATTGCATCTACTACTCTATCTATCTCATTATCACAGGTACTCTATTCAACGTAAAAACATTGTACAACTGTGAACACCAAGCTTTTTCGGTAAGAAGGCTAGATGTTGGCAAATTAGTATTTTTGCTCTTTTATTCCGATATTTCATTGTTAGTTAAATTCATTGGATATAGTGAAATATACCACGGAAATACCTCATGAAGGTGAGGAAATATGCCATGTCCAAAAAGCCGTACGCCATACCATTTTTATTAGTGGTCAGTGCCCTGACCGGCATCGGATCCGATGGGAAGGCGGGGAATTAAAATGAGCTCCTTAATAGTCAACTTATTCTTTAAGAGAAAATGGCAGCATACCATAACATTCTTGTTGTGTGCATTCAAGGCTTTGTTTTTCTATTCCATAGCCATTAGTATTTCCTCCACAAGACAGTTGATTGCCGCCGTGGTAACAGTATCGCTCCCTGGTCTTTTTGCAGTTTGTGTCGCATGGTGTGTAATCTGTCCAGGAGGACCAGCCAAACTGAGTTGCTAAATTAACAGAATTCGAACTTATTATAGTTGATGATATTGCCCTTGACCTCTAATAATAAGCCCCATACTGTTTAGAATCATATTAAATTACTTGGCTCGACTGTAGGGTCGTTAAAATATTCACATTGACATCACCGGAGATTTTTCACTTTATCTAAGGACTGCGGGATTTTTGGAGTGCCTTTGATAACGTGGAGTATCCATCATGATTTCGTTCATAAAGATTTTAAACTAGGAATTATAAGTAACGGCTTGAATATAAAAGTCCTTGTATGCTAGTCCTACGCTCTATAAACATTCTCTACTAAAGCTTAGTGTTATTTCCTCGTTTTATTCGAAAGTACTAAGGTGGTGGTCAACTAAGAGAAAGCTTTCGCTACTTTGACAACCACACTCATTTTATAACCCGTAATGTAATTATTTTATTTTTGTAATCATCTATTGTAATTATACTTTTACTTCTAAGTTTTTCTCTGTAAATAGTGTGAAATAACTGGACCATCATGACACATAGTATCCTAGTACTGAACACCAAGTTTTTTTGTGGTTCGGCACATGTCTTTGCATTGTCGTCATTCCCATACTGGAAAACTACAGTATTAAAAAACCTGACCTTATAAGGCTAACACAATTTATTTACTGGTAAACCAGTAACAGTAGTGTCCAATGCAATGTGGCCCAGAAAGTTGAAAATCTCAATTGGCCAGAGGCAAACCAGTTGGCTTGTTACAACCGTGAATGAGGAGATGAACTCGAGACTACCTAGAACAAATAAGTCCAGCTAGCTAGCGGCTAGGTTAATTGGGATTGGACTCAGTATCTTCCAGCGCTCCAACCGCTCCTGCATTGGAGCTTTATATTAATAAGGGTTAGGGTTGTTTCATTTAATTTTGTTGTTTTTTCCGATACATTCTAAACAATAGAGGCTAAAATTGCCCTGAACAGTGAACTTCAGTAACAAAAAGTATAACATTTCAGAAATTACGGCGTGAAAGAATCTCAACTCTTGAATTCGGCAAGGTCATGTGTTTATTCCTAACTTACTTGAAATACAATCGTAAAGGGCATTTATTTCAATGATGTCTTTTTGACTCAATCTTTGGTTCGAAGGACCAAACTCAATCGCCTTGTTATCAATCCTCTCAATGGTTGGCAAGCCATTTTTGGTAAAAGCTCTCCGATCATAGTGCATTATTGACTGATAGTCATAAAGCTTTCCCAAATCATCAAGTGTTATCCAGCTGTACTTGTGGAACTGATCAGCGAGCCCTGTTGAACAAAATTGAATCAGAATGGAAAAGAAATTGCATTATTCGCAAATAATCAGTACTAGTGTTGAAATTGTTCTTTACGATCGACAACTATCCTTGAAAAGCCGGGAATGAATCATCGCCGATCGTTAACCTTAAAACAAAACAAAAAAAATCGGAATTGACATACGGAAAATGCAAAAACCTACATTCACTTGACATACACATTAAAATATAACAAAGGATATAAACTACAAAATCTTTCGAGATGTAAATTTCCCTTACCTTCAAGAATGTTTTCCCAATTAATCATCACAAAATTGTTTCTATCTTCACGAGACTGTTCATGAAAAAATCCTTTTGAGGAAAGGAATGTAAATAATTAAGTTACTCGCTAACTTCATTTCTGTACATTCCCAAAAAACAAACATATCAACAAACTTCTTTAATCACTCATTAGATACTTATTTTGAAAGAAAAAAATGTTGTAAAATACAATTTAGTATACTTATCAATAATCACGGCAATATCATAGGAAACGGATAAGCCAGTAAGCACTTGTATATACGAGGTATATACGCATCGACAGTAATTCAACAAGAAAGAATGGAGAGATCATTGGAAAACAAACCACCGAAATTCATGTAAACGAGTTTAAGGGGACAAGTGAATTACAATTCATGTGAGTTATCGTTTAAACCTTATTTATTATACCGCAAGTATTGCAGTCAGACTTTGTTGTATTTAAAAGTGAGGAATTCACCTTCACCGTTTTCCAATTTAGCTTGACTGCAGATATTGGTGCACGATGACCCCCAATCACACAGATGTATAGTTACGTACATATTTAACTGAGAGCCCTTATTTTATATCCAATATGACCACTGGGGAGAAGCACGATCGGAAAAACGGAAATCATGGACATCGTGTTAGTGCGAGGTGCCATCCCCACCACTCCCCACCCGTTCCTCAAACCCAAGGGGTGGTTACAGCCAGAGAGTAGTTTATTAAAGTACATCCCATAAAGGGTCAGGTCAAAGAAGTCATGTTAAGGGGACCCATAGATTGCTTCGTCCTTTTCCGGTAAGACTAGAATGGCTAGTATTACCATTGTTATGTCTCTAGCGAATAATAGAGTGTCCATAAATTATATAATTAATTGTTTGGAGTTAATGACGTCTGTGACTTACCAATGGCATGCATGAGCTCGTGTATAATGGTACCCACGTTATTGCAGCCATCTGCTAACGAGACCTTCTGGTAAGCTGACTGGGCATACCTGACCCCAACTCGGCTAGAACAGCTACGATAAAACAGAGCCATTCAACGGTAAGAAACAAAGCTACACTGATAACCGTTAATTAACGTTATGTTCGCTGAAACGGTCATCTAGTTTCGGTCATTTTCGCCCTTGCATTACCGAGCATGCAACTGAGTAATTGATTGAGTGAGTAAATAAGCAAGTAAGTAATTAAGTAAGTAAGTAAGGAAGTAAGTAAGTAAGTAGCTAGGTAAGAAAATATATTAGCTAAGGGAACCATTACCTACCCGTAGTCATCATCGAAGAGAATGTAGTTTGGTTGAGTGCCGTCATATGGAACAAATCTTAAACAGGTGTTTTCTTGAAAGTTTTGAATAGCTTGATTTAAGTTAGTTTTTATGTGCCCTGAAGAGTAAACAAAAGCAGTAAATACTTGTTGGGAAAAAAAAGTTTCGGTCTTATTAAAGAATTTCAAAGTCCCATTAATAGTTTTGTAATGCTTTGTACCTCTTCGCATACAAGTTCCTATCTAGCAAAGAAGGAAACAAAATTAAAAGTTAAGACATTTTAGCAGCAACTATTATACATCGCCGGGTTGTATAAGGCCAAGATTGAGGGTTATACAAAAAGGAGAAAAACAGACGCTGCCGGCTTCCATCTTTTCTCATTCATATCCAGTCTACTTCTAAAATTTAATAAATCTTTCAAACGTCATGCAAAGCTAAAGGATATCTTCGAAAAGTATGGTACCCAAGAAAAAATAAGCTGATTGCATTCAGTGGTTTAAATTCCTAAGTAAGTTGTTCAATTGTCTCATAAAAAACAACAGAAACAAATCTCTTGGACAAATAATATAACTTAACCCTCATCTGTCCCCTCCCATCAAACCCTTTTACCTCTTCAACTCGATCAAGGGCGTGTCTTACCCATTTTAGAGGGCACAAGGTAAGGGATAATTCTTGTTTTCCAAAGTAGTTTTTTTTCTCTGACAGCATTCCTCTTGTTTCTCGACATATTAGAACCGTGCAGAATTTCCTTTAGTTCCTGGTCTAGGATGATGTCTCCTTGATACAGACTCAAATGTTTATCTAAAGGGAAAACAAAAAGGGATGGTTAGACAGTTTTTAGCCGAATTAAAGCATTTGAATTATGCTTAAAAGAAAACAAACACCAAGCAAGTATATTCAGCTATATTTACCTCTTAAACTTTTTTCCGTTGAGGAATCACGCTACTTGGTATCCATTAGGTTCATGCATTACCCTTTTTAAATATGTTTTAGAACTACATGTAATTTCTCATTAATTGATGGCACGTTATTTTTTTTAGGCCCAGTTGAAATGTAGAACTTTTTATGTACCGTACTGAACTTAGTTAGTCGGACTCGATTCCTTTTCACGATGTAAAATGGTCTAAATATTGAGAATACTAAAGATAAGGAAATGGATCCAGACAGAGGTCCACTTGATGTCAATGAAATACCATTCAATGAAGAGACAGAATTAAGCAGCACAATCCTTAATCCAGTAACCTTAAAGCCTCAAAAGCAACTTATTACAGATCAGTTATTGCAAAAGCATAAATTAAATTGGCCACACAGAGACGCAAGCCCTCTGAATGAATTTAAGATCGAATTTCTAGCAACAATGGCATTTCCCACCCTATTTCCTGATGCTAAAGGAGACCCTACAAACACTGCTATAAAGCGGGGTGCAACTTTAGGAGAGAAAATAAAGCATCTAATTAAATTTGCTGAATATTCTAATGATGAGTGGACTTATAGGTTTGCAAGCCATCCACGATTTGCATATTGGGCTTTTAATATGATTCAGAGGCATAGACTTCTTAGTCAAGGGAGTATTTTTTTGAAACAAAACCCTAGCGATGCAAAACTAACTGTGGAACAACTTAAACAGATGCTTCAGTCAAATAATCATTCAACTTTAATGTCTAAACTTATGCATTATGCTAAAAATATAACTGGTAGCAATAGCTATTGGCACAAAGCAAAAGAGGATTTAAGGGCTACCGTTGCTCAAGTAGGACCTCCTACAATTTTTTTTACCTTGTCTTGTGCAGAGTACCATTGGCCAGAATTTCATAATCTTCTAAGTAATGACCACTGTGGAGATATCACACCAAAATTGAGACAGAAACATGTTATTGACAATCCACATCTCATTGACTGGTTTTTCACTGAGCGAACTGATCGGTTTGTGAAGTTTTGGCTGAATAAATCATTACAGGCATCTTGGTATTGGTACCGATATGAATATGCTGTTCAGAGGGGATCGATTCATTGTCACGGAGTTGCAAAATTGCAGAATGATCCAGGGCTTTGTGAACTTACAGCAGTTGCACTGCAGGGTTTTTGGCATCAAAATATATCAAAGAACACCAAGCAAATATATCAATTGAAGAACTACAAGAACTGAAAAATAAGGAGAAAGGGGGGAAAATGCTGAGGCAACTGTTTGCCAATATGTCAATTTTTATTAACGACATGGAATCCTTGTTCTCCAGATGAAGGTTGGTCCAAGCCAAATTCTCATCCATGTCAAACACCATATCTTTCCTTAAAAGAAGAGAAAATGGAAGATGACTATGTGAATCTATTGAATTCTGTTCAAAGGCATACGTTGTGTAGTACTAAGTATTGCCTTAGGGAAAAAGACGGTTGCGAATTATGCTGCAGGTTTAATTTTCCATTTGATAACTGTAAAAAAAACAAGGATAGATTTTGAACCTGTCCATACAAAATCAGGTCAACCAAAGTATAAAGCAGTTATTGTTACTAAACGAAATGACTCAAGATTAAATCGTCATCAACCATTGCAGCTTCAAGGATGGAGGGCAAATTGTGATATCAAATTATTGTGGATTACCAGGCATGTTTAGAATATCTTGTTAAGTACACATCCAAAGGGGAAAAAGCATCTTCCGTTGTTAATAATGCATTCACCACTATTGTTCAGAAGCTTTCAGACACAAGTGACATTCATAACACATTTAAGCAGATAATGATCAAATCTGTAGGACAAAGGGACTATTCAATTCAAGAGGTCATGCATCATTTACTCTCTCTTAAGTGTGTAAGTGCTACTTATGAAGTAATAAATGCATCTCTAGATGGCTCAAGAAGAATTCAAATTGTAAGAGATAAGGAATATTGTACTGCCCCATCCATGCTCGATATATATGCTGAGCGAAGGAAATACATGAAAACATTTCCAAGTATACTAGAATGCAACTTTGTACAGTTTACATCTACATATATTAATAAAGGTTCAAAACTAGAGAAAAGAAAACGACCAGTAATTGTTAAAACATATCCAAACTATTCATCAAATCCTCAAAATCAGCATTATGGGCTTTTTGTAAATATCAACTACTTAAGTATAAACCTTGGGAGCATACACCAGATGATGCCTGGAGTAATGCTGAACACTGTAATGAAACATTCAAAACATGTTGGATGAATTTTCTCTGTAGTAACAATGGAAAGGCTGTAGTTCCTGACTGGGAAATCAAGTTACAAGCCTTAAAGGAATCTATTAAGCTAGAAACTGACAATTTTACAACAGAAAATGATGAAGAAGAGGAAAAGGAAGAATGGATGTTAATGTCTGAGTTGAATATTCAAAACATTACTAATGATGCACAAAGTTCTGTCTTAGCTCCTGAGGGATATTGGCACAATGTTACTGAACACTTTGATGAAGAGCAACTAAATTCTGTAGTATCTTGGTTAGCGAATCAAAAATCTATGAATAATCCTCAGTGGCAAATGCCAACAAGGATAGTAGATATTTCAAGCTTTAGTACAAACCAAAGATTGGCATACAACGTAGTTTGTGATCACTTTAACAGAAGTGACAAAGAACCTATACTTCTCTAATTAAAGGTATTGCAGGGTCAGGGAAAAGCTATCTCATTGACGCCATTAGAAATGTACTCCAAACACAATGCAAGGTGCTAGCGTACACTGGAAAAGCATCTTTTAATGTGAATGGTGTAACTTTGCATTCATTTCTCAAATTGCCAATTGGCTCAAAAAGACTCACTGAACTAAAAGGAATAGCACTACAACAGCTTCAAAGTAATGTAGAAAATCTTCGGTATTTGATAATAGATGAATACTCTTTGGTTGGTCAGAGTTTGCTTGGCTGGATAGATTCTAGATGCCGACAAGCTACAGGCCTGGCAAATCAGAGTTTTGGTGGTCTTTCGGTTATTGTTGTGGGTGATATAGCACAGTTACCCCCTGTTGGTGATAAACCACTTTACCATTCAATGCCCAAAACAGATAAGCAGATTCAGGGTCATCTCATGTATCAACAGTTTAACAAAGTAGTTGCATTGACAGTTAACCACAGAGTTGATGGTAACAGTAGTGAGCAGCACCTTTTTAGGGATCTTCTTCTCAGAGCACGTAATGGTGAATCCACACCAGCTGATTGGCATACATTACTGTCAAGAACTCCAGACCGTGTATCAAATATCCAGGAATTTGAAATGTCATCAATAAGACTATCCTATCTCAAGTCTAGTGTTGCAGAGATAAACATAGCCAAGTTAAAAGCTCTTAATCAACCAATAGCAACTATAAAAGCTCGTCACTCTGGTGGTGCTCAGAACCTTAGCTCAGATGAAATGGGAGGCCTAGAGCCTGTGATTTACTTAGCAAAAGGAGCGAGAGTAATGCTCACTATGAACATCTGGACTGAAGTTGGACTTTGTAATGGAGCCCTAGGGACAGTATTAGATTTTGTTTATCCACATGACCAGACTCCCCGACGCTACCAATTTGTGTTCTTGTACAGTTTGACGACGATTATAATGGCCCTACTCTTTCTGCTAGATTTCCAAGATGTGTTCCAATTTGTCCAATAACACAGGTTTCTCAAAACCTAGGTCAAAATGTGAAAGACAGCAATTACCCCTAAAGTTAGCATGGGCAATCACTATACACAAGAGTCAAGGTTTAACGCTAAAGAAAGCCTGGGTTGATCTTGGTCCTTCAGAAAAATCTTCAGGAATGACATATGTTGCACTAAGTAGAGTTAAGAAACTTGAAGACCTAATGGTAGAACCCATGACCCTGGATAGACTGCAAGCACCCAAAAAATGTGCAATTTAAATTACAGACTTAAAGAAGAAGAGCGGCTAGATGGTTTAGCCCAAGATACTTTGGACAGTTTATTGTAGAATCCTATTGCCCTAAATATATTAAACATCCAAACCAGATAAAACCACTTTTAACAATTAGAGTTTGATTAACCAGATGTGAGCCTTGATTCAAGATAATGTAAAGGATACAGATTTTAACTTGAAATAATGGCATAAATTGAGTGGAAAACTGCTACAATGTACATAACCTTTATTTAGAATTTTTATTTTTGTTACAGATTCTTTGTGGAAAGAATGTCAAAGCGTGAGCCAGACCTTAACTCGGGTAAGTATTATGATTATGGGGGGAAGAACAGTAGATCAGAATGCAAGGAAAATGGTGAATAGGTACTAAACACAGAGACTACAGTGATTTGTTGCCTATTTAACATGAATCTTTTGATTTTTTTCCTTAGAATCACTCTGTGGCTTTATACATAATTTAAGCCCTGTAAAACGCTCAAAGAGAACGGATTGGTTTGAGTTTCATCTGCAAACAAGTCCTTCCAAAGTACAGCGAGTAGTTGGATTTAATATCCCAAGCCACTCAACCTTCAGTGGACATAACAAATCAAAAACCCTGTGCTGCTGTCAAATACTAAGAAGAATGATTCGAACAAGGACATTATCTTCAACCAACAGTCAATTGTAAGGTCTGCACCAGCGTTCGACATTGACTTTGATTATTCTCCAGACATTGCTGCATCTGAGTCATCCTCCTCTTCAGTGCAACCTGCTACTACGATCACTCTGGAACAGGTACCAACTCTAAAGATAAACCAGAAGGTCAACGTCACAGCAACGATTTCATTGGGCAGTGAACAACCTAAGCCGGTTGAAGTGAAATCCACACAAAAGATGACGCTCGTCAAAGAGGATTGTGTCTTAGAAGATGAGACAGGTACAGCTGAAATTCACATTTGGGATGAGCTCATCAACAACGTGAAAAATGGGACAACATATGAATTCCAAAACCTGAACGTCAAGCACTTCAAAGGAAGCACCCACTTAGCAACGACACCAGCAACTACCTTCAAGGAAGCCAGCAAACAACTTAAGTCTGTGCAAGGGCCTACACTACTGGAAAACCCAGAAAAAGAAGTTAAAGTCGACATGTTCAAGTTTCTTAACAACCTAAGCATATTCGTTGCTTGTCAAGCTTGTAAGAGGAAGATAACAGAGAGTGCCCATCAGAAGTACATAAAATGCAGGAACTGCGGAGTAAGGCAGCGTCAAGGCGAATGCAAGAGAGATGCATCTGTGCAAGTCAAAGTAGAAATAGCTGGAAAGGAAATATGGCTGACAGCGTTCACAAAAGAAATTGAAAGTCTTCTGGCTCTGTCTCCAGAGCTTTCCCTTATGAGTGACTCAGAATCTATTGAAGACCACCTTATGGACCTCAAGGATATCCACTTCACCTATAATGTGAACAAAAACACCATAACCCAGGTGACATCTCTTTCAAATGGACTGGCGCAATGACACTATGGAACGATTGATTAATGGGCTATCTTGGCATGAAACTACTTACTATGTAAACTACGTTCAAAGTTGCCTTCTAAAATCATGTTAAAACACGAACATGAAACATTTTAAAAAACAAAGAAATCATGTGAGATATGCATTTTTTTATCTCTGTTACAAGTTCAGTTCTTAAAGACATTTCAAAAAAAACAAGGATTTGCATTTGGAATCTACTTTACAAGTTTCGTTTTTAAAAACATTCTAAAAGACGAAGAAAAGCATCTCAGATTTGCATTTGTAATTTACGTTACAAGTTTTGGTATTAAAGACATTTGACACATTTCAATTCATGCTCATTTGTCTCAGGTAATGCAAGGGCTACATATATTTCAGCTCTAATCTGCCTTACAAGTTTAGTTCTTACGGACATTCTAAACAACAAAGAATAGCATGTGCGTTTTGCAATGCTTTTTTAAACAATCATTCAATTTGAAAAAAATGTTCTGTAGTCTGGTTACTTCTTCATTTTCATTCGGCAAGCAACTGTCGCCGTTTTTACTCGTTGGCACTCTAGCGCCAGCTATTTCTAGTTAATATAATAATTTATGCATTAGGTTCGCGACATGAAAGTTCGACGTGTGAAACGAAGTCGCTCCACAGTCCAGATTCCCATATGGATCACTCGAACTCTTTATTCATAAGTCGACACAAATTAGATATGTCGCACTTAATTTTGATTCAAACGTTGATCTTTTCATGTACTTAATTGAAGCGATTATGTTCGGAACATGAAAAAGTTGGATGTTTGAACTGGGACTAAGAACGACACTAAATGAAATTACTTTAGGCTTGCATGTACACGTATTTTTAGAGGCTTTCATGGTATGGCTCAGTAAAATCGTATCTACTGACAATTCCGCAACTAACTGCTTTTACATTCTTGCCGGAAAGCAAGTACAAAAACAATTCCCATTCTTGCAAGGAAAAGGGGGCAACCTGTCCATGTGGTAGAGCGTCAGAATCAACTTCGGAAGGCCCTGAGAAAAGAGATCAAGAGCCGCTCCGGCAACCATTCCACTTGCTGTAGATTTCTTCTGCGTAGTCCTGAGTGTAGTCCCAGGCAAAGCTTTAATATAGTCAAGTCTATCAGTGCCTCTAGGAATTTTGGATCTCATAACCCAATAAAATAACTATTTTGTGTTTTAGAAACCCGTTTTTCATACATTAGAATTAAACTTTCTTACTTTCGTTGTTTTGTTCAATTTTTCCAAACACATTCCCTTGCCTCTCATCCGCTATGCTTCTTTTGATGTGCTCCATGTTCACCGCAAGAATCCGTCCCATCGCCGTTTCATATTCTGGAAAAGGGGTCACGACAGGTATTAGGCACGTTTTAGAGCTCAGTATTACGAGATTTTATTTATAAAAGAGGTAATTGTATTCCCGAGCTATTTTTAAAGTAAAAGATTGAAAAATAGAAGAACTGCACAATTATGAGCCAGTCCCAGACACATGTGGGTAAACCTTGTTGCTTTAAGCATGGGTAGAGATAAAGTCGTGTAAAGCGACAGCGCGATCGTTTGAGGCGTGCTTTTACAGATATACCGGCTTTCATTTCAAGTCTAACGGCTATACACACTTTGCCTCGTCTCACGTCGAATTGACTACGCACATTGTAATAATTCGAATATTTACAAGTACATGACAAGAATATGTGATTTTTCTGTTGTTGTTCTAAAATCCTCGCTTATCTATGCACGTTGTCATTCACCTACTTTTATTTAGGGGTCATACTAGTTAAACAGAAATGCTTCCTTAGTAGGAAAAGGAAAGATAGAAAATTCAAGCAAAAATAAAGGAATGAAAATACCATTTTCCCTTTCCAAGACATACGATTGCACGCCATTAGCAGCGAGTAGTAGGCAACCAAAGACTCCTAGAATTTGCAATTTCGTCATAGTAGCCGTCAGTAACTTCTTCCCTTGAGGTGCCTGGAAGAAATGCTTTTTATCCCTCTCACACAATCAAGACAATGATCAAACTGGTAATTAAGTGTAATCTAAGATCATATAGGTCAAAAAGACTTTGAGAGGGCGGTCTGTATTTTTGACCTTTTTTTTCCTTTTTAATGTAAATAAATGCAATCTCTTCATAAATATTGCCCTATTAGTAAAATTCTTTGCTATTTGTATATTAGTGAAAATTTCGCAATCTGACTGGTTATTACTAGCCATAGATAGCAAGCATGGCGAAAAATCTTGTCGGATTTGTCTTGTAAAATTTCGCAAACATAAAAGAAAAGGAAGAAGAAAAGAAAAAGCAAAATGAATCTCGATTCTTACAGACTTTAAGTATTATGTTTATGGTCCCGTCCCATAACTGTTATTACAATACAGAGAATAATATTTTTCACTGTGAACTTATCAGAACCAAAACACATGTTCTTTGTAAATATTTCTCGAACGTTTTTTTTTTTTCAATTTTCATAAACAGGAAACGTAGCTGTGTACATAAGTCTATTATTTTATCGCTTTTGATTCGATACTTGAAAACCGTTATTCGAACGTATGCACACTAATTATCACAACTTACAAAAAATGGCTTTAACTTGAATTTTAAACCAGAATACTATATACAAACGACGGAGGTCTCTTAATAACCCTTGCCTTATTAACGTTAACAGATATAAATTATATTATTTTTTAACAAAATAGCATTCAGTGTCAGCCCCATAGTTTTCTAGGCGTTCAGGTCGTGGGAAAGGCATGAAGAGATGTGAGCGGGAAAAATAGCGAGGGGTCAGCCGCTCTCTGAGTTGGCGCTATACTTCACGATCTTATAATTAACGCCTGGGATGTTTATCTGTATGAATTTAATGAATGCCAAGAGGGCAAAGTGTGGTATAAGAACAATGTGATTTCAAGGGTAACATGATGGTAGCTTTTTAGAAGCAAAAACAAAACAAAGCAAAAAAGACATGTATAGACGGGGGTGGGAGCGAGGAAGCTAAGAACATATTAACGTTTTGCAATTAACCCAAGATGTCTCAATTTGCTCAGTTATTTCCATTTAAAATGTGATCTGATTGTTTTCTTTCAACTCCCTCTATATGTTGATAGATATAATTCCATACAATGATTAGAGCGCAAAGCCGACGCGTGACAGGGCAACTACCGTATTAATTCGATTAACCGCCCTGGGCGCTTATTAAATTTTTGGACCTTGAGAGTGGGCACTTATTCGAGGTGGGCGCTTATTCGAGGCTGGGCGCTTATTAAATTTTCACCATTTTAAGCAAGTGAAGTATGTTTATTTTGCAACAAAACAATAAATGCTTATAACAAAACGCGAAGAAGTAACAAAGCAATTCTGTAACATACTCTGAAGAAAACTCCGTTCTCGGGGAGTCTCTTATTAGAATTTATTTACTCAAGTGGGTGGGGTCGGGGTGAGCGCTTATTTGAGTTTGATTTGGAGGAGGAGGGGGTGGGCGCTTATTCGAGGCTGGGCGCTTATTAACTTTTTCGGCCTTTAGGATGGGCGCTTATTCGAGGTGGGCGCCAATTCGAGGTCGGGCGCTTATTCGAATAAAAAACTATGTGGATAACCTGTGTCCATTTTTCTTTTCAATTCTTTTTTGCTGGTCCTGCTTTAATAAACATTTCCTGTGAATACCGTATCTTAAAATAGCCCCCAAATCCTATGTTTGAATGTATCTTCCGTTTATCTCAAGTACCGTTCTTAGGGCCTGTTTACATGAAGGTGGGGGACCCCAGGTAGGTGAGGTAACCCGCTTAGGTGGGGTAACCCGCCTGTCCATACAATCTCTCATTTTAATTTGATCACGTTGACGTGATAGGTAGGGTGACCGCCACATGTTACCTCACCTATCTGGGGGTCTCCCACCTCCATGTAAACAGGCCGGCCTTATTTTCCTTTAGAATCGTCCAGAATCCCTCATTCATAAAGGATCCCGGAAAAATTTTCTGAGGACCCTTTAATGACTTCGAAAATTCCAGTCCCTTGACTTAATGCAACCTTCCACGGTTAAAATAGAGTTAAAACAATTAATTTACGAACAAACATTTATTTTGCTCTTGTATAGTTAAAGAGGAAATTGACTTACGTCACTCATATTTTACTGTACATGTGTCCAGAAACATGCATCTCGTAATACATAGATACAAAGAGAACATCTCTCACTCGTTCGCTTCGCTCACTCGAGATACTTTCAGCACGAGAAGATAAAATTCGTATCCCCGCGCGGCCATGTAATGTTCTGTTTACGTTATAGATACTGATGAAATTGCTACATAAAACGCAACTTTTTTTAAAACTCATTTTCGAAACAGCAAAATAGTGCAATTAAAGTGGTCACCTATCGCAAAATGCCTGTCACAAAAATGTTGTCGGATGTAAAGTTATAAAGGAGAAATAAAGACAATAATTGGCTAATCATGTTTAGTTAGTAACCATGGTGACACCAATATGCTCACACGTGAAAGATAAAAACAGTATCTTCACTGCGCGCAATGAAGATATGAGTTTTTCGTAAAAGGAAAACTCCTGGTATTTCATCAGTATCTATATAATGAAATGTATTTTTTATCAAGGTTTCAAGTCTAACGATAGTAGACGATCAATAACATTAGCCCTCACGAGACATGAGTAAACTCTATAACACTGATGTAAACATTGTTCAAATAAAAGAAATTGTCACGTGCTTTTAGTGTCTTGCGTGTATTAATAAGCCCCTCGGTAAAATTATTGTACAGTAATTTTGAATAATCCATTGCATTTTTTTTAATTTTTAGGTTTATTTTACACTGCCCAGAACTTAGGTAGTGCGATAAACTAATAATAATAAAAAACGGTTAAACGGCTTATGGTTAGACTAAGCTTGCATATCTCGCGCCTGCGCATGCGTGAGAGTGCTAGCTACCTAGCTAGTTGAAATACTTGTAAAAAGCTGAATTAGTCTGAACTAGTGAGGTTGTTAGTGAAACTTTTGTATAATAACCTTAAAAAAAGACAACCTGACAAAGAAAAAAAGTAATTATCTTGAATAAAATACTTATTAAGTTGACTTCAAAAGCAGCTGGTCAGGTTTGTCTTCGCAAAATATAGCCTGCGAGCAGGCTCACCTGTGTCCATGTTCGGGCAATGAGCCTGTTCTTAGGCAACGCAAAAGAGTGCTAAGAGGCTTGCGGCTCGTGTTTACCATATTTTGAAGTCTTCTGTGATCTGTTACTGAACAGACTCACGGCAGCATTGGAATCTATTTGTTAAATAGACCACGGAAATGGAAGCAAAATGTTTGAAACCCAGGTTGAACGAGAAACTGCAGCCTGCGTGCTTTCACTCCGAACTTTTTTTTTGCATGAGTCAATGAGCATTTTTTTGACTTTCACGAACATCATTGAAAAAAGGCCGGAATATTCGCAAAAAAGACGTTCAACTTTAGATTGGGGCAGGGGGAGGGAGTTGGATAACTCATTTCCATGGTCTACATTGTATACACACTCACAACTGATGAGATTACGACTCCGGTTACCAAAAAAATCATCTTGAGCCGCATTTGTCACCACCACATGCATCATTTAAGAAACGAAGTACTTTGAGTACTTTGATGCTTATTGTAATTTAACAGGCCTACGTAGTTGCTTCATAGAATACTTCGATTTCACTTGGTATAAAGTAGGTCTGTGGAAGGAATGAATTCTGGGGGCAAGGGTAGGAGTATCCACATCTAATGGTAGAATTATATCTCCCGTTATACAGCCTTAAATCATGTCCACTACCAAACACCGCAATATACGGGTAACAGTCATAGACGGCGTAGTTATTTGTTACTGCCAGTTTCTCCGGAAAGGAACCGTTAGTGTTATACAGGGTAAACAGAAACGCTTTACTATCACTCCTGGAGCCACAAAAACCCCCACGCATACCTGTTAAAAATAATACATGAAAGCACTTTTATTAGTACGTATTTAAGGAACCTTGCAGACTTAACCTGGGAAAATGGATAGTTTATTCAGACAAGTAGCTGCTGCCCAAAGCATATTAATGCAGTAGATAACTACTGTGGCTCCTTTCAGTATAACTTTTAAATAGCATTTTTGAGCAATTCTCTGTGTACCTCTAGATATGATATTTGTCTTGTTACAGGATTATTTCGAACTCAGAGTATGCCTTAGGTTGCTACATGGACAGGCAACTTTTAACACTCCCCTTAAAATGATAACAGAGCTTTCTTTTCTTCCTTCCACATCGGATCGCTTTCACTCATGCAGCGCAACTAAAGACGCTTTAATTCCAACACGGTGCAATGTATAAGTGACTTTCCAAACTGGTAAACCCATCGGGCAACGACTCTGAAATTTTTCACCTTTTTGATTGGCTTTGCTCAAGTGACGAACATCAACAGATTCATGCACCTGCGCACTTCGTCAAAAAACAAACAAACAAATGAAAAAGAAAATGAAACCAGTGAAGAAAAAAAATGCCATGATTTTGCCAAAAATATCATTAAAACTATTTCAATTTTTTTTTTTCTGGTGTCAAACCCGTTTTTTTTCATCCTAGTTGTCCTAAATGACTATAAAACTATACTATTATTTACCTTTCCACGAAATGCTAGTGTAACCACCAAAGATGTAGTCCCCATACCGGACAATACAAACGGTTGGACCCTTCTTGTTGCAAGTGTAATGAAAGGTTTCAGCGTCCCAACCATGAACTGTTGCCTGGTAACACTTTTTCCATCCTACTGAACCAGACGTGAGGACTGGGGCTAGGTAGGATATCAACTTGTCGATGTATGTCTGTCTCATGTCAGCATCCCAGCTCAGAATATTCGAATCAACAATGTCCTCTGCGCAATATAACAAAAGTCCGAATCAAAATATATATACATTTTTTTTTTACCTTAAGCGCAAGCTTTCGATTTCTTCCTGGAAACTTCATCAAGTAATGGATTTTGACATAAGTAATATAGAAGGCACCGAATTATTCGGTTTTTTGTGGATTTAATTACTGCTTTTTATATTGAATGGGAAGCACGTGCATATTGTCGGCTCTACATCGACCCCACAGTAATTATGTCTCAACCTTCATTTCAACACGGTTTAGTGTATAGTGAAGCCATATACCACCACCACCACCACATTTCTTTTGTTTTTCCCCCTCCTCATTTTTATTGTTTTTACCCCTCGTCCACCTCATTTTTCACTTTTTGTCCTCCACTACCACCACCACAGCAATTTTCATTGTTTTTTTCCTCCACCACCACCACAATAGTAATAATAATAATACACTTTATTTAAAGAGGGTAGCACGGAATAGTTACAGAAACTAGTAAACTTTAAATTTTAATTGTTTTTCCTTCACAACCATCACTTCACCTTAGATTAATGAGATTCGACCGCATCTTGTTCATGAGGTAAAGACAGTCACAAGACCATGACGTCATCTTCGTAAATATTATTGTATTCACACAAAAGTTGATTCAACCCAAAAAACCCAGATCACTCGGTCCCATATACTACTGACATTTATTCAATGCGATTTTAGCAAAAATTGCACGTGACATATTTCCCCCTTCGATCAGCCTCTTTGATCGATCACCAAGTAACCTGAGATGGTTTCGCTCTGTGAATAACATTCCGGCGGGCGACGCAAAACGAAATGAGAGTCTGATACAAACCTTCTTTGAAACGTCTGCCGCCGTCTTTTTTAATTGATTGACATTTGCCGAATCAGCTAACCAAAATTAACTTCCTTTTCATGCTTTTTTTAGTGTGCAAAGTTTTCGTACGTGAGAAAAATGCAGATTCGCTGACGGAAAAAATTAGCTTTTGCCTTAAACTTTTTTCAACTGAAAATAAAACAGTCAGCGCAGTCACAGTAAACTTCTAGCGAGATTAAAGGAGATCTTGAAGGTTATTTCTGTTGGCGTAGAAGGTAAAAAGTTTTCAAAAAGAAGGCGAGACGATGTTCTCATTTTAATATGTTGACTTACATGGCGCGCTCGATTTTTAAACAGTACTAAAATTTCTATTCTGTTACGTTAAGACTAGCAGCACTAGCATATAATAATGCCTACAAAAAATCCTTGAACAGCGATGAGATATGCGTCTAATTCTTCAGCTGGCGATTGAGGTTTCTTTCGGAAGTGAGCCTCAGCTTGCAGCCCCGTTTAGAGAAATCATACCCGGCTAAAGTTTCTACAAATGAAACCAGTTTCAATTATGGATAGTATTCCGACTTGCACTCGGAGGTTAACAACCCGCAGAGGTATTCGACCCCGCGATCCGTACTGCTGAATTAAGCAAATCCTGAGAAGATATGCAAAACCATCTGAATTTTCTGAATATCCATGGCACATATTAAAGCATATTTTCCTGCCACAAGACCGAAAACAATAAAAAAGACAGCAAAATCCTTATCTCTCCGCTGACAGCGGATCATTCGCGAAGATTTTTGAGTGCTACAGCCACGCAAGGAATAAGCGCTTTCAACTTCCGGTGATTCCAACAGCCAATTAGATCCTATGATATATAACAGCTAATTAGCGTTTCGGCCAAAATCTACCCGCAGCAAGCACATGCGTGAGAGACTTTGTATCACGCCCAATTTTAGCGCGACTACGCAAGAGAGAATGTAATTATTATGAGAACTGCTAAAATTGGGCCTGATCTCAGATCAGGTTATTGCCAAGAGATCATGTCTTAACGTATTCATTTAGGGGGGCCTGGCAATGGATTTTGTTGGCCTTTCTAATTCGTGTGTCGAAATTGCAAGCTTGCAATGTTAAACTTTGCATTTTTCTCGAGGTAGATGAGCTTCTTAAACTAGATATGTGAAATTTATTTCACACGAGCAAAAGGACTCAGACTGACATATTAAGCTATTATAATCAATTTTACTTCTGATCCCCTATAAATTTAAACTGTCCTATCTGTAACACACAAAAAAATCCACTTATGGTCAGGCCATACTAAATAATGATAATGATAATAATAATAATAATAATAATAATAACAATAATAATAATAATAACAAGGTAGTATTGCATTTGAATAAGGGATAAATCAGAAACATTTTCATAGACGTACCTGGTGGAGCTTCTTCATTGAACACTTCAATTTCGTCTGGTTTGAAGGAAGTTGGGGAGATAAGTGGGTAGCTTGCACAAGCATAAGCGTAACAGCCACTACTTGAGGTCCTACTAGTTGGTTCCAACCTTAAATCCGATCCAAATCTAGGAGGGTATGAATAGCAGTCATAGATAGCATATTGGCTGTTCGTTAATGCCAGTTTCTCCGGGTAGTAGCCATTAGTGTTATGCAGTGTGAAAAGGAAGGATTTAGTATCTTTTCTGTATCCACATGAAACGTAGATTTTACCTGTAATTGAAAGAAAAAAAAAATTACAAAATAAACACCATATAATAGTTAAAATCACATTTACAAGGGGGGGAGGGGGGAGGAGGTCCTCGACGTGCAGCAAAAGAAACCCTAATATTTGAGATCAAAACTCAAGTGGAACCACGAGCCGCAGGTGCGTGGTTTCACTGCAAAGCTTTAAACATTTTGATAACAGTAAAGACCATGGAGAACTCTTTCAGATTTGTCCCTTTCCATTACAGTTGTTCTCGGGAAATAGCGTGCTACAAGGAAAAAACACAAATTGCTCCACCATAACGTCATTTCAACGGATGGTCTACTTATCAAAATAATAGAAAAGAAGAAGCAAAGACGAAAATTAACCACTTTGGGACTTTTAAAATGTACTTTAACTAGCACAAATCCTCGAAAAGTAAAGCGGTACGAGACAAGTTTGTGTATGCCTTTTTTTTTCTTCACTTTTCTTTGTAGATTCCATGTTGTAGTGGGTCTGTTCAGTAACAGATAACTCTATGACGTCAAAATGTGGTTTTCTTCTTTATCTTACTTGTATACAGTTTCTATGGAAAGCTTTCCAACGCCTTCACTTGCTCAAAGTAGAATGATCGCGAAAACATTTTGCAAAACTGTGAATCTGATCTCTCTTAACGACGACACGCGATGGCAACTGTTGTGAGGATTTCTTGTAGTTTAGGCATCCTCCAGTTGTCAAGAGCTCTTTTTGTCTCCATTCCTTCATTTTTCTTCTTTGGAAATAGCTCCTGCTAAACTTTAACGAAGCTTTCACTTGCTCAATCCGAAATAATCTCACAAATATTTTTAAAACCGCGCGCCAGGTTAAACAAAACTTCTTTGACGCCATCCATGTATAATGCACTGTAATAGATCATGAGCAACGACCAATCACAGCGCGCGTAGTTCGCATCATTGTATAAAATCTTATCGCGCATCAAAAGCCCTTGGCCGATCTGATCGTGAGAAATCGCTCGGTTATGTTAGACACTAAGTCACTACCTCTGGAGTCAAGTCTGTTACGAGAATGGGCTCTCATAACCGACTGTATACAACAAAAGTATGGAGGGCAAGTCGCTTACGAGAGCTTTCGAGATTTTTTTTCCTACTTATTATATTTGAAGCATTAAGGAACCATTATTTGGTAAATGAGTTACAAATGACTCTTATTAGTCAGTAATTCAGTAAAAGGAATCGATGCCAACTATGCCGTATCGCAATTTGGTTTAGTGACAACTAATGGAACATATTTTGCTCTCATAGCGTTATAACTTTGGAAATTTGTTTCGGACAACAGGTAACTAGACGCTTCAACTGGGTACTTCAAAGCTGCACAAGGAATGAAGGAATTTAAAGAACTATTCTCAACAACCGTTGTTATCGTAGTTGCTTTATTTGTTTATCATTTCCAAACAACGCGTTTTAAAAAGCGAATTTCATTCTATAGCAATACCGCTGAAAAAAAAAGGCGAGATTTTGAAGATGTTCAAGTCTAAAAAGTATCGCACTTCTCGCTCAAATTTATATCTTAACCTTGATAAAACCTTGCAGGTCTTGTTTTAAACTTTAAAAAACTCAGGAAGAAATTAGAAGGTATTCAAACTGCTTGGGCCGATTATTTAAACGAAGTCTAAGTTAACTTCAATCCAAAAAGAACATGAGTTACAAAGTCGTTAAGCAAGAAAGTCTAGTGGAGGAAAAGCTTTGAGCAGTTTAATGTTACCTTTCTATTGTTTCTTAGTCGGTGCTAAGACACGGTCTAAACAAGGTTACGAAAGAACAGCGTTTAAATAATTACCCTGCGAGCAGTGGTTTCTCCAGGCCGGACACTACGCTTCGAACCACCGCGAGCAACCGTTTGCTTTTCCATCGAGCATGCGCGCCCACGTGATGACTACGAATATCCAACAAGAAGACGGCAACGAGAACTTCAACGAAACAATAGGTTTAATAAGCAAAAAAACAACTTTGCACGTGCATCACGCTTTTATTTTTGCATTTCTTTGCCATTTTTGCCCGACTACGACGTGAAGATGCCTAATTTTGCGTTTTATGGATAACGTAAACAAGCAACGACGAAGTTTATTCTCCTTTTCGCTCTTGAACTTGGATATGGTCCCTTGGAATTCAACTCCATTTGGAATCGCCTACATTTGACAAAGTAAGTAGATAGGAATAAATAATCCAAAGAAATACTGTATATTTACTGCAGGCTCGCGTTAAGGCAGCAATTGTAAGCGTAAGCAAATGCGCGAGAGCCTAAACTTGCTTCCTAACAGGATTTACATGTTTAAAGTTAATTTATTCGTTCATAGCGCTTGACGGCGGCTCGATCAAAGAAGCAGACGGATGCTCGCAGCGGTTTCTCTCCCTTCGTAGCGTATAGCGTCCGGCCTGGAGAAACCTCTACTTGCACGGCATTAAATAATCGGAATTCATAGTTTAAACATAGGTTGGAAGGTGACATTCATAAACACTGTCTAAACTTGGTTTAAATAACCGGCCCTTTTTTGTTTCTGCAATAGTTTTTTTCAGTTTTACTTTGTTCTTGATGTTGTTGTTGTTCTTTTTTCATGCTTCGCAACTCAACGTCGTTAAATTAAGTTTAACTCAGACATCATCAATTATTCTCTCCTGTCAGCTTACCTTGCCACGAAACGCTAGCATAGGCACCAAAGATGTATTTCCCAAAGCGGACAATAGTTACCGTGGGGCCCTTGTAGTTGCACCTAAGATGGAAATTTTTGGTATCCCAGCCATGAACTGTTGCCTGGTAACATTTCCGCCACCCAGTAGATCCAGACTGTAAGACAGGAGCAAGGTATGATGCCAATTTGTCGATGTATGTTTGCCTCATAGTGGAGTTTGAACTGAGGATGGCCGAGTCCTCAATAGTCTCAGAGTCTAAGAAAAATGGAAGGGAACCTCTTAAAACAACAACACTCATATAGATGAAAGATCTTACATTTAAGTGGCTCGACCTAGTATTTTTGTAGACACACTTTCCATGTTTGGATCTCTTATACTTTGAACAAATTGATCTTTATTGTAAAACCATTATAACACATGTATTACACACAGACTACATCTGATAACACTATGATACTATTTAAATATGGGGGATCCAGAATAGATATTACAATGACGTCGCATTTGTTTTAGCTTAAAATCGAATTTCAGCCCCTACCTATACATCGGGGGCTTTTCTTCTCTCCTTCGAAATCTCACACAAATCTAAAAAGCGACATTTTGAGATAAAAAAGACATCGCCTTCATACATTCTACAAGCCGCTGAACACAAAAAGACTTAAGCGATTTTAAAAAAAGTGCCAAAACGTGTAAATCAGGGTAAAACGCAATTGTAATTTCAAGGCAACTCTCACAAAAACGGCCATAAAACTAAAATTCCGTAGATAGATCTTCTTAAATTTTCAGTGGTGCAGTTGAGGAGGCATTGTATTATAAAATCCCCGAATTTCGTGACCAATGAAAACTTTGAAAGTTTTCTTACGTAGGTCCAATTTTTTTTAGTCCGGGATTTTCTATTTCTAGCACAACATTAAATTCTCATACAGCAGGCGATAATTTACTGCGCTTAGTCCCCACCCCCACACGAAATCTTTCCGAGATATGGGAACGTTGTCGAAACTGGATGGAATAATAATGAATAGTGGTAAGTTTCTCCATGTTGGAGGCAGAAAAAAAAAACATCTGTTGCAAGAAAATGCTCCAGAAAAAAAATTCATGATGAATGAAGGCGTTGAAAAAAATAATTCAGGCAACACTAAATTCACCCAAAAACCCTCCCCCTACCCCATCAGAAATGAAATAGTTGCCTGTATTTTTTATGTTTTTCGGTTTTCTGATAATTCGTATTGTGGGCCAGTTTCGAAGAAAGAAAATTATATTTTCTTTTAGAAGCACCAAGTCACCTTGATATTTTTTTATGAAAAAATATCACGATACTTCGTTTTGTATTCTAGTATACAACTATCCCCAGCGTCGAAGCAATATATATGAGGCGCTGTTCACCGACCCTGAGGGCGATAGTTGTTTTAGTATTCACCAGATCAGTTGGATAAAAATAAAAAAAGGAACTTTTTGTAAATTAAAAACGTCACTTATTAGGAACTTTGTTTACATATTACAGACATTTCGGGGATTCTGTCAAGTGCATTTTTACAATTTTGCTGCAAATTAAACATGAAAATAATTTTCTACCTACCATTAAACACCGACAAGCCAAAGTTCGTCGCTTTCTTGGTATTTGTTTGTACGACTGTTTCATTTATCGGTCAAATTTCGTCTTCCGAAAATGTCTCGAAACGAGGCGCCATCTTGGCTCCGGTCGCAAAACAGTGAATAGCCAACGATATACGGGAGCCAATCAAAACGCGCGAAAATTGCTATTCACAGATTTGAGCGAGCTGTTCATAGAAAGTTGACATCAAAATTAAATTAACTTGCTTATTCAAGCCAATCAAAGCTATTATGATTACGATGAATTCTATAATGATGGTTCATAATTTCCCTTATTTGTTATTTATTTAGCTATTCTCAAACCAAAAAGAAATCAATTTAATATACCTGTCAGAGTTGATTCATAGAATACTTCGACTTCATTTGCAGAGAAGGAGGTTTTCGAAGCGAATGGATGCTGTGGGCAGGCGTACGAGTGGCAATTAACAGATATAGATGATCTGATAACACGTAAATCGTGTCCACCACCAAATGTCGGATTGTAAGAGTAGCTGTCATAGATTGCGTACGTGCTAGATTTTATCGGCAGTTTTTCCGGCTTGTGTCCCCCAGCGTTGTATAACGTAAAAAGAAATGCCTTTGAGTCTTTTTTGTAACTACTTGAATATCCATACACACCTATCAACATTGAAAAATTCTTCTTGTTATCAAGTTATATTTACAGGGACCACTGCGTGCTAAAAGAATTACCGTTTACTGTAATGACCTGTTGTGCATTTTAAAAGACGATTTATGCTCTCAAAGCAACAGATCAGAATGCTAATAGCCGTATAGACATTAGGTGGTATTCTGGAGGGTGCAATTAACTCGAACTTGCCTAGTTTTCAGTTGGGAAAGGTCGTAGAAAGGAAGGGTTTGCCCGCTTTTTAGGCTACTAGGGATCACAAACAATATGAAATTGGAAGTGAAAAAGAAAAGAGTAATCAAAACGGACCTTGCGGCAAAAAAAAAATGAACAACCACTAAATATTAGTAAAATCACTTTTATGAGCTGCATATAAGCACACAAAAACAAGCTTAGCCAAAAAAGGCAATTTTAAAAGCAAAGGACATTGCAAATTCTAGGACCAAAGAAGGATCATGCCACTCTTTTCTTCATGAAGAAACTAAATTTGGAAACTTCAGTATGTACTAAAATAGCCCTCTAGGTGACAGTAGGGACAGAAAGTAATTATTCTGGCTTATACTCTCATGCGCATGCGTCATATAATTATGCATATAATCACAAAAGTATGCCTCTCCCCTCCCCAACCGCAGACATGGATGCGTTGAAACCCAAGGGCTGAGGGCCGTAGCTAACAATCTGGCAGCAAGAAGATAGGGGGGCCCAAACTTAATCTCATATATAATTCCACCAAAAAAATCAAATAAACAGAGAAACATTTGGTTGAGGAAATAGGCCCTACGTCCTTGTTGCATAAAACGAGATAGCTAGCAGATACGTACACGTGATCGTCTCTTTGGGTCTTGTGACAAATGTGTCAGCATGCACTTGACAAAGACGTAGCAAGGGCAACAAAAGCTGGTACTCACTTTTCCAAATAAGCTTGGTGTAACCACCGAGGGTGTAGTTGCCATAACGGACTAAAGTAACAGTGGGGCCTTTATATGTGCATTTGACACGAAAGCTTGATGGCTCCCAGTCATCAACAGTCGCCTGGTAACATTTCTTCCATCCGGTGTAACGAGATTGGAGGATTGGGCTCAGGTAAGATGTAAGTGTATCAATGTATTCTTGCTTTAAACTTGGGTTGTAACCGAGGATGGCAGACTGTTCAATATCACCAAGACCTGAAGAAAGAGACTGACTAAGATGGCAAAAAACAGAACAATAAAGTACGAAAAGCAGGACATTTAGAAACACCAGGAAGCAGCCCTGGCATTTTAGGACAAGAAACAGTCGGTTAGAAAGTCGTTTGACCTTACCAAGAGAGTTATACAGTATGCTACAATTTATTATATCATGGCATGCTTAAAAACGTGAAAAGCCGATATCTGTAAAAATCAGGAAGTTAGTTTCCTATTGTTACGAATCGTGTTCTGCATTTTTAAAACTATTTGAAAAACGGAAGGTCTTTTCTTCCTTACTTCTAATAAAACTAGCCTCTCCCACCTCGATCCCTCTCAAAATCCGGCCAGGCGCTCTCAGTCAGACGCGCCAAAGGTAAAAAACGTCCCCTCCTATGATAAGCCAAGCGACTAGAAAGATGAAATACATGAGGATAGACACCATAATGATATTGAAAGCATTTCATCCGTTTTTAATTAGTTCTAATATGTTATTAAAAAGCTAGCTCTTTCTCTTGATTGATCAGGAGGCTTATCTTTAATTTGTTCACAATTGTTATTCACCCTGGAACGGGTATTTTCACCTGGGCATTATGTTCACTTTGTTTCCATCAATATTGTTAAGCTATATCAATTGATATTTAAACCCAATACATTTTCTTCATTTTATCGACTAAACTGTGAGTAGTTATCCAGGGATGAAGATAAGCCTTGCGATGGATTAGGTGGATTAGGTGCCTATGGATTAGGTGGATTAGGTGCCTAGTCAATGACGTCACCCATTGTTATAACCTCCATACTAATTAAGTGCCTAGTCAGTGTCTTCCTGCATACTAATTCGGTATAGGTTTACTAATGAGCGTCACTCTACTACAATAGGAACAATAACTTGAGCCCGGTTTTCGGACCGTCTATTAAAAGAAAAATAAGAGTAAGAGAAGCGATCACCTAGCAACGCGAGAAACGGCTTCCTATAAACAAAACACATACAGAAAGTAGAGTTGAAAAGTCTTTATTTCAAGTTAGTTGATGTCTTCTTTTTTAGCTCTAAAACTCGGATATATATATAAACAAAACATACACAAAGGGGAGCTGAAAACGCTTTATTTCAAGTTTGTCTGACTATTACAGAACTGTTTTCTCCGTTTTATCTTGAGGAAATGAAAAACTATTGAAGTCTCAACGTTTCACGCACTGTGAGTCAGTTAATTATGCGAGTCCACAAGCCCAAAGTTGAATACAAATTAGCTCTACAGGGAAAACCTCAAGGGAGCATATTGACGTATTATTATAAAACAAATAACTTAACAAGGATCAATTGGAACACGCGACTAATAATTGCTAGCAATAAAACCACAAGAGAGATACCATTTTAAAAACTTTATTAAAAGTCAATAACAAAAAGAGTCAAATACACAGCGGTTTGAAAGGAAAAGGGATGAAAATTAATCCATTGACTGACTATTACAAATCAGTTTTTTCCGTTCCAAAATAATCCTTCCGTGTCTACCCAATTTTCCTATGGCCTCTAAGACAAGAGTTCGACTTTCTTTGTTTCTTGCACTTTGTCTTGTTCTTTGTAGTTCGTCTTTTAGCTTTTGCTTTAAAAGAAGCTTCATCCGGCTTCGTGACCTTGACAGTTCGTACGCTGTTTCTTGTGTCTGCACTGGATTGCGAGTACTTGTTGAGTGATTTTTTCCGGAATTATCCGCTTCATTTTCGTAAACGACGACTTTAACTTTAGGTTGTAGTTTCGCCTCTTGTAAATACTGTCTTCGCTGTATGTGGTCTAACTGGTGAACATCCGCGAGATGGTTAGCTAATCTGACAAGGTACTTCGCCCCGCATGATGAAATCGGACAGTTTCTGCAAACTCTCTTGTAAACCATGTTGACAGTTCGATGACTGAATACAAATGACATCTTTTTCGCAAATAGTCAGGTTATATAGAGTGTCAGAAAGGCTAAACACAGGCCAGAATGGCCATAACCAGTCCTGAAAGGCTAAAACCAGGCCAAAAGGGACAAAAGGAGACAAACGGGCCATTTCTAGTCATGTGTCTTTTTTCTCAGACACACGCGTGGGTGTCGCGCTTCGCTAGTCACGCAACAGCTCTCAACATTGGAATCATCATCTTTATTAACTGTAATCACAAATAACAGTGCCTAATTAAAAAAGTTTTGACCATGAATTAGTAATTGGTATTTCAAATTTCAGATTTTTTTTATTTGTTGTACAAGTTTACTATTATTGTTATTATTTTCAAGTCAGCAATACAACACTCTTAAAGTTTGGTTGTTTATAGTTTTTATTGAAACGCAACAATACAAAGGTCTAGGAAAAATAATTCTATAACATTCATAGTTGGACTAGTCTTCATCTTGTGGAATGGGCTGCTGTTGATACAGTCGATTGAGTAAGAATTTTCGCTTATCGATCGCTAGTTCTGTCGATTCCAACCAATCAAATCCTTCTGTGTCTTTGAGATCTTGGCGGGTTTCCATCACTTTTTTGAAGGTCCATTTGGGGTCGATGTGGGGTCGATGTAGGGTCGATGTAGGGTCGATGTGGGGTCGATGTAGGGTATGTACAGGAGGGGTACAGGAAGGGTACAGGAAGGGTACAGGAAGGGTACAATAGGGGTACAGGAAGGGTACAGTAGGGGTACAGAAGGGGTACGAGTATGAACAAAACGGAGACTCGCCTGAAGTGGCCCGCATTAAAGCTGAAAATGCTTTGCTTCCAGTATATAGAAAGGAATTGAGAAAAGTGTTCTTAGAGTTTTTACAGTGGATGCATGCAATGAAGAAAGATCCGACATTCCGAAAAGTGATGGAAACCCGCCAAGATCTCAAAGACACAGAAGGATTTTATTGGTTGGAATCGACAGAACTAGCGATCGATAAGAGAAAATTCTTACTCAATCGACTGTATCAACAGCAGCCCATTCCACAAGATGAAGACTAGTCCAACTATGAATGTTATAGAATTATTTTTCCTAGACCTTTGTATTGTTGCGTTTCAATAAAAACTATAAACAACCAAACTTTAAGAGTGTTGTATTGCTGACTTGAAAATAATAACAATAATAGTAAATTTGTACAATAAATAAAAAAAATCTGAAATTTGAAATACCAATTACTAATTCATGGTCAAAACTTTTTTAATTAGGCACTGTTATTTGTGATTACAGTTAATAAAGATGATGATTCCAATGTTGAGAGCTGTTGCGTGACTAGCGAAGCGCGACACCCACGCGTGTGTCTGAGAAAAAAGACACATGACTAGAAATGGCCCGTTTGTCTCCTTTTGTCCCTTTTGGCCTGGTTTTGGCCTTTCAGGCCTGGTTATGGCCATTCTGGCCTGTGTTTGGCCTTTCTGACACTCTATATAACCTGACTATTTGCGAAAAAGATGTCATTTGTATTCAGTCATCGAACTGTCAACATGGTTTACAAGAGAGTTTGCAGAAACTGTCCGATTTCATCGTGCGGGGCGAAGTACCTTGTCAGATTAGCTAACCATCTCGCGGATGTTCACCAGTTAGACCACATACAGCGAAGACAGTATTTACAAGAGGCGAAACTACAACCTAAAGTTAAAGTCGTCGTTTACGAAAATGAAGCGGATAATTCCGGAAAAAAACACTCAACAAGTACTCGCAATCCAGTGCAGACACAAGAAACAGCGTACGAACTGTCAAGGTCACGAAGAGATGAAGCTTCTTTTAAAGCAAAAGCTAAAAGACGAACTACAAAGAACAAGACAAAGTGCAAGAAACAAAGAAAGTCGAACTCTTGTCTTAGAGGCCATAGGAAAATTGGGTAGACACGGAAGGATTATTTTGGAACGGAAAAAACTGATTTGTAATAGTCAGTCAATGGATTAATTTTCATCCCTTTTCCTTTCAAACCGCTGTGTATTTGACTCTTTTTGTTATTGACTTTTAATAAAGTTTTTAAAATGGTATCTCTCTTGTGGTTTTATTGCTAGCAATTATTAGTCGCGTGTTCCAATTGATCCTTGTTAAGTTATTTGTTTTATAATAATACGTCAATATGCTCCCTTGAGGTTTTTCCTGTAGAGCTAATTTGTATTCAACTTTGGGCTTGTGGACTCGCATAATTAACTGACTCACAGTGCGTGAAACGTTGAGACTTCAATAGTTTTTCATTTCCTCAAGATAAAACGGAGAAAACAGTTCTGTAATAGTCAGACAAACTTGAAATAAAGCGTTTTCAGCTTCCCTTTGTGTATGTTTTGTTTATATATATATCCGAGTTTTAGAGCTAAAAAAGAAGACATCAACTAACTTGAAATAAAGACTTTTCAACTCTACTTTCTGTATGTGTTTTGTTTATAGGAAGCCGTTTCTCGCGTTGCTAGGTGATCGCTTCTCTTACTCCTATTTTTCTTTTAATAGACGGTCCGAAAACCGGGCTCAAGTTACTTACCGGGCAAGTCTAGGCAAGCCTATTGTTCCTATTGTAGTAGAGTGACGCTCATTAGTAAACCTATACCGAATTAGTATGCAGGAAGACACTGACTAGGCACTTAATTAGTATGGAGGTTATAACAATGGGTGACGTCATTGACTAGGCACCTAATCCACCTAATCCATAGGCACCTAATCCACCTAATCCATCGCAAGGCTTATCTTCATCCCTGGATAACTACTACTGTGCGATTCTTTTTTATTCTCTGGTGTTTCATTAAGTCTTCTCAGCCGTGTCTCAGGAGCTTCCCGCAACTTAAAATACGACTGTGCTGAAAAACTGGGCAGGAAGATGACGTAAACTCCCATACCAGACATTTGCACTTCAAGTATGCTGAATTACAATGAGGTATTACTGTCATGGGTATTATTGTTATTGTTATTGTTATTGTTGTTGTTATTGTTATTGTTATTGTTATTGTTATTGTTATTGTTATTGTTATTGTTATTGTTATTGTTATTGTTATTGTTATTGTTATTGTTATTGTTGTTGTTGTTTTGATTTATGATTATGATTATGATTGCATATTGTGTGATCCTCTACAGTTCTTTTTTCTCAGTCATGTCTGAGCAGCAATCCCGCAACTTATAGACATAACACTTTCAGCAAGATATGGGCGGTACCAAGGATGGCTGGGAACTGTGCATTTCCAAAAATATTTGGTAGACTCAACTTCCCATACCAGGCCTTTGCATTCCCCGAGATAGTTCCAAGTGTACCGATCACGATGGGTTTTACTGTCACTCTAGTGCCTCTGTGGATTTTTTTAATTTCGTGCGCCAGTTGTTTCTACTTTTCCACCTTTTTCTCCTCAGTAGTAAGGATCTTGGTCCGCTAGCACAGCTATAGCGATAAGTGTCCACTCCTGTGTCTTTGAGTGCTACAGTAATATTGGAGCGATTGTGCTTCAGCCACTTGTCCGATAAGATAGTCACTCATAGTCAAGTTATCCTAACATCTCTCCTATTCTCTACAGCTGGTAAGGGTTGATGGTCGTACCACTTGTCGACACACTGTAGCTCATACTTTCTGCATAGCTCCCAGTGAACCCGTGGAGCTACCTTGAGGTGGCGCTTCCAAATTTCCTTCTGGGCAAGCTTTCTGCACCCACTGACAATATGACATACAGATTCAGTGGAGTTACCGCATAATCGACACAGTGGTGTCTCAGCTGTCTTACCTATGCTGTGCTAGACCCAATTTGTTCTTAAAGTATTATTATTATTATTATTATTATTATTATTATTATTATTAACACTATTATTATTTATTTATTTACTTATTTTTTTCTATAATTTTACCTGCAAATGAATGACAGTAAGTTCCATTCCACCCCGGTAGACATGCGCACTCGTAATGCTTATCAATACTGACACAACTGGCTCCGTTGAGGCATTGATGGTTCACACAAAAGTTAGCAACTAAGAAGAGTTAAAATAGATTATGTCTGATTTAAAAAGATATCATTGGAAAAAAAAAAAACAAACAAACAAAGAGAAAAAGGAATGGCAAAATATTGTACTTTGGTCAATAGCCAAAGTTAACATAAATCTGTATTGCGTGTAGCACAAAAAAACGAATTAATGTGCGATATATGCAGAGTATTCACGTACTCAATCAGTCGTATTACTAAAGGTTGTTCTCACTTCCATCAATTTTTATAGTGCAGCATGAGCAACATTGGTGATCTCTTCACGTGATTGACATGTGATATGATTAAAAACCTTAGGCTAATTAGTCTCACCTTCACTTTGCATGTCACAATAGACCTGAGTAATCTTGTCAGATGTTTTAAGATCTAACCAATAGATACCACTCGAGGCCTTTCCATTTTCGTTCAAGTTTATTTCCTTGCAAGATTCGGCAGGTATTTCCTCAGTAGATCCAAGAATAACTGTCAGTGATAAATTAATCAGTTCCTTATCAACGGACAAAAACTTTTAGTTATGTGACATAAATGGGCACGGTCTTCCGTCTATGGAGAGTTTAGAGCTACATTTTTTAATTTTGTAAGATTGTAGATAGGAAAAGAAAAACTTAACTCATTGAACGAAAACTCTTTCAAGGCCAGGAACTTATTGATTAAAAGACAGTTTACGGTATGATATCAATTTCCAGCACTTTGTGATTTGGAAGTTTCCAGAACCTAAAAAGCTTGCTAGACAAAAAAGATTCACTTAGTGTCCTGAGTGACAAAGTAAACATTACCATGTCCAAGGCTGAATAGACAAAGATACCACCTGACAGAGGACAATTTCTAGAAGAAGAGCATGTTTTAAGGTTGCAAAATAATTGAATGAACATACTAGAACGTATTTCATGCTGTTTTTGCAATACTGATCATCCCGGCAGAGCTTTGTCTACAGCAATCAATCAGTCTTTGACTCTCCTCCATAATGCAAGTAACATTTGCCTTTAACAAAATTACCAGGAAAAAAAACACACACACACACACACAAAGCCCCCTAATGTCTCACAAATTAGCTAGCGCGGGACGCTTTTTACATGCCATCTACCCTAAAGTACCCATTTGGACCGGACAAACTTGCAAGACTTTCTCTGATTTTTGGTGGGGAGTGACTCCTTTTTGGAGGAGTCATCACCAGAAAAGTCCTTAGTCAACAACTTTTAAAACAAACTTAACAAATACTTCGTTCAAAACAGGTAACTATGTGAAATGCCTGCCTATGTAGTTCGTGTCCAGACCCTGTAAGTGATACTGAATCACGTCTATGACTCCATTTCTGTTTACCTTTTGGCCAGCGTCGAAAGTAGAATCTCTCCGCATCGAAAACAAAGCGTTGGGGTTTTGTTTCCCTGCTTCTGTTATTCAGTTCACAAAGACCCTTCCTGATAACAAAGTTCAAACTCTGGCATCTTATGTCCTCTCGGCACCTTTCATGACATTGCTCTGGGTTTAAGGTTTGTATTGTTACAAAGGTGTGACCTATAAGAGCTTTGAAAGTGATCGATTCCCGTCCTTCACATCGACCATGGGCGCTACAATGGCCTTCCGCCTTTGACAAATCAGTCAGTGACAACACGAAGAAACAAAATGTGGCAAGCCATATGTATTGAGGCATCGTCAAGCAAATGGAGCCTGAAAAAGTGAAACTTTGAAAGTTATTTAATAATTTAGCACACTAGTTGTATGTTTCAGACATATAAATTCAAAGAAATCCAACTATTATCAAGGTTTATTAGTAAAGTAAATTAATTGAAAATGCAGAAGTGAGACTTTACAAAGCTGTCTTTAGCGAACAACTTGCAAGTTTGCTTTACATGTCTTTTGTTTAGTCTATAGACGGTGTAAGATTAATTCCGAAATATAACTTAATCCTCCTGTACCTTGTTAATCTCGATCAATTCTCGTGAAATTTTTACTAGTTTTGTTTTCTTTCATTGTGCACCTTGTAAAACTAAACTTCTCCGCGACCTTACCTTCGCATTATAAGAACTCTAGCATAGCTGCGGTTAATAAGTGCTGAAATGGTTTTGTTGCTGAAAAATTTGCAGAATCTTCCATTTTTTTATGAGCAGACTAAGATTAAGCATTTAATCAATATCCTCAACTTACCTGTTCGGAACAACTGGCGCAAATGAAAAAAAAAAAGCTGACAACTTACCAATGGCGAACAGTTTTCTTATTAGCAAACTGAAGAGGATTCAGAAAACTGAAAACCTTAACTGCAAGTCATGGCAAACATGCCAAAGCAAACAAATCTCGAAGGCATTTTGTACCTGCAACAAAAGTCACGCAGAGTGAAACGTTCTCCCCGTCCGAGTACCTGCAAAAATGCCCGCTGAGAAATAAATTATACGCAGCATGTCCAATTCAGTATCAAGCGAAATAAACCTTGAAAATCCCCGCTTGATATTGGATAACTTGATTTTTTAAATTAACTTTTAGAGAGTTAATCTAACCACCTCAGTGCTGAAATCTCTGACTGCCCTGTGCTTCACTGTTCTGTTACAGACGATATACGTCAAACATCACATGCAGCAGTGCGTGTTGTGTTTGTTTTTCCTTAGATACCGGAACAAAATTGCAACATTCTATTTAATTACTTCTATTTCAATTTATTTTAATTAAGTTTTCTTTCTTTCTGCCTTTTTTTACTGTAGGAGGTAAAACAAAGCGAGAGAATAACTGTTGAGTTTATTTCAGGAGCGACTAACTGTTTTCACAAAGACGTTACCGTTTTTCCGTGTACAGTGTACATGTGAACTTTGTAAGATTGTTAATTATAGCTTACGGTCCTAACATAAAAGTCGTGAACATATTTATTTGGTATTTTTGATGCATTTTATTTCAGCCACCCTTGAACGTAATTTACGCCTTGTTACGATAATGAATATCGTCAATCGTCACTTGTCGCATCTGCTGCGGCCGTAAGCGTACCAAAGTACCGGTACTTTTTGCTCATCGTCCCTCAGTTTCATCTAAAAAAACATAAAGGCGTTGCTACTCAAAGAATCAAGAATTAAAAACTTAGCAAGATGGGCATTTGAATCAAGCACTTTGAAAATATTAACTAAAGTATGTCAATTTCGTTACGTATTAGAACCGGTACTTGAGAGAGTCGTCCTATTCCAAGAGCTAACGATACAGCTTTTTCATTTAAATACTTAATAACACCCCTGGAGATATGTTTTGATCTTTTTCTTATTTTATTTTATTTTATTTTATTTATTTAAAATTTCAAGGTATCATGCAACTGTTTTGGATAGAGCATTATGTCTACCGAAACAGCAGATTTTATGTTCGCAGGTGAAAACATGGGATTTGGACCCGACTCAAATACAGGCTTCGATAGATTGTGTTAAAATACGGTTTTTCGCATAATTTTTATCCGTCATTAGGAGAGCTTAATTTTTATGTATTTCCCGAAAAGCACTGCTAGCATAATTTCCACTTTTAAATAGTTTTGCATTTATTGATCACGCAACCAATTTTTTAACCCGTGATAAGTGTTACGGGTAACATATCAAAGTCTCTCCCCACAAAGGCGGACATTTGTTTTTCTGTTACCCAGGCCAGGTGGGTTAATAGCTTTTGCACACATTTTCCTCCATCGCGGCTAGCTTTCTTAAATACCTCTTGAAGATAGGGAATTTTCTTTCTGAAAGCGTGTGAAATTTGGTTGTTGATGATATAAACGCCCCGGATACCTGACTGCTCTAGCACCTTTTGCATAACGGCATAAATCGTCAGTCATTTTCTTCGTTGCCTTGGCTTGTTTTGACAGCGTATCAAATAAAGTCGTTGAATGGCTTTGCAATAACTTTGTTAACTTAATAAATTAAAACAGGCCTTGTCACGCTAAATCTAAAACTTTATATAACATCGGTACAGTAGTCGAAAGGGAACCTTGGTGCCCGTAATAAAATGGCCGAATTCGAATACCGTACCTTCTAAAATCGCGAAGGCACTAAACCCGAAAGCCAGTGTATTTCACAGACGGGAAGGCAGTGTTGATTAAAATTTCTTAGTCAGAGATGAGATTTGACCTTCATCGAAACTGTCTTTGCAAGCAGCAGGAGAAATGAAACATTGATCAGCAAGATTTAGCGTAAAACTATTCATTTCTTTCAGAAGTAAATTTCATTTCTTCTGTTTTGTAGCGGCAATGAAGTCTATCAACTCAAGTCTGATGAGTGATGTTGCTCGGTCCAATTGCCCTTCTCATAGTGCAAAATTTTTAATGAGGCAGGAATACAAAACGTTCCGCGTGTTCTCTGGCACTAAGCATGGTGGCAAGCTTCCTCTGATAGCCGAATTCAGTAATTGTTTTATTATTCATTTAAAATAATTCCTAGTTTAAAAACAAAGCTAAAACATGCTTACCTCCATCGATGTTAAGTTTACCTTCGATAGTGCACGTTTAGGATTGTTCAACTCTGCAAATATTCTCCAAATAGCAGATGTCGCCCTTCGAGTTGTGTTCTTGCTGTTATTGCCATATTTTTAGCGATAATGTCACCTAGTCCTTACTCTTGAAACGAGTGAAATGTCCGCCATTTTTTTGTTTTCACAACCAAAACAACTCAACCTCGTCCACAGGTGTTCTCGGTTAACGGTGCATTAACCTGCAAGAACGCTGCATTTTTGACGTCATTTCCTCGTTAAACACAAAATTCTTCCATATTGGGTCATCAGTAACTGGTTATGGTGAATTATGCGTGTGCTTTTAGCCAATCGGAATCGGGGAAATATTTTGAATGAATAATAAAGTCATTTTTTAAAAGTTGAGCGTGATTTCGGCATGTTTAACAGATGAAATATTCTTTGAAATGCATGCTATAATTTCCTCGAAAAAAACAACAACAAACAAACAAACGATAACAACAACGAAAAAATTTGGGCGGCAAGGCGATCCGACTCAATCGCCTTGCCACCCGTTGGGGGGTGGGGCAAAGAGACGGATGACATTTTACAGTTTTAATCTTGCCTGTTGCATTACAAGCCGCAGGCTCGATTTTCGGGGGATTGCGACGTTCAGCGTCGCAATCTTCGCATATTTCTGAAGGGCGAGGCGCCAAGTCTATTGTTTTGAACCAAGGGTTATATTACATCAAGAGACCCTGAGCCTATCTTAAAGCTGTCAACAATGTTCGTTTTATTGAGCAATCTTTCATCTTCGACACTTAATCCAGTGGACACCCAACCTAGTTGCTATTGACGTGCACTGTCGAAAGCATAATATCAAATAGACTTCAAAAATTCTGCATTGGAGTTTCACTCTTCGTCTTTAATTTTAGCCGACCCACTCAATAAACAATAAATAAGAACAATATTACCGAAAAATAATTACAACTGAGAACTTGATGAATAAACAATGAAAACAACAACTCAATTATCTCTCAGGGAGATCACCCGCCAAAGCGGATACCCGCGAGGTTTGTTAGGTTTCAACATAGACGGTGGAAATTTTTACAACCCTAGTATAAATCTGGCCTAATTGTCACATTTGATCCAAGAGAGATATTTACGCAAAAAATCACAAATGATTTAGACATTATCTTAATATTTTACCTTAAACTGTCGAAATTAAAGTATTGCCGCCCGCGGACAAAACTAGCTTTTTTCCGGTTTCCGGTGTACATCAAACACAGGCATCACGCTGAATATCATCCAGACTGAGAGCCGTAGATCAGAAAAAAAATCACAATGACTAAATTTCGCTTTTGAAACCAACACCACTCGTCGTAAGATTGGGCGCATCGCATAAGAGCTAAAGACTTAAGAGGGAGAGAAAATAAAAATCTACTGAATTATATACACTAACAAAAACAAAATATGAACAAAAACAACAACTCTGTAACGACTAGCTAAAACACGATCGATTCAAGCTGTGACTTACTTTATACTTTATCACAGCTTCTTAAGAATGGGCGCGCTGCCTGTAAGCCATTAGGAAGAGGAGAGAAAAATCTACCGAATTATACCAACTGAAGCAAAGTAAAAAAAGCTGCATTTACTAGCTAAAACACGATCGATTTTAGTTATGTACTATTCACTTTACGAAAATCTCCCTTCACCTCTTAAACTTGGGCGCGCCGCCTATAAGCCAAAAGGGAGAGGAGAGAATAATCTACTGATTTACCAAACTAACACAGCGTATAAAAAGTGCAATTGGCTAGGTAGTAAAACATGATCGACTCAAACTACGAATGTTTCAATCCAAAAAAATCTCTCTTCACCTCTTAAACTTGGGCGCGCCGCCTGGAAGCCAAGGGGGAGAGGAAAGAGTAACCAAACTAACACAGCGTATGAAAACTGCAATTGGCTAGCTAGTAAAACATGGTCTATTCAGGATACGAGTTTTTCACCGTTGAAAAAAATCTCTCGTCACCTCTTAAACTTGGGCGCGCCGCCTGTAAGCTAAGAGGGAGAGGAGAGAAGAAATTACTGAATTATCCAAACTAACAACACATGAAAACTGAAATTGGCTAGCTAGTTAAAACATGACGATTCAATCTACGAGTTTTTTACCTTAAAAGATCTCTCTTCACCTCTTAAACTTGGGCGTGCCGCCTGTAAGCCAAGAGGGAGAGGAGAGAATAATCCACTGAATTATCCAAACTAACATAGCGCATGAAAACTGCAATTGGCTAGTTAGTAAAACATGATCGATTCAAGCTACGAGTTTTTTACCCTTGAAAAAAATCTCTCTTCACCTCTTAAACTTGGGCGCGCCGCCTGTAAGCTAAGAGGGAGAGGAGAGAATAACCTACTGAATTATCCGAACTAACAGAGCGTATAAAAACCGCAATAGGCTAGCTAGTAAAACATGATCGACTCAAGCTACGAGTGTTTCAATTTAAATATTTCTCTCTTCACCTCTTAAACTTGGGTGTGCCGCCTGAAGCCAAGAGGGAGAGGAGAGAAAAATTTACTGAATTATCCAAACTAACATAGCGCATGAAAACTGCAATTGGCTAGAGAGTAAAACATGATCGATTCAAGCTACGAGTTTTTTACCCTTGAAAAAAAATCTCTCTTCACCTCTTAAACTTGGGCGCGCCGCCTGTAAGCTAAGAGGGAGAGGAGAGAATAATCCACTGAATTATCCAAACTAACATAGCGCATGAAAACTGCAATTGGCTAGTTAGTAAAACATGATCGATTCAAGCTACGAGTTTTTTACTCTTGAAAAAAAATCTCTCTTCACCTCTTAAACTTGGGCGCGCCGCCTGTAAGCCAAGAGGGAGAGGAGAGAATAATCCACTGAATTATCCAAACTAACATAGCGCATGAAAACTGCAATTGGCTAGTTAGTAAAACATGATCGATTCAAGCTACGAGTTTTTTACTCTTGAAAAAAATCTCTCTTCACCTCTTAAACTTGGGCGCGCCGCCTGTAAGCTAAGAGGGAGAGGAGAGAATGACCTACTGAATTATCCAAACTAACACAGCGTATAAAAACTGCAATAGGCTAGCTAATAAAACATGATCGACTAAAGCTACGAGTGTTTCAATTTAAATAAATCTCTCTTCACCTCTTAAACTTGGGCGTGCCGCCTGGAAGCCAAGAGGGAGAGGAGAGAGTAACCAAACTAACGCAGCGTAAGAAAACTGCAATTGGCTAGCTAGTAAAACATGGTCTATTCAGGCTACGAGCTTTTTGCCCTTGAAAAAAATCTCTCGTCACCTCTTAAACTTGGGCGTGCCGCCTGTAAGCTAAGAGGGAGAGGAGAGAAAAATTTACTGAATTATCTAAACTAACACAGCGCATGAAAACTGTAATTGCCTAGCTAGCTAAAACATGACGATTCAATCTACGAGTTTTTCCCCCTTTAAAAATCTCTCTTCACCTCTTAAACTTGGGCGTGCCGCCTGTAAGCTAAGAGGGAGAGGAGAGAAAAATTTACTGAATTATCCAAACTAACATAGCTCATGAAAACTGCAATTGGCTAGATAGTAAAACATGATCGATTCAAGCTAGGAGTTTTTTACCCTTGAAAAAAATCTCTCTTCACCTCTTAAACTTGGGCGCGCCGCCTGTAAGCTAAGAGGGAGAGGAGAGAATAACCTACTGAATTATCCGAACTAACACAGGATATGAAAATGGCAATTGGCTAGCTAAAACACGATCGATTTAAGGATCCGAGTTCTTTTTACTTAAAAAATCTCTCTTCACAAAATGCGTTCCTATAATCCATTCCTCGAAATTTGAATCTGTAAATCACTTTCGGTGAAAATCTAACATCGTGCAGAAAATACTAAACGAGCTGGGCCCAGCGTGACATAAATTGAAGGAAACCATCACATTCACGGACAAAAGAATATCGCCTTTAGCTATTCAGATCCAGGAGGTACTTTGGAGAAGACTAAACAACCTAAAACTCTTATTTAGCCGCAAAGAAAGAGATTTTCATTTCAAAAGAGGTCGAAGAAAGTGCTCTTGCATCGGAGGACAAATCATGCCGACCAGAAACAATAACCGCAGAAAATCAATATGCGTGTCATGACCTCTCAGTATGAAACAAGCGGCAAAATTCACATTTACTCATTCAAAGAGTAGAACCCAGAATATAATATACCCACCAGAGAAAACAATTTTTGGAACAAGCAGCATTTTGGCACGAGGTAAAAGTCGTGTGTTGCCTACCAGCCCCCTTTTTACACTCTGTTAGATGGTTCGAGCATTTTGGCGCGTGTTGTAAATGCCCTTTGAATTATAATATTTGTGCGTTATTGTACAGTGATCGAGGATATACACAATACCAAAGGCAAGTAAATATTTTCCTCTGTTTTCCTCAGTGTCGTCAAACCGGCTTCACCGAAGTGCTCGAACTCCGCATGCGAGAGCCATAACAAGCTGCTTCTCTACCTTTTAAATAATAAAGGTCTCTCTTACCTTATATCGGCGAACACAGTTTCTGTCCTTCGGACATAATGCGAAATAACATCCAGAACTCTTCACGTTGAACTTTTGAAACCATTTCGGCGACAATATGTAACTTACCAGGTAACGTACCGAATAATTATTACTTTGGAGGGTTCGAATTCGACCTTCATAAAGCGCTAGATTTTGCCTTTCGCTTAAGAAACGAAAAAATATTTTTTTTTTTCCAAGACTTGCACCAAGACCCTTTTTAACACCAACCATGAATTTAAGTATTTTCATTAAGTGATTTTGACGAGAACCATAGCTGAGTTAAAATATCTCGCTCCGATGGTATAAATTCGGCGCGCAGAAGACAAGCTCTGATATTTGACGCAAATTTGTGTCCTGTTCTAAAATGAGTTTATTGACAGATGAACTGACAGAAAGCGATTAATGTGAACACCTGAGGTGCGCAAGGAAATGTGTCAAGACTAACGCCTTGTAGTTACTTGAGTCCAGTTTGTGGGTATCTCCATGGAAATTAAGGATCCCTGGTGCGTGCACGAAAATCGACCTTGCGGCTCGTAATGGTAAAGAGTTAGCCTGAGTATCAGGCGTGTCTGGGGGGAAAGGGGAAAGATGGAAGCGAAAAAGGGAGAGAGCTGTACCCCCTCTCGCCTCCCCCATCTAAAATCTCCTCTCCCCTAGCCCCTTAGGAAGGCCTGATACTCAGGCTAGTAATGAGTGGGGAAGGCTGGTGTGGTTGCGTTGATTCGTTCAGGCACGTCTAAGCTTGTCTAAGCCCCAGGGTTAAGCCTCTTCATTCATAGATAGCATTCCTAAGGGTCATAATATTCTACGCCATGGAGCAAGGAAAATCTCGATGCAATAGCCTCTTGACGTTTGCTGTGTTTGTCAACATAATACTGACTCTTTTGTCCGTCGGGTTCATGATTTATAAAGTGAGAGTATTAGAGGAGCGGGTTTTTGAGCTTCAATTCAAGTCAGCACAGACGTTACACGCTGAAACCGGAGAAAATGAAGAAGACGTCGATATCATCAGGAGTAGACAGAAGAGGTCATCTGAGTCCTTCGGCTCCAAACACTGTATCAGCTGCCACAATGCTTGTGTCAAACTATTTGGACTGGGAACTAAGGCCAAGGTACGAATCACTTAAAATACAATGGAACCTTTTTTAATTAAAAGATCAAAATAATGGATCAAAGCAAGTGGTTTTCGAATACTGAACAAAAAGCAGGAGAGGATCAAAAACTAAGAATTATTTGAGTCTGGGTCAAAAGCAGATATTTCGCCATTGTAAAATTAAAAATAGTTGTTTGTATGACAGGGAAAGTGATTTAGTCGAGGGCAAGGGGGAGGAATAGAATTTAGCGTGAAAGACAAGCGTGGCAACCCGCACGGCCATCAGAATTACGTTTATTATATCGGATACAAGAGTTTATCATATATTTTTTTAAATATTATTTTGAATGACCTTGTTGAATTCACACATCTGCATTCTATTTAGCGCCTGTTTCAACCAAGATTGCCTTCTAAATAATTTAATGGAGACTGGGAGGGAGGGTGTATTTTAAATTACTCTGATGATTTCAATCTGATGATATATAGAAACGGGACATATCTAGACATGGGATTATAGGTTATGCTGATGGTCGTTTATCTCTGACCCCAGTGTCATCTTCCAATGTCTTTGTTTGCGTCAATTTTTAGACATGTTCGAGGTAATTAAAGCTTTCGGGGCATCATTAAACATTTGTAAAAATAAGAATTAGAAGGATTAAATAAAGAAATTCTACCCAGCAATCAGCTAACAGTACTGTTATGTGCGCTAGCACATGACTAGATAATCCGTGCAAAGATGGAAACAGTTTCGTAATATGCCAGTCACGTGACATTATATAAACAATACAGTTTCTCTGTTTCGAGTGTCTTTTTATGTTCTCAATCAATATGATAATGAAGGAAAAAATTCGAGGCGCGAAAAACAAGGGGATTTTTCAGCAGATATGATATCCAAGCTGACGTTATCTAATTTGAATTCCCATCGGAAGTGTAATGTTAATTTGTTGAATTTTTAATGCATTTGAGATCGAGTTCACCTTCTATGATGATTTTCCACAAAGGCCAGATTCTTATTTTATCTTATTTCCAGGTCACAGTTAAATCTGGAAGCAACGGAACAGATCAAGATATTATTTGCACGAGAGGTAAGAATCGTGGTACAGAGTTGAAGTAAAAGCACACCCAGTCCCTTCAGTAATACTTTGTGCACAGTCTTTGTAGACGATTAAAAATGTTGGATGCTTGGCTTTCACTGCAATCAGCTGTGTCGACGCGTATCATTTTAACATGTTTTAAGGATAATTTGGGTAAAAAAAAGATTGATAGCATGTATTCGACACCCTGCTGTCGGCTGTTCTTTGACTAATTCACTATGAGGCGAACAACCCGGGTGGGGGAGGGGACTCGGCATATGAAAGGGGTGGGGATGCTCGTCGTCTCGCTTAGGGTTGTAAATTTCGAATTTTGGTCTCACTTAGGGTGTTCTGGGCAAAACGCTATCATATTTAGCCGTGAAGGTCTCGTTTAGGGTTGCACGCAAAAAAATATAACAATATATATTTGATATGTATATTTTTTTGGTTTCTTTTAGGGGTCAAAAAAAAAGCTTCGGTTACGCCCAAGTCGGTCTCCTTTAGGGGTTTAATTCAAAATTTTCGACGAGCATCCACCCCTTTAATATGGGGAGTCCCCCCCCCCCCGGGCGAACAACTTTCATGCATTCGTGTCATTGCGTTTTCACCGGCCTTTTTTCTAGAACAATTTTTTTTTATTATCAATTATTATTTTATTTTCTTATTTTTTCTTTTTTTTTTCACATGTTAACGACGTTAAGGTTTATTTTTGTTTTTTGTTTTTTTATGGGTATAATGATATTGTTTTTTTTTTCCATATCTTATACTTCCAATGTGCACATACACAAAGCAGAGCTTCCGTTTAAGAATAAACCGGTCTGTGAAAAAGCCGTGACGGACGCCAAGTATAGGAGTGGCTCGCACTCTCGCACTGGGCTAGCGGCTCCTGTATATAGCCAGTGACTAAACGCCAAAAAAATGCGCATAAACTGCTCATCATATCATTGGTTTTGAGTCGGGCAATGAGATTTCAACTAGACTACTTAGGAAAAAGGCAAACCACGAATTACCTTCAGATACTAAATTGAGAAACTGCTTTAATGAAATTTTTCTCAGGTGAACGAGGGCCTCAGGGAAAAGAAGGTCGAAGAGGACAACGCGGCCGACCGGGTTACGTAGGTAAAACCGGAAAAAGAGGACCCCCTGGTGAGCGAGGTCTCCGTGGTCCCAGAGGAAGGCCTGGGAAGGCGTTTGACGGAAATATCTCCAAACTGATTGAAGACATAGGTAAGTCAGGAATAGTGGAGCCATCATTCCACCACCTCTTTTACGAGAATGACGTCTTATTCTGTTTCTAGTGAACAAGAGTCACAAAGTAGCTTAAAAGAAATAAAGGGAAAGAGGGTATTGTACTCCCGCCCCACCGCCCCCAGTTTTGTTCCGTCCCTGCTATAGTTTGGCTTTATAGTGATGGCTGATTTCTTGATTTTAAAGGTCGAGTCTAACGTAGTTTTTCAAGCATAAACACCATTTTTCCTTTCTTACCACTTTGTACTGGAAGCATTGATAGGCCGCACTTGTTAGTTATGACTAAGTGAAACTTGGTACTACCGAGAACAAAATAAGCGAGCGGTTAACGTTAAGGAGGGGCTTGTTTAGCCCTCTAACCCAGCTTTCAGCTTGGCCAAGCTGTCCCATGGAAAATGTAAGCCACTCTAAGTCGTTCAAAAGTATAATCAATGATTTCGTTTTTGACTTACAAAAAAGGATGCTATTTTATTTACAGATTTGCCTAAAATCAAGAAACCGCCTCCCTCCAACTTCACAACAGAAGAGGGGAACAATGTCTCTCTACCCTGCTACCCCACCGGCTTCCCCACACCAGTGGTCACGTGGTATAAAAATGGCGAAGCCCTCGATGGTAATCAATATAATGCTGCCACGGGATTGCTGACATTTTCTAGCATCTTGTTCGCTGATCGAGGCTTGTACAAATGTGAGGCAAGGAATTTCTTAGGGTTTGATTATGCAACCGTCGAAATCACAGTCGAAGGTAAGTGGAAGATCAGAGGACATTAGAAAATAGTTCTCACAATCTCAATCTTGGGATTATTGCTTGATTGTTGGCTTAAGTCTTTGATCGAGCGCTGTTTATATTTATTTATTCATTTATCTATTTATTTGGCGATTGTTTTTTTCTTTTCTTTTCGTTTCTTTTTTTTTTTTTCTGGTGCCATGGTGTCCAAGTTTAATTAGTTGTTACTATTTTTGAATATAGAAAATGTTTTAATTCTGATTATCTACCATCCAATATCCAAGGCGCACTCGTAGAATAATTGTTAAACAGACTCCTCCCTGAAACCGTCACCGCTGTTTCGTTACTCTATAGGACGGTCCCATTAACGTTCGTTCTTAACCCTTTAAGCCCCAATATCCACATACAAATTCTCCAAACTGATCTGTAAACATTTCCTTCAAGAATAAGTTGAGAGAATTTGATAAAAAATCAAGGCATTTTCCCTTAGGTGATCATTTTATTAATTCCCATAACCTAATCTCTTAACATTGTATGGATATCGTTAGGAGAAAATTGACGTTAGACACTACTGGGACTTAATAGGTTAAGAGAGTTGAATGTATGCTCATTAATCCGTTTTGTTTGTTTGTTTGTTTATTCGCAAATTCGTTGCAGTTCCACCGCGATTTGTAGACAAACCTGAGGTCTATCATATGGGATACGAGACTTGGGATACCACTTTATCGTGCAATATCTTTGGATATCCACACCCAGTTATAAGATGGACCCGGTCCTTCAGATCATTACCCACTGGCCGCTACGAGACGACAGGAAAAGACCTTATCATCAAGGAAACTCAGCGAGAAGACAAAGGACCAATCATGTGCCGAGGAGATAACCACCTGGGTCACGTGTACGCGCTGATAGTGTTGGTGGTGAACCCTGTTTGTGAGTATTTATTGTAATTTAACAAATTTCAACAAGGTAGGTATTGGTCAAAACGAAATTCATGGAAATCTTCTTCAGCCAGGAAAGACTTTTTAAAAAAAAACAGAAAAAGCAGTCGATCGAACATTTTTATATTGGCTAACTAGCATGGAAAGCTGGCCTGAAATGTTATAGAGTGCTCAAAGAAATTAAACCAATAATTCGTGTGGGTTTATTCAAACTGGTAAATGCGCTGAAAATTCAAGATCGCATAGTAAACACATGCGCACAAGCATCACAACAAATGCAACATTATAGCCACGCACTGGTTTCTTGTGTCGAAGGGGCGGATATATATCAACTTCCGTTATAGCGATCACCTTTTTCAAGGCCCATTAGTGTATATATTTGAGAGTAATTATTTTATTTACCTAATATTGTACCTTAACAAATACTTCCTCCATTGTACGCCTTAATCTTCAGTGCCTCCGGTTATCACCACCGCTCCACCCCCCTTAGTCACAGTAACAAAGGTACATGATACAGTGATACTTCAATGCGCTGCTCAGGGATCCCCCGTCCCCACCCTGGAGTGGCGCAAGGATGGTGTTGTCATTTCTACTAACATAACGTTGGAGACCGCTGATGAAGCAAGAGGAAAACTTATTATTCCAAAATTTGGCCCGTCTGATCAAGGTGTCTACACGTGTTTCTTTAAAAATTACGACAATGGAACTGCCGAGACTTCAACCACCGCAGGTGAAAATGAGTTATGAATAGGCCACTTCCGAGTTCCAAAAAAACTCACTTTCAAAATGAGGCCAAGCCACAACCTTTCTTGTGAAAATTAGTTTTAACCTCGTTTTGATACAGAGGCCTGGGAGAACTCTGAAACGGCCTATTGATTTAGTTGTTTAGAAATTTTCCTCTGCACCCTTCTTATAGTGATGCTATCACGTGATAAATGGTCTAGAACGAACCTATAAGTACGTGTTTATCAAGCTTAAACAACAGAAATGGCAGTTTAGTTGAAAGTGACGATTGTGATGGAGAAACATAAACTTAAGTCACTTTTAAAATTTATATAAATGATCAATACTGAAGTTGTTGCCTCGGCCAAAACAACCTGCCCTATATATACACCCCGAAACGGGCTGATCTGAAACGACAACATGACCCTTTATGGACAATGAATCTGACAGTAAAGCTTGCATAATTACGTCATTAGAGATTGCAAAAATCCTCTTGTTGAAAACACGAAGCGATTACACATGAACGTTAATGTACTCCATCCCAAACCAGTTAATAATACTGAATCCACATGAAATCTCATAAGAAACCGGTGTGTCCTATATTCCTCCCCTGTCGTCTTGTTCCCTTTCGACTTTACAATGATACTTACTTAAAAATCTGAAAGGAAGAAAGAGCCCAAATCAAATTGTCCACTTTTCTTTCCATGGAAGGTTAGCAATCTTAATAGTAATTTAATAGACTGTCCTTGCTATTTAGCTACGGCAAATAAAACATTAGTTTTTTACTGCTGACGTTAACATCAAAAGAGGGGTTCAATTCTTTTGATGGCCAAAACCACCTGGCGGAGAAAAGTGATGAAAGAGCTGAAGTAGTAGGGCCTAAGATGAGGCGAAGTGCAGGCAAAAGCACAGGACAAAGTTGCGTGGCGACGTTTGATTGCGGCCTTATTTTTTTATTCATTTATTTATTTATTTTTATTTGCCACAATAATTACAAAAAATATAAGAAAAGAAGAAAAAAAGAAGTGGCGAGGAGACCTAACAGAAACTATAGAAGCTTATGAGAGATTAGGCCTCCTCGCACTACGGGCTAGAGCTGTTTCACATCAATTGAAGAAAAGATAGCGACAAGTCGAAGATGGAAAGATTCATGAACTGTTTTCATACTTAATCAATAATTTAATCTTCAGTTTTTTCTTAATTAAAGAGGAAAGAGATAGAGGGTTGATGACCTTGTTGTCAAGTGAATTAAAAAACTTAGGCCCTTGAAAAAAGGGCGAGAACTTCTTATGTCAGTCCCAAAACGAGCAGACGGTCCGCACCATTAAAGTTGGTTCTAGGACCATATTTTGACAAGATACAAGCAGTTTTCAAACCTTTTAACGGATACTTTTGAGAAGGAGAAGGAGTGTTTTTAAATTCAATACGATCCGCTAGTTTAATGAAGGTTATCAAAACTCTGTTTATTCTTGCCAGGATCGGAGGCCCAGGAGGTTTGAAGAGAAATTTTAATGGCCCAGGAATAAGAGTAACAAAAATTTCAGTTTTCTTTGGAACAATGGAATGATGTCCTATAAACAAGAATTTTAAAATAAAGATTTCTATCTGTTTCATTTTAACACCCCATTAACCATTCGACAGGTTTACCATTCACATTCACCGTATTTTCCTTTTCCTCGAGGAATAATCCATATTTTAAAGCCGTTTGAAATATATAAGTATTTGTCAAACATTTTCTATCTGGGTCTAAAGAAATTTGGTAATTCTATTTTCCCTTGTCTGTCAACGTATAATTTATGAGCAGATCAATAAATGTACCTTTTGATGAACTGCGTTTTCCATATTCTGTTTTGATACTAGAGCTCGTTGGTTGCGGAGATCCAGGTGTGCCTGTGCATGGTTATAAGACTGGGGAAAATTATTGGGCAGGACAGATGGTTACATTCACCTGTGACACTGGATACCACTTAGAAGGACCTACAAACAGGTTGTGCCTCGAAGGCGGAAATTGGAGTGATGTAACGCCAACATGTGAGTGCTCTTACAGTAATAGTTTCACGCCTATTGGTATGATGATGATGATATTAATGATAATGATGGCTACCATGATGGTGCTGATGATGATGATGATGATGATGATGATGATGATGGTGATGTACTTCGATTTTCTTTCCTCAGGCCACCGTTATTGTGATAAGCCCAACCCTCTGGAAAACGGTTACATTATAGGAACTGAATTCTGGGAGGGGAAAAATGTGACGTACAAATGTAACAAGGGATATCGAGCTCGTGGGCAGATGGTCAGATTTTGTAATAAAACTGGAAATTGGACCGAGGAAGAACCTAAATGTGAAGGTCAGCATATATTTATTTCTCCTTACAAGTTGCCTTCTTTTCTAATAAGGGAGAGGCTAAATATCTTATATCCTCATATCCCCTCTTCTTTAGGTAAATTAAATATAAAGGTTCTTTATGTTAGACGGTAGTATTACCATTCTGAGGCCGATGTGCGGCGCTTATGTCATCTTGCTCTTTCCATTAGAGCTCCATTTACGGGTATTTAAAGCTACCCAAAGCTACATGGAAAAGAGAGAAAAATCGATAAATAGTTTTTAAATCGCACCTGAAAATCGAACTCGGGAATTCTCCCACAGAGGGCACCAAACAATTAAACTGAGCTAACCCTAAAATATACTGTAGAAATAAGCTCAATTCAAGTGTTTGACAAAACCGTGATAAACAAGTGGCCGTCGTCAGTCTACTCTTATCGTTTTGTGATCCTAGCGCAAGGAATAAAGTGGATCATCCAAGCGCTTGCCATCTGTTTTCTGTATTCTGCTCCAGCAGTAGCGACAAACCGGACAACGCCAGGTCGTTCAGTGAGTAATCACGACAATAAAGGCCGACCATTTCGTTTTGCGTTACCATCGGCTGATATATTGTGATAATACTGCTGAAACGCCCGTAAAGAAATCGAAAGCAGAAGGGCACAAATTGCATTTTTGTTATTGTCACCCGCCTTATTCAATTCCTTCTCAATTTAGTAACTACATGCAAGGACCGTGATTTCTGCTTGTAATCCTAACCTGGCAAAAAAATGTTCCGCCTTTTTTAATCTTCCTGGTACTAGGATCTTCCTTCCTTCATGGAAACAGCCCCTTAAATACGAAAAGATAGTAGTAGACTGAGCATGGCAACGTTAAGACGAATATCAGCCAATATTTGCAAAAGTTATGTTACCGTTAGCCAATTGCACAAAGGGTCAAATATCATCCTTTGATTTAATTGTTATAAATTCATACAGGGCCTGAGTTTGAACCATCAGTAATCCTTCTTAACAACACAGAGTATTGGGAACTACTTAAAGGTTGGTTGGAACCGGTATCTATGGAGCCGTCTAAGTGGAAGCTGTGCTATCGAGCTACAGACCATGGATGGAGTTCCAGTACATTCCATTCTAAATGCAATGGCCGGGGTCCCTCATTGACGTTTGTAAAAGTAGGAGAGTATATCTTTGGAGGATATACTGACCGAAACTGGCGTAAGTATAAATATAATGCATGCGTTGGTCAATGTAGGTGACTAGAGGTATGAAGATTCTTATGCTAGGGAATATTAACACCATCAATACACGATTCTATATTTGTTAACTTTTGTACTTTTAAAAACTTCATGTTGTTATTTATACACAATATAAATCAATAATTTAAAAAAAATTAACCATAACAGTAGTTAAAATAGAAACTTGAGCAGAGCTTGAGGGACTTGTCCGAATTATTGACGCAGCTGCATTTTGGAGATGAGACTCAAGAATCTTTCCTCATGTCGGTAAGGACAGTGACTCGAAAACTCTTAGGGCGTGTTCGATTAACCGTATTTTGGAGTAAATACAAAGCGAAAAAACTTTAAAAATCTCTCATTTTGGAGTTCATTGCTTTGCTGAATAGCCACAAATCCGCTATAAATGGTGATGTATGTAGCCTTTGACGCTCAGAAACCTCAGACTGGACGAAGTACTCTTCACTTTCCACATTCTAGCCACACTAGCCGAGTTTTTTTTTCTTTTCCCGACTAGGGATCGACTGACTAACCCTAGAATTCGAGCGCCGAATACTAAAATTTAATGCTCATCTAATGAGCTGTGCATTGTCGAAAATTGCATGTTGTAATATTCTTAAACTCAATTCATTTGGTCATTTTCATGATTTTTTTTTTAATAACATTTATTTGGTTACAACACTTCTAATGACAATACTTACATTTACATGGAGGAAAAATAAAAACAACGTACAAGAGATAAAGGAAAAATACAAAAAAAAATTTTTCATGATTACTTGAACTCCAAACTTCAACCTTCTTGGCCGCTCTTAAAAAAAAAAAACGTGTTACTGTGGTGTAAGACTAATCCTAATTTGTTCTTGTTCATTAGATTCTGGTGGCTCATACACAGATTCAGCTCACAGCTTCATTTTTTCCTTCAAAAATAAAGATGGCCTGGAACCGTTTATGCTTCACCCCAAGAGAACTGAAAACGCCATATATGGAAACGGCAACTATGGTCCAACATTTGGTGGAGGCCATGACTTTTATATCGCTAATGGTGCCGGCTCCAACACTAACTCGTACTCTAATCTGGGTCACAGTTATGTCCAAATAACGGGATACACGTACGGATCAAGCAAAGTGCAGAGCCTGCTTGCAGGATCCTACAAATTTACGCCGCACGAAGTGGAAGTGTTTTATCAGACTTACAAAGACTAGAAAAAGAAATTGATTATTTAGCGTTTCTTAACTTCTAATCGTAAATCCTCTAACCAGTAAGCCTTCTTATCTAATATGACTGAACCCTGCCCCCGTCTCTGGCTTTGGGAGAGAAGGGGGCTTGAAAGCCCCTTTATAGCTACTTAACCTAGTAACGCGTTTTGGTCAAGACATTAGTCTGCATGTACAAAGATTACAAAGTATGAGCTGAAACAGTTTACAGATAAGTTGACACTATCCAATAATGAATGACACGGACTAAGGAAGCTCTTACGCTTTTTGCTTCGGGTCATAATTCCCTGAACCACATCCATTTGATTGTTAAGTTGTGGAAAAAGTCCTAATGATGGCTTAAGTCAAACAACAACAACAACAAACTTTATTAATAAACATTTAATATTATAGAAGTATTGCCGGCAGCTGGCAAGGCTATTCGAGGCGGGACAAAGCGTACAAAATATGAAATTAAGACTAACGCTAACTAAGGAAAGTTTAATAATAGGTTAAATCGTAATATGGATAAGGACTAGATAACATAATAAAGAAAACAAAAAACAAATAAATTGTAAAAGTAGAAACCAATAAACAAGTCTAGAATATGTTTTTCAACATTTTTGGCCAATTTTACCTTTCAATTAAGTTGGGCATTTCAATATAGTCTTATAGCGCACAAAACTCTCCTGTTTACACCATGATACAACTGTAGTAGACAAAGCACATATAGGCATAGTCGGGTATTAATTTTTTGATAGTTTTAACAATTAATTTAAAATGGGATTTTCTCTTTTTATTACATGACTTCTCCATATGCATGTTCAGGATCACCGGTCTAGACCTCACTTTTCAGCGCGGTGAAGGGTTTCAAAACCGACCTTGTAAAATAAACATGCTGACTTGGCACAATCAAAAGTGAATAATAATTGTAATTTATTTTGCGGCGTGATTAAGAAAGCGGCACCTCCCCATCTATACGGTGTGTTGTTATAAGATACCCTCTTGCATTTTGTCGTATTTCGTATCTACATAGATCTGCTTTTTATGAACAAGTAAGTCAAGATCACTGTCAATTAGCGGATCCACAAGTTCAGTGAGTAGGACTGGGTTGGAGCATTCCCCGTCATAGCTTCATATCCAAAGTCATATTCAGTTTCACTTGTGCCATAATCGACAAAAGAAGCACCCCCTGTTTCTGTTATTCCAATCCCGTGATCAGCACGTTTACAGTCCTTTCCTCCTCCACCAATCATCATCACTGATCCATCACCACTATCCCAGTCACACCAGAAGCCAATCTTGTTGCTGCTTTGGATGTTGCTATTACACTCAGCCTGCTGAAACCCGTCTGTTGTCTTGTACTGACCGTCATTTTGAACCGGGCAGCTTCCCAGGCACCTGTCACTGGACCAAACCTTGCCGTTTCTAAAGTCACCATAACTAGTTATTTTTGATCGGAATGTTTGCATTCCCAAACAGTTTCCTGTGGTCTGCAACAGTGGGGTGTGACTGGGATCATCACTGCGCGTGATCTTAAACTCTCTGCCTCTGGCCAACCAAAAGGCTGGTGAAATCATATCAGCATTACTTGATGGATTATCAGTTGCACCCACAGCAGTCAAACGGTCATACCACCAGTTACCTGAGTCACTCATCCAGTTTTTGTTATCGTGGTTAGAGAACCGAGCGATCAATATCCAGTCTGAGTGACAGTGCCGCTGTCAGTTAGAAAGATGATAATGATAATTGTCAAGCATAAGCAAGGAAACAAGGCGTGTTTTGCGAAAACAACTGGACTATTTAATTACTGCAAAAGCCTCGATAACTTAAATCTACTGCATACCTAAGGTAAACGAGGTTGTAATAGCCTTTTTGTAGCGATTTTATATCAAGAAATGTTTAAGTACTTAGCAACTACTAAATAACATTCTTCGTCATTAACCTATTCATAAACCCAAAAATGAAATGCATAATTGTAATAAAACTGTGGGAAAATTAGTAGGCACAGCTCACAAACTTTGTTGTCAGGCGTCAAGATATGATTGGTCATGATATATAACACATGTACATAACATTGTCTTCCCCTTACCCAGAAGAAAAGATGGTCCAAAACTGTTTCACCATTATGAGAGCTTACTCGTTAAATTAAATGTAAAATTATGTACCTCGAAGGATTGGCCTAGAGCTGTACACCCTAAAAGTTTGAAAAAAAACACATAAACATAAGAATTGAGCTGTTAGTTTGAGTACTCTGATCAAATTTTTCTTAAACTGTAGGGCATCTAGTGCCTGGTAGGAATATTTGGCTTTTTACAAGCTTGGTAGGGATTTTGCTTGTAAAATCAGGTCAGAAAAACACCCTTTTTGTACCCACTCCCGGAGCCGGTTAATTAAAGGAGAAATCCCGGGGAAGGTTATCGTTTACAAATTTAAAGCTGCTGTTAGAAACTAAAATTATTTTGACGAAGAAGTGTGACTGAAAAGGGCAAGTCCGTATAAAAATAATGAAATACTTATGAATAACTCTGAACGCTGTAATGCACTAACTATAAAAAAGGACGCTAAACTTAAACAAGTAGCTCGGTTATGACTTCTTCACAGACTTCCCCCTCCCCCGTTCTGTTTTTACTAACGCATGAGAAACTCTTTTCAAAGGCCAAAGAATAATAATTTTTCTGAAGTTGTTGCTTTAAGGAAGTAAGAAAAGTGACACAACCTGTATAAATTACTTCGGTAGTAGCTTCTGCGAATCCAAACTCATTGCTTGCACGACAAGTGTATTTCCCGAACTTTGTTTATTCACGTTACTTAAGGTAAGACATCCGTTCTGCTGAGATGATGGTACCAGGGTAAGAGCTCTTTGTGCTCTTGTCCAAACCAGTGAACCGTCTGCCTCACAACATAGATTTACAGTAGTTCTTTTGTCTGCATACACTTGAGGAGGAGGTTTTCTTGTTAATACTGGAGATACTGCGGGAAATTAAATAAAGCCAAACTTTGATTTAATCATTAAGATGATTAAAGGAAATAAACTCGAAAGACTTCAGAAGAAGAATGGCCCAAACTGAATATCTCGCAAATATTTATCTCGTTAAACATCGCAAATTTTAAAAAAGCGATCACTAAATTTAAGGGAAATGTACATATGAAGCATATGGTCGACAACTTGCTAAATCGATCATGTTTGTACAGATGACAAAAAGGCAAACAAAGATAGCTCACCTTTAATTCCTAAAATAGTTAAAGCACGGAATACTCCATAATTGGTGAAAACCGTGCACAAGTATGATCCAATGTGCGACCTTTGTACATTCTTGATATGCAGAACACCATCTGCTGTACTGTCATAAGAAAAAGAACTTCCAAGCTTACGCCAAGTTATTTTCTTGGACAAATGACCTTGAACCCAACAATAAAAAGTTGCCGGTTTGTTCAGAAACACATACTGAGATTCTGGAGAAACAGATATTCTGAGAGTAACGATGCATTCTCCTTTTGGTCCTTGAATACCATTTAAGACCCTGTTTCCTTTGCTCCCTTTTATTCCAGTAGATCCTTTCAAACCAGGTGGGCCCATAAGTCCAGTGTCTCCTTTTGCTCCACGAGAGCCTACTACTCCCTCTTCACCTTTTGCTCCCTTGAATCCTTGTTCTCCCGTGGGCCCTTGTGTTCCTCTGATGCCTTTAGTTCCTTTAGGGCCCAAAATACTACGCGGGCCAGTTTTCCCAGGGGCTCCTTTTTCTCCCTTGTATCCGGGGTACCCAGGGGCACCTTTTTCTCCCTTAGGTCCCTCTTGACCTCTTTGACAAAGCTTATCAGCCGTGGTGCACGCTTGTGAAAATTTCTTGTCGATTTCCTGGCGGACTTTGCTGTAAAGATAATACGCGAGGCGTCGGGGCTATATTCCGTCTTTCTCGAGGATGCTGCCTTGAAACGCTTTCTAGGGTTTCTTGAAACTCTGTTGATAACAAAAATAGATTATTATTAATTAGTCTGTAACAGGTGGGGGAAGGTAACTCTATTGTTTTTCACCTAAGTTTCTTGACCCACTCCGCCTGCCAGTATGACGTCACATAGTAACGGGCAAGAGCCGCTTGTGCAAATTAGCAAGGGATACGACAGTTATTTGGACGAGCGAGGTCGAGGAAAAGCTAAGAGCTTTGGTTTTGCTATAATCTGCTTGTGTAAACCGTTTTGATATTTTGTGTCCGTGATTGTATAATTTTGTTAATTTGTTTTGCGGGCCGTGTTGCGGGATCGCCATCTATTTCACCTGACCGGCAAGGTCATCAAAACTTAAATTTTTTTTCTCTCAAATATGCAAGGTCTAGTCTCCAGAATAGGAGTTTCCATTCACAGATCACACATGTTTATGTTTCATCTATTCTTTTGCTAATTAAACGGGCCTAACTATATATCATTCCTTTCGAGTGTGGGCCTCTCTTGATCTCCTAATTCTCCACCAAATTCAGTAAAGCTAGTTCGATCGATTATCTACATCGGTCGGCCCGTTGAACCCGAAATAATGCGAAATAGCTTCTAAATACGCGCTTAAGCTAATTTTCCTCAGATGTATATTTGAATTCATGATAAATACAGCTCCACCAGCTTCAAACAGCGTCTATGGCAGAGAAAAATTGATTTGATATTTTTAGACAGTGGTGCAGTGGTCAAGGAGTTGCTTGAACATGCAGATAAACCGGGTTCGACTCCCGGCGACGCTGTTTTCTGATTCTTTGTATCTTTTTTTCTGTTTGGTCTCTTTTTTTAAACACTATTTTTCCTTTAGGCCTGTTTTTCTTTATTCTTACTGCTGACCCTGCTGGCCATGCACTTGGATCAATATATATTTTAAGCTTAAGTCCGGAGTTTTATTTTGGAAAAGAGAATTCGAAAGCTCTTGATCTGCATACTGGCCAAGCTTACGACCAGAAAAAAACCATAAGCTGTCAAGACCTGTCCCTCCTCTGAAAAAGGTGAATTTTTTTCGATGTTAGTTGACATCATAACAAACAACACACAGTACACCACAGACTGTATTAATTTACACCGATTTTGGTTTTCGGTATTTACTTACATAATTACAGGTGTATGCCCAATACAGTATTAAAATGCGGTAAAGCAACAAGATTCAACGCTCACAGTCTCTCTCAAATACCTGTCATTTAGTTTCCTCTTTTAACGCTACCAGCTAATGTAAAGTATAATACATCCTTTGATGAACCTCCATTGCTGTGTCTAAACTCCTCAATCTTGCTGTGCACTGGCCCTCAAAAGTGTGACCAGTCGGCATGATTGCCCGTAAAATTTGCTCGACGATAGAAAGGAATGACTTTAAAATTCATTACACCACTGGACATTTGATCATTCCAAAAAAGTACTTAAGTCTAGTTTTCTTAAAATCTCCAAATCCAAGAAATCGGAAGAGTATTTCCGTGATAAAATCGAAATTTTTATCCGCCTCTTCGATGGCCTCACTTTGCTCGCCATTTTGAAAGTTACTGACGCGAGACGTGACGTCATACTGGCGGGCGGACTTTACCACAGATTTCCTTGGAGACAACCCCCCCCCCCCCTTCTCTGGTCTGTAAACAGCTTAGTGTACGTTTTGTGCAAGTATATTTAATACGGGGGGCGACATTTGTGTCTGGTTTAATCGTACTCCAAATTATAGGGACCAGAAATTTGAGGGGGAGGGGGGGGGTGGTGGCGTTGTCCTGAATTTTGCTGCACCTTGACTTAATAAGTAATTTGCGCAGTTATTTATTTTAAACAGATCACATGTATTTAGGTTTTACGCTATGATTACCTTGATGATTATCAATTAAACAGAACTAAAATGGCTCAAAATTGGAACGACCCGGGTGGGCACATAAAACCAGAGACAGGAAATATTAGTTTTCAATTCAACGCGATGCATAAAAACGTACTCCTTTTAGAAAATTAACATACCTTAGTGAAAAGAGGCGTATCGTACGCCAAGTTGAAAACTTAAGGTGGAATGTTCTATTTAAAACTTATCCTAACCCAGCTTATGCCAGCCGTTGACCACATCTAGAAGTATGCGTGGTCATTGTGTACTGATACAAACACGGGTCAATTCTCCATAAATGGTTTGATCAAGAGAGGATAAAGGGGACAGAGAAGACATCCAACATACACACCCTATTCCATAGGTAATTCGTCTCGAGTTATTTTTAGAATCGGGATAAAGTTACCTCGCGCGCTGCGTGTGTTTCGTGGAGGTTTCGCATGACTAAACGCCGTGCAAAACATGTCGGGCGAAAGGCAATGAAAACGTAAAGAGATCGAGAGCATTCCTGAATATTGAAGCGAAATGAGTCGGCGCTCACCTGGGAAAAGGGAATCGCTGGACTCTTTGACAATCCTTGAAATCAGTTTAGCTCGAAGTTGTCGTAACCTGAGAAATTTCGCCGGTCTATTGAAACCGGTCGTTTGTATAATAAAGCAAGTAGGACGCCAAGTGTTATTTTTGTTGAATAATAAAAGACTAGTAAAAGAATAAATATCAAACCAGAAATTGCTCTCTTCAAACTGCAAATTATAAATGATCCTGAGAGAATATTCAGTGTGTTAAGGATTTCGCTGCTGTACTGTTAGCTCTATACAAGAGAGGAAGGGCGATTCTTTTTTGATTTCCGTTTCGCTGACACAGGTTTAGTAGAAATCTCTCTTTAGTCGTTTTCGTCGACAAAACAAAAAGCAATATTGCTCTCCGCGTCTTCCGCCATTTTCGTGAAGGACGCGTGGCTCTGAGCGTGGGTCATCCACGCGGAACACATTCGCGCTATCTGATTGGCTGTTGTCTAATCCCCCTTGGGATCTATGGTCTTAAAAATAACTCGAGACGAATTACCTATGGAATAGGGTGTGAAGAGGGATGCCTTCTCTGTCCCCTTTATCCTCTCTTGGTTTGATTTAATTATCTTTGCACGAACCTGAGTATTTGTATACATAAGAGATCATAATGAAATGACATTCGAATTCAAACTTTCTTGATCTTTAAGTCAGGGACGCCAACGGCTTTTTCTGAACTTAAAATAACTGTTCGAAGAAACAAATAATGCAAAAAAATTCCTAGAGCTTGAAAAAGGTTAACAACATTACTTCTGGATAACCGTTCCACTCGTGTAAGATATTCTCGGTTTTCACTCACGTGAGAAAGTAGAAATAAAAATGGAAACCTTTTAATACAGAAAGTCTAGAATCTGGGAAATGAAAGAAGATAAATATACAAAAAGCCTTGCCAAGAATCAGGCCTATGCAATAGTTTATATGCGAGATATTCGGAAAAACGTTTTACCCAAATTTATAAAGCTTTGTATGAGGACGCCATGTTTGTGTTCCCCTCAGGGGCACAAATATGGCCGCCGGAAACAAACAGAAACATCTGTTTTTGAGTTTTCCTACTTATTCGTGAATTCTTCGCTTGAGGAACTCATAAAGATTAAAGTAATATTCATTCTAAGACAAGGAATGTTTAGATAGCAAACTCTTCAAAAATCCGTAATGTTTTTAACCCACATAAGAGCTTTCCCGGCCGCAAGCTAAATGCCGCGCGACGCAAAAGCCTGGAAATTCAAGCGTCCTGTATCGCAAAATTTCGGTATGAAGACAAAACGTCCCCTAGAATCTTCTAATGAGGGCTTCTCCATATCCTCAAACTTCCGACCGGACCCATCGGAGTAGATACAGTTTCGGATGAGACGAAAAAGCCACCTAGAAATTCCGAGACAACGAAAGTTCCCCAAAGACATCCAAAAAGATAAATAGTTTCTAGGGCAGCTCCAAATTAACTTAAATTAGCTCCATAATTATTGTGAAAACCATTCTGGCCCTTTGAGACTCTCTTACATATTAAAAAGCATTCTGTTGTTGGGTGTCCCTGTTTAATGAACTGTTCTTCAGTGATTTTGCTGCTTCCTGTGTATTCAAAAACAGTTGTTTAAGACTTACCCATGTTTGCAGAATTTCTTGATCTTCGTTTCGTAGGGTTTGGTTCTGTCTGTAATATCTCCTTGAGAATACTATGTACTTTCCCTAGCATTTCCTCCTCGATTCGCTGAATGCGTTTTTCAAGTTTTTCTTCCATCACCCCTGCCCTCCTATTTACAACTTCTACCCTCACAATCATGAACGCAAAGAGAACCAGTGACAAGCCAAAGATTACCAACGAGTCTTTTTTGGAGACCGGCTTTGTACTACATTTGGCATTTGATTTGGTCTCTTCTTCCATTTTGCTCGGTGTTTACTGGCTATCGTACTCCGTGTTTGCAGCGCAGCAGGAAAGGCTGTAGTAGCTGTAGTAGCTGTGTAAGGACAAGTTCAGGACATGTCTCAATTTAATGCTAGAAGGTATCCGATTAAGACCTCTAAGATTCGTAGCTTTTGCTTACCTCAGTGGTTGTATAAATGAGAAAACACTAGAAAGTATCAAAGAATTTGGTATAACCATACTCTGTGAAATGGTCTTTATTTCGTGCAAGATTAAATATAACATTCAAATGCAATGAAACAATACTGACTTCTATAACAGCTTACTGACGTAGGAGGTAAATGCCAATTACAAGACAGACAAACAATCGACAGATCAAAGAAGTTGGGAGTCCTTGCATTGTTTGCTCTCCTCATTGCCAGAAATTAGGGACAAGATGGCGCTTGCGCGTGCGCACTAAGGCCATAATGGCTGCGAATTCGTACAAGAAAATGTATGGAGATAAGGAAACTTGTTCAAATATATCGATTATGAGCTTACGGGTCTTCGGTGCACGACTCGAAACATGTTAAGTGCTGTGTAACCTTCGCATCTGGGTTAAAAATGGCTAATTAGAAGTAGGTTTACTTACT